AAGAAAACTAAACCCATGCCTGTTCTTCATTGTGAACAAGGCCTAGACGCCACTCCTGAGGGTATTCTGCAACCCTGATGGTATTCCTGAGCCCCTGTGACAACCAAAGGAAATAAAAGAAGAAACAAGAATGATGCACAGGAGCAAGCCTGGCTGATGAAAAGATAAAGACCATCGTCACTTTCTAAAAGTATCGTGTGCCTTTGTGTCGAGGTCGAGTCTTTTGGAGAATAGCTTGTGTTGATACATGTTTCGGCTTCTCTTTCCATGAAGAAGCCGCCTGCAACAGTGTAGGAGAAAATATGAGTGAGCAACGGAAAAAAAAGTTTGATAAAGGAGAAAAGTCATGACCCGCAATAATTAAATGTATCGCTGCCTTTATTCATAGCCGGCCCCGCGCTGCCACGGACTCGCTCTGCCTGTTTGTTGTACTTGTGGCGAGCGTGCTGGACTCGGGCTGTGGTTGCTGCGCACATCTGGTGTTGCGAAACCAGTCTTCTCATCGAGATATGTGGGAGGATTATGTCTCGGCAGACCACCATCAGCCGGGAAACTCGAGATGCTAGGGTCGTGAGGTGAGCGAGGAATCTCGCCGTATCTGCCGGCCATGGAGGAGCTGTTACCACCGATGCGAGGCTCGGAAGTGGAACTACCAGACCAGCCATCCTCATCGTCTTCAATGCGAGCGCCCTTCCAGCCAGTCTTGCCTTCACCACGAGCGGTAGCACCCAGTGCATCGAGCTCAGTGTTGAGTTGGGTCTGAGACTTGATAAAGGAGCCACGGTCGTCGCGCATAGGTTGGTATCTTGTGTCGGGATTCTTGGAGAAGATGGCGAATGCCGAAGCGACAATGATGGAGATGAGAAGACCGAGAGAGAAAACGGCGTTGAAGATGAAGAAAAGAATACCCATGACACCATTGACCAGGCCAGGCAGGGAGAAGATGCCGGTGAAGAAGAGCAGGAAAATGGAGTTGAGGAAGTTGAAGAAGCAGATGGCAATGTTGAAAGCATTGGTCTTCTTGTCCATGTACGGAGTGAGGACACAGACGATGATGAAGAAGACAGCCTCGATGATAAGGAAGGCAATAGCCTGGAGAGTGCCGTTGCCTTGACCGAAGGCGACAAACATACCCTTGAGAAGGAGGTAAGCCAGGACAGGGACGATGAAGTAGTAGGCAGTTGCCTTGAACTGGACGTAGAGAAAACCCCACTTGTTAAGCGAGACGGGGTCCGAGTAGAGGATGTAGGCAGGGTTCTTGTGCATCGAGACGGAACGACGGGCAAGCCGGATGACCTTGGAAGAGGCCCAGGCGAGTATGCCGATCATGGTGAAGACAGTGAAGACAGCAAGAACGACTTCGGCAGCCGAGTCACGCTTGGTGAACTCCCAGAAACAGAGAACAACCATTTGAGGGAAACCAATCAGAACCAGACGGAAGAGGATACCCTTGAGAACGGTAGTCCAGCCGTTGCGGAAGTCCTGGAACTTGTCGCCCTTCATCTTACCCATCTTAACAAGACCTTCGCAGATGAACTTGAAGATGATAACACCGAGAACGACAAAGACGACAAAAATGAGGAGGAAAATGTATCCGGTAAGGAAGATGTTGGTCAACTCGATCTTGGCGCGGAATCCGACACGCTCGATACCACGCAGAATGATAGTCTTGGTGGCGGCATCGGTTGTGCCTGCTCTGGGGAGGAGCTGGTGCAGTTTCATAACACCACGAGCAATGAGACGCGTGGCAGCATGGAGGGAACGCTTTTGCACTTCAACCGACTCGGTCGACAACTCAGACAGCACGGTGCTGGGAGTGCCTCCGGTAGAGCGCTGGTACCAGGTAGCGATGTCTTGAATGAAGCCGACGCGGATGATACCCATGCTCCACTGGAAGTTCTGGGTCCACGAAGCGACAATGGGTGGGAGAGGAACAGCAGTCATGCCGACCAGAGATTGTGCCTGGAAGTATCCGAAGAGAGCAAGAGTGTTGGCAGCAACGTGAGCGGCAGTGTTGGAGTGTCCAAGACCTGAAGTAATGGCAGAAACGAGAAGAGCGAGGCCGGCAATAACGGCGACAGCCCACGAGACACCCTTCTGATCGACAGTCTTGCCATTTGTGAGTTCGGCTTGCACGCAGGCAGTGGCTCTACCAGTGTCGGTGCTGTTGACGTAGACTTGGACTTTGGCGTCGAGGTCAGGAATGGTGTATGCGATGCCNTAGCATGTGTTAGTAAGCGGCTTGCTAACCGAGATAACTCCAGTTTGCTTACCGGGAATCTGGGCGACCGCATCGGCAGGCAGGACAATGTTGGAGTCAAGGTCAATCTGTCCTTCGTTCATGGGACACAGACCGGCCCATCCTTCCTGGCAAGGATCCAGTGTTTTCTTGTAGATGGACAAGCCGTAAGCGCTGACGACCATGTCGATGGTGACATTGCCAGAGATTGTGGTGATACCAACGACGTTGAAGGTCAGAGTACGGTTGTCAGGTGTGAAGGCGACATTGAACAGAGTAGCCGAGAAGTTGGAGTTGGCCATGCAAGTGCTGAGCGACGTGGATGAGATGACACGCTCATTGTTGATGCCGGAAGCCTGGGTCATAGGGATCAGGGGCGGCGAAGAGGGCTATTAGGAAGCCTAGGGGCGACCGTGAAGGGCGCATGCTGGGCGAGCAATAGAAAATACCGATTAATAAATGCTCCCGATGATGCTAATGCCGGAGAAGCAGTATGCTAATGTTGGTGAAGGCGTGCAACGCTGCAGATGAGGTCGCTCTGAATCGCGACGAGAACGAGTGGGGAGGTGACTGGTCGGGGCGGTGGGTGGTGTGTGTTTGATGGCAAAAGGGTGGTTGGAATGTAAATGCGGACAACAACCTCTGCTAAAACCGGAACAGAGTGGAAAGTCAAGTCTTGACGTCTTGAGTCGGGACTGATGAGCGAGTGACGGCGTGGATGATGGGAAAATGGAAGGCGCGCGGGGAGGCTGGGAATGGGGGAAATCGAAGGGCAAGAGTTGGAGATGTAGGGAAGGAAAGTTGGAAGTGATGGGTCGCGGCGGGTGCAGCAGGTGCAGCAGGTGCAGCAAGTGCAGCGGCGACGGGCGGTTCGTTCAGTAGTGGAAGGGCAACGAGCGTGGGATCCAGTGGGCAACAGCAGGAATCCGGCGACGAAAAGGCGAGAAACACGACTCTCAACACAGCCAAAAGGGCCTCCCAAAGACCGAAGACGTGCGTGACCCGAACAACAAGCGCAGATTAGCGCCAAAGCCACGCCAGCTGATGTCAACGACCGCTGCGATCCTTTTCCTTTTCCGAGTCGTCCAAGCAGATCCTTTGTTGCCGCCGTCACAGATTCTGGCAGACAAGGCGAGCGTTGCGACAACGGATGCGAATTGATTTGAATCAGCGCGCCGTATGGGGGCCTGCATCCGCTGCTGTTTTACTGCCAGATTGGCTGTTCTAAAGGGGGCTGTGCAGCTTCTTTCGCAGCAATCCAATAATCCCACACGCTCGCTCTTCAGGGGTCTTGACCTGAGACGGCGCTCCAATCCACTCTTCCCGTTTGGCGATCAGTGCGCCACCACACTGCTGTTTATTACGCGGCACCAAGAAAAGCTGGGGAAACCATTTGAAACGCCATCGAGCCCTGTCGCTGATGCTGCTTCTTGTCCATCGCAATCCCTGCAACTCTTGCTGAGTCTGTCTACGGCCTCGTACACACAAATTCACACTTCTCGTCTCCAGGCCTCACCCGAAAGACGACATCCGTGGCAGCCGAACCTGTTAAGCCACAGCATCATTCAAATGACCAGCTGGTTAAACAGACCCCGTGCGTGCTCAAAATAGACAACGGGCTTGCAGTCCCGTAAACGGCCTCTGTACAGCGACAGCACTGCTTAAAGTCTCTGGTGCTCTCTCCTTCCTTTGAGTCTTCTCTTCTCCTTGCAATTCGGTTTGGCCGTTGCTTCACCTGCTCGGCATGAAAACATCATTTCCCATCATCCTCTGGAAGCATTTGCCAAAGATTAGCAGCGGAGTTGTCGCATGCTATCTCGATCTGAGTCGCCAAGCTTCACAATATGGCTATGATCTCCTTGGCCTGCCTCCAGCGTATTCGCATACGGATGCCAACACAAGCTGCGCCGACCTTGGTATAGGGATAGTATGAGTACAAAGGGCTTGGACGTGGTTGGCACTCATCTTACAACCATCTGTCTGGCATGGTCTGTTCAGGGCAGCATTGCTTCAACATCAGCATCTTCTATGCAAAACGAGGCGTGCCGCTGCGGCTTCGGCGTGGACGGTGCCGAGCAGGGTCGTTCTCGCGATACGCGGCCTCATGTAAGACTATATACAAGTACTGAAACCTGGTAGGTCTATGCAAAGGTATTGTTGTTGTACAAGGCGAGAACAGTGGGTTTGTTGTCGCGGCCTGATCTAATCTTCCTAGCAACGGGCAGTTGACCGTTGGACCACGCTCATAAATTACCAACAGCTTCCAGGAGAAAGCCTCAGGACACGAAGTCTAGAAACCGATTATCATCATGCAGTCGTATTGAATAGGAGGACGGATGATTGTTGGATGCGAACATGCAAGGAGTATGGTTCGATTCAGCTCCTGTTCGTGTTCGGAAATTGACAGAGCGGCACTCGGCTTGCTGTGGAGATAGAGGGGTCGGATGCAAGCATGCCCTTACATACGTTGTTATACGGTAGGCTGTGAAACTTCTGATGAGACTGAAGGACGATGGATGTGCGAGTCGTTCATATCCAGCCAATCTATCCGTCACCGAATGTTGATTGATGGACGGCGATGATGTCGAAAGGGTCTGTTCGGTGATTCGGAGATTGTAATGATTGATCAGATAAGATAAACTCAGCTTGGCGTCACGCTCTCGATAAACCTTAATTTTTTTGTTCGCAGATCTGCCTCTCCAAACTTTGCTGGGCTGTCGACTTTTTGCCTGTCATCTGTCATCCCCCACAGCATAGCAACATGTCGAACCCGGAACTCGCATCCAAGAAGAGAAAGAGAAAGCACGGTAGTGCCAAATCTGCCGATGCGCCCGCTCCCGTCGTCGCCAAAGAGACCGTCGCCGCCCAGGATGCTGAAGTAAAGCCGCGCAAGAAGACAAAGACGGCAGAAGCAAGAGCGAAGGATGTTGAGAAGGAGGGGGAGGTGAACGAGGAATTGCGCGAGGCTGCCGCTGAGTCTGCAGTCGCCAACGTCAGCGACGACGAGGAAGAGGAGGCAGACGAGAGCATGGACAACGCAGAGGTGGAGAAGCAGGACATTGGCGAGCCTTCGGATCTGCCCTCAGCGCTTGGTGTCTCCCTCCCTGGACAGGATGCTCTGCCCGAAAAGTTCACCGACATCAACCTCTCGGACAAAACGCTCAAGGCTCTCGCCGACATGAAGTTCGAGAAGATGACCGAGATTCAAGCAAGAGGTATCCCGCCTCTTCTTGCTGGCAAGGATGTTCTGGGTGCTGCAAAGACTGGTTCGGGCAAGACTCTGGCTTTCTTGATTCCCGCCATTGAGATGTTGCACTCGCTCAAGTTCAAGCCTAGAAACGGTAAGCATGCGCCCACTTGGTTCGTCCTGTCAACTTGTACTGATTTTCCCGCTCAGNGTACCGGTGTCATTGTCGTTTCTCCCACTCGCGAACTCGCCCTCCAGATCTTCGGTGTTGCCCGCGAACTCATGGCCCACCACTCGCAGACCTTCGGTATCGTCATTGGAGGAGCCAACCGTCGCGCCGAGGCCGAGAAGCTGGTAAAGGGTGTCAACTTGCTCATCGCTACACCTGGACGTCTGCTCGATCACCTGCAAAACACCCAGGGTTTTGTCTACAAGAACATCAAGGCTTTGATTATCGATGAAGCCGACCGTATTCTCGAAGTCGGTTTCGAAGATGAAATGCGCCAGATCATCAAGATTTTGCCCAAGGACGAGAGACAGACCATGCTCTTCTCAGCCACACAGACAACAAAGGTTGAGGATCTTGCAAGAATCTCGTTGCGACCTGGACCCCTCTACATCAACGTTGACCACAGAAAAGAGCACAGTACCGTAGAAGGTCTGGAGCAGGGTTTCATCGTCTGCCAGCCCGATATGCGTTTCCGTCTGCTCTTCACTTTCCTGAAGAAACACCCCAAGAAGAAGATTATCGTCTTCTTCTCGTCATGCAACTGTGTCAAGTACTATGCCGAACTTCTCAACTACATCGACCTGCCCGTTCTGGACCTCCACGGCAAGCAAAAGCAGCAGAAGCGCACAAACACTTTCTTCGAATTCTGCAATGCCAAACAGGGCACTTTGATCTGTACTGATGTTGCAGCCCGTGGTCTCGATATCCCTGCCGTTGACTGGATTGTGCAATTCGACCCTCCGGATGACCCAAGAGATTACATTCACCGTGTCGGTCGTACTGCCAGAGGTGCCAACACCAAGGGCAAGAGTTTGATGTTCTTGCAACCCAATGAAGTTGGTTTCTTGAAGCACCTCGAGGAGGCTCGTGTGCCTTTGACTGAGTTTGAGATGCCCGAGAAGAAGGTGCTGAACATTCAGAGTCAGTTGGAGATGTTGATTGGCAAGAACTACTACTTGAACAAGGTAAGAATCAATTGTTTGCTGTTCTCGATAATCATGAGTGCTAATAATAGATTTCACAGTNCGGCCAAGGATGGTTACCGCTCATATCTTCAGGCATACGCATCTCACTCGCTGCGCTCAGTCTTTAACGTCAACGAGCTTGACCTTGTCAAGGTGGCCAAGAGCTTTGGTTTCAACACACCGCCGCGCGTTGACATGCAATTGGGCTCAAGCATGAAGATGGACAAGAAGCAAGGCGCTCGTCGTGCTTACGGCAGTCAACCCAGACAAGGTGGAAACTACAAGCGTCAACGCCAGGAATAAATGGTGTGAGCAAGCTTTTGAGAGAGAGCATTTATTTTGTTGGTAGCATTTTACATCCGGCTTTTATACGGTAGCGGGCGTTCGAAAAGTGTGGTGTGCAAGTTAATCGATCTTGTTCATTTTTTGAAAGTCTGTTCTTCGTATGTATCCATGTGGTAGTGTCTTTCGCAGCTTGTGTCTGCCAATGACTCGCTGAAAGAAGACAACGACAGCAGGTCTTGCAGACATTCTTTACTGCCCGTTGATACAAACTATATCATGCAACAAGGCATCAATTTAGAAGATAAATTCAGGTGAGATATAACCCTAGAGAATGGAGGACAGGGTGAGAGACGTGACTTTATGGCCAAGGCTTCGGCGGAGATGACGGCGTCGCGGGTTGAGGGGGAAGGCGCGGGAGTTTGATGATTTCCAGACGCAATTCAAGATTATTGAATTCAGACCAAGTCGGAAACGAGCAGGCCCTCTCGACTTTTGGAAGGAACTTTTCTCTCTTTCACCCTCTTTCCTTGTGCTCCGACAACAGTTTCGTCCAGTCCAGTCTCATTCTTCGCTTCTCAGCTACAATCGCCTTGTTCTATTCGCCGGCCACCCTCTCCTTTCCAGCTTTCTTAGCACCTCCGAAGCCTCGACTCGCGTGTATCTGTGACGACAATTTCTACACCATACAGCTTTTAGTATCGTAATATGAACTGAGACAGAACAATATCAACTTCCACAAACACCGGTCAAGATGCAGATGGTGGCCGAAGAGGAGGCGCCCAGGTCCTTGTCGCCAATCATGCGGACTCGTCTGGGAGAAGGACACAGCCAACCCTCGTCTCCCCTACGCACCACTTTTACTCCAGATGTCCCAACTCCAGCGCAGACGACTCTTTCCAACGAACTGCTCCGACCCCCGACCGCTGTCTCTGTACATTTCGGCCCTCCTACTCCTGCCGACTTCAACCTGCCATCATTCAAGAGCTTCCAGAATGGCTCAGCCCCTCGCTCCGTCTCGGCCACAAGTCCTCGTCCGCGACCATTCGTCCTGCGACATGACTCCGACCCAACCTTGCGTACCATGTCCCGCAATAGAGATGCTAGTGGAGGCAGCGGTACCCAGACACCGCCTGAAAGAAGATTAGGGGAGGACCAGCTCGATGGCGCAGATGAACATGGTCGTCAGGGCTCCTTCTTCTCCCGTCTAAAAGCCATGGCTACACCAACCCATTCGCGCCATCCTAGCGAATTCACCAATGCTTCAGTATTGATGACCCCTACGGAAGAGCTGGAAGAGCCACACTTTCCTTTGTACTCGCACTCGCAGCATGATGGCAGCGAAGCCGAAGGCGATATTGAAGAGAGCTCTATGGATGAAGCAGCCGACGGCCACGAGCCTCGCCAGAAGCGCAAGGCTAGGAGAAAGATGGAAAAGACGCCGTCCGCTGGCCCTTCGACACCACGTACTCCGCGCTTTCCTTCTTTCTTGCGTGATCATGCTGATAGAACTCCACGCCTGCCGCGCAGAGCCACCATGACGGATATCCCAGAAAATTCGAGAGCAGGTGTCAGCGAGGATGAAGGCCGCGATCGACTTGCCAAGAGTGCTTGGAGACGTGGTCTTGAGGGCGCGCGAGGTCTGAGTTACGCACCTCGCAGTAGCAGGCCTGCAAACGATGCTGCTGAGCAGTCTGACTCAAATCGTCCAACTACCTCGAGGAGATTCACTGGTTTCGGCGCACTTGATGGCTCAGCCTCACCGTGGAGAGGCCGTGGCGAGCGTCAGCCGAGCGCCAGTGCTCAAAAATGGAAACAAGTGAAGGCTGGTCTGAAACTGCTTGGTCAGCGCAAGAAGGACGAACGTGTCAAAGTTGACCATCAAAAGTCTACAGAACTCATGGCTGAGCTACTTGCGGGTTCGCCTGCTGCTATCTTCTTGGCTAGTATGTACCAGCGTGATGAACACGGCCGTCGCAAGATTCCTGTCTTGCTTGAGCAACTCAAAATCACCATTCCTTCGAGTCAAAACCGCGAGAGCAAGTCCGGTGATCGCCACATGGTCTTCACCATCAACCTTGAATATGGAAGTGGGCCTTCACGTATGTCGTGGACCATCCACCGTTCTCTCAGAGACTTCAGCAACTTGCACCTCAAGTACAAATTCCAAAGCCAGTCCGAGCGATACTCGATACTCAAGACCGACGATCGCTCGAAAGCAAAGATTCCCCGATTTCCCAGAAGTGCTTTCCCCTACCTTCGTGGTGTGAGAGGTCTAGCTGATGACGAGGAAGAAGAAGATGATAATGCTATAGCTGAAGCGAGCGGTCCAGACGGCGAAGCCAGCGGCCCTGAAAGACCTGGTATGAAGAAGCGACGTAGAACGTCCTTTGCACTGTCCAGACGTAAGTCAAGCACTGGGCATGCATCTGGTCCTGATGGTGTGACTGGCGAAGTCGCTAGAGCTGGCAGTATTGCCGGTGCCCCTGGAGGCGCCAAAGCCAAAGATTTGTACAACGAGCGTCAACGCAGGAAGCTCGAGAACTATCTGCAGCAGATGATTAGGTGGCTAGTATTCCGTCCTGACAGCACACGATTATGCAAGTTCCTCGAGCTTTCAGCTCTGTCTTTGCGTCTATCAGTCGAAGGTGGTTATCACGGAAAGGAGGGCTTGATGTCCATCATCTCCAAGCCCAACATTGACCTGCGTAGAAGGCCTGTCACTGGTTCAGTCTCGGCCTTCAAGAGAAATGCGGAGCCAAAATGGTTCATGATCCGCCACAGCTACATCGTTGCCTTGGATAGTCCCGAGTCACTAGAGCCACGCGAAGTCTTCCTGGTAGACGGCGATTTCACTACCGACAAGGCTGGCAAANAGAGATTGAGAGACCAAACAGCAGAAGAACTGGCCAAAACTGCTGGCAACGCAACGCAACCAAAGCACCACATACTTCGTCTATACAACTCGGAGCGGAAACTGAAGATGTTGGCCAAGAACGAGCGCCAACTGTTACAGTTCCAGGAGTCTATTGACTACATGGTGAAAAACACAGTCTGGTCGCTCAAACATCGCTTCGACAGTTTTGCGCCGGTCCGCAAGAATGTCTTTGCCCGTTGGCTGGTTGATGGTAGAGATCACATGTGGCAAGTTTCGCGAGCCATTGACAACGCGAGAAGCTTTGTGTACATTCACGACTGGTGGCTCAGTCCTGAGCTCTACCTCCGCCGACCAGCTGCAATCAGTCAGAAGTGGCGTCTTGACCGTCTTCTCCTACGCAAGGCCCAAGAGGGTGTCAAGATCTTCGTCATCGTCTACCGCAATATCGAGTCTGCCATCCCCATCGACTCGGAATACACCAAAGCCTCGCTCCTAGACCTCCACCCCAACGTCTGCGTTCAACGTTCGCCCAACCAGTTCAGGCAGAATCAGTTCTTTTGGGCGCATCACGAGAAATTGGTGGTGATTGACAATGCTATGGCGTTCGTGGGTGGTGTAGATTTGTGTTTTGGAAGATGGGATGACCCTCACCACTCGCTGACCGATGACAAGCTCACTGGCTTCGAGTTGGACATGGAAGGACCCAGGACTGCGGACAATTGTCAGGTCTGGCCTGGTAAAGATTACTCGAATCCCAGAGTGCAAGACTTCTACGGGCTGGACCGTCCGTACGAGGAGATGTACGATCGCACAAAGGTACCTCGTATGCCTTGGCACGATATCGCCATGACTATCGTTGGTCAGCCTGCGCGAGACGTGGCTCGTCATTTCGTTCAGAGATGGAACTACATTCTCCGACAGCGTGTGCCTTCTCGTCCTACGCCAATCCTGCTGCCTCCACCTGAGTTTGACCAAAGCGAGCTTGAACGTCTCGGCATGACTGGTACCTGCCAGATTCAGATCCTCCGTTCTTGCACATCCTGGTCGATTGGCACACCAAACAAGACCGAATGCAGTATTATGAACGCCTACGTCTACCTCATTACCAATTCTGAACACTTTGTGTACATTGAGAACCAGTTCTTCATCACAAGCTGTGTCGTCGAAGGTACTCAGATCAACAACAAGATTGGTGATGCTCTTGTTGAGAGAATTCTGCTTGCCCATGAGAGAGGTGACAATTGGAGAGCATGCTTGATCATTCCTCTGATGCCTGGCTTCCAGAACCAAGTCGACTCACAAGATGGAACCAGTGTTCGTCTGATCATGCAATGTCAATACCGCAGTATCTGCAGAGGAGAATCATCCATCTTTGGCAGGCTACGCGCTCAAGGCATCGACCCTACGCAGTACATTGAGTTCTATGCTCTGAGGCAGTGGGGCAAGATTGGTCCTCGCAAGTGTTTAACCACCGAACAACTCTACATTCACGCCAAATGTATGGTTGTTGACGATCGCAGTGTCATCATCGGATCTGCCAACATCAACGAGCGCTCCATGTTGGGTTCGAGAGACTCTGAAGTTGCTGCAATCGTTACCGATCAAGAGATGATTCCTTCTTTCATGGGCGGTAAGCCCTACGATGTTGGAACTTTCCCGCACTCACTTCGCATGCGTCTTATGCGCGAACATCTCGGAGTTGACGTTGACGAAATCTACCGTCGCGAGTGTGAAGCTGAAAAGGCCTTCCAAGATGAGGAGATGGAACGTATCTACAGAGACGATTTCATGACGCCACCTGAGACTCNNCCCCCTGCTCATGGCTTGACCGAGGAGAACTTGCATCATAACAGTGAGCGAGATGGGAAGGCCGGTGTTTTGCACAACTTCCTGAACGAAACAGACAATGGCCAAGCTGGTCAGATGGATGGTGCCGGCGGGAAGAAGCATTCGGTTGACAGACCTCATGACCTCGATGTCGCCGGATTTGGTGCCGATAACATGAAGAACCTTGAGAACGTAGTCGACATGTCTGCCAGAGATACTTATATCACACCCGACGGTAGGGAAGTGCTCAAGAGTGCCAATCTGCTTGACGCTGCCGCACGTCCCAGGTCTTCCTCTGTTAGGAGAGACATCATCAACCACAACGTCTACGATCTTCCCCACAATGCCACTGAGGCAGGTCGTTTACTCCCTCCACCCATGCCACCTCGTATGAACACACGCGAGCTTGGCTTGACACAACTGTCGCAACTCCCACCACTTCCTGTCTGCGACGACTCGGACATAGGTGGCCCCTCGTTGATCCAGGAGGTTGATTCTGAAAATGCTCATATCATCAATCCTCTACTCAACTCTATGACACGACCTGTAGTCGATGAGGACTGCATGCGTGACCCATTGGCCAACGATTTCTACAAGAAGGTTTGGCACCAGGTAGCAGAGAACAACACTCGCATATACCGTCAAGTCTTCCGCTGCATGCCAGATTCTGATGTTCAATCGTGGGCCGAGTACCGCAACTTCAATGCATACAACGAGAAGTTCATGCTGTCGCAAGGTTTGGGCACGAGTGTGCCACTTCCTAAACCTGCTGGGGATGCACCCGATTCTAGTGGTCCTCCTGGCTCTGGTGGCACTGACGCCCTCTCCTCTGTCGCGAACGTTTCAGAACGTGCAAGCAAACACGCCAGCAACAGATTTAGTGGACTGAGCAGGCTTTTTGGTAATCGTCCCAGTACTTCTCACTCAAACATTGCTGCCACGAACGGAGATATGTCTGAGAAGAATGAAAAACAAGCACTGGACGGTGCCCCTCGTACGTCTGACTCTGCAATGAACAACGGCACCGACGATGCCGCTACCGAAGAGCCTTTCGACGAGAAAGCGGCCGCTCAACGCAATGACACAGCCAATACGGACGCTACACTTGCACCACCACCCCTTGATGGCGTCCCGACCAACAGCAGCGCCACTACCAACGGCGCCCCCGCACGCATCATGAAGTCTCGCACTATTCAGTTCCCTGAGATGACGGAGAAGGAAAAGAACTTTGAACCTGGTCAAGTGCAACATGCGGCTACTGTTAGTGGCAGTGGAAACATGCAATACAGCACCTCTAAGCGCAGACGCAATCGTGCGAATACTAAAGGCAGTATGAAGAATGGAGGTGTGTTCGAGCCTGAAGTCCTTACCAAGGAGGAGGCTGAGGGCTTGCTGAAGCTTGTGCAAGGACATTTGGTTACTTGGCCTTATGACTGGTGAGTAATAGGTTGAATTGTTTGACGACATTTGATTGCTAACGGAGGCTACAGGCTTGAGAGAGAAGAAAAGGGTGGCAACTGGCTCTACAATATCGATCAGATTGCTCCTCTGGAAATTTAGTAAGTTTTTTTGCTGAGAGAAAGAGAAAGAGACATTTACTGACCATGGTGCAGCGACTAATCGCCTTGTCGCCAACTCCTTGTCTATGCCTACCACGAGCGCCTTGCCCTCACCAAGACTTTCGTCCTGTTGTATATTGCTAGTCAAAAACTAATCATTGCCTTTTTCTTGTACCCCGGTAGCAAGGAGTTTTTCAGTCTCGTGTTTTTAGCGGCATTCTGTTTGGTGTTTTGGAGAAATTGCTTTCGTTGGTTATCTTGTTTCTCCTGTAGAAAGTACCAAAAGAGTGTGATTGATCGTCTGTCCCAGAATGACTAGCCTTGTCTACCGGTGTCTTGTCTTTTTAGTTGTCGTCTCCATTGCTCTACCTCTTGTAGAACGTGTTTGTTTCTTTCCCTCCCTCTTCGCGAGTGCAGCTCACATTCTTTCGGCAACGAACTCGTCTTTTGTGCGCGCCTGTGAGTACTGTGGCGATGCCAGCTCTCCTCTAAGCATTGACTGTTCTCAATATCGAGGGCTTCTGATAGAAAAAGGCTAGTAGAGTCAGTACAACGATGCATGCGAAGAAAGGGGAGGGAGATGACATGCCTTTTTGTCTTCGTTCATCGAGGATTTCACCCCTTACTCGCGATTCACCATAGCCCATCTTCCACTCAACCTACACTGCACCCATCTACTATGCTTCCCAGCCAGCAAACGATCAACACCCCTTTTGATCTGTACACCACTCGAAGCAGTAAATTCTCCAGTCACCCATTGCGAGTCTCTGCCCCCCGGGCCGCAGCGGAACCCCATCTCGCATGCGATGTTGTTGTTCGCTTTTGTCAGGGAAAGCGTTATGGTGTGATGGGTGTCTGTACCCAAAAGTCTGAGATTTGTTATGGAGAGCAGGGGTGCAGAGGAAGAGTAAACAGGAGCTAAGAGGCGAGTGCCCGGTTGCGTGATTTCGGCATTGTGGAGGGATAGAGAGGTAAAATTGTTGGAGAACAGGAAGGGGAGGACGTCGGTGTGGCGATCGGGGTTGTAGCCATTGATGGTTAGAGAACTGCCGCGTTGGAGATGGATGGAGTTGCGGAGGGGTGTACAGTTGTCTTTGCGATGGTGGTAGCGCAGGAGAATGTCCCAGGTCACAGCGGCAGAAACATCACAGCTCTCGTCCAACCATCTGAGCAAGGGGTTGGAAACAGTCATGCCAAAGTCATTCAGAGTGTCTACTTGTACGTCTAGAATCACAGTTGTGATGGTGATGCCAGAAGTAGCAACAGCGGGTAACAAGAAGTCCACCAAACAGGCTTTGACACTGCCCATGACTGCCGCATGAGCCCCCTGCGCTTCCAACTCTGGTATTATGGTGCCTGTGGGGTCGTATTTGATGCCTACCGACAGAGAAGCATGGCGTCTTCTGAGCAGTGCCAGAGCGTCGCTGAGGTATAACTCATAGCGCACCTTGTTGATCTTGAGGTGCGTGTACACACCATCAACCTTCAACAGCAACACCTTGACGTGTTTGGCATAAGGGGTACCACTGAAGCCCAGCACGGGTGAGAGGAAATGTCACCTCCTTGAAGCAGATGGCGCTGAAGGCGTCTTCGATGCCGGCGCGGACTTGTTTGTTCACCAGACGCAGGCGCAGGATCGACGAGGGAGGGAGGTTTGTTGCTGTGATGTGCAGAACCTCCGGTGGCAATGAGAGGAAGTCTGCCATGGTTGCTTGTGCGCTGGCAGAGGAGTTGGTGGTTGTGGTGTACGGGGTTGTGAGATGGTCGAGGGTTGGAAAGGAGTGAGAGGGTGCGTCGATGTCGTTCCCGGGTAGATGCGAGTGACGAATCGGGGCGAGCTCGACAATCGTCTCACATGACTTCCTCAATTATAGATTGAGATAGTCTATCTGTGCAATCTCGAGTCTGAAGGACGAACAAAGGAGAGATGAAGACGTTACCCCTAATCTCGACGCTATGCCTCGAAGGCATTCTCTCAGAACACACGCACACAAGTAGAGCAGCTATACCAATGCAAAGATGTATCTTGCCCCTCAAACCCTCCAGAGAGAAATGTTAATGTAGCCTATCTCAGTGGACATATCATGATCACGAATACCATCCTGCATTTTTATGTTGGTATACAAACGGGCGAAGGAAAGAGAAACCCTTTGTCCATAGCAACGGTATGCTCTCAGCACACATGTATGAAGATAAATACACTATACAAATGCACAGTCGTTCACCAGTATCAGAAGTATCCACAGAGAGCCGCTTGTGTAGACTGTTTCAGTGGACCTAGCATCATTTTGAATACCATCTTGCATTTTTATGGTGTTGCATGACAGTGCCATGCAGAGACGAAAGTCTTGCGCCTGGTGCTGCGGCGGAATGTTCTCAAGATACACACACACAGCAATTACCTTGCTATCGAAATGCACAACTGTTTATACATGCTTGCAGAGTCCAGAGAGAGTTGCTTAGCTAAGCTGTTTCGGTGGATAAAACATGATTTCGGATGTTATCTTGCATTTTTATGGTCCTATGTGTAGGCTATTGTGGCACGCAGAGATACAGTCATGACCTTTGCATGGGTATCTTGTGGATAAGAGTGAAGTGAATTGAAACTAGTATACAATTTCAACGAAGGCGTAAAGCGACCCAAAAGCAAAAGAAAACCAAAACCCCTTTCAAAAGCGAGAACAAAAGAAGAATCCACCCTGTAGCAGAAAAGGTGACAAGCGCCATGACAGTTGGTCAGAGCTATGCCTCTTTGCGCTTGTTCAATGCGATCGACATTTCGACAGTATTCGAGTCCAGATCCAAAGACAGTCTTTGCATTGACTGCACCTCAGGGGTAGTGTGCCAAGATGATCTCAGTGACAGAAGCTTGCGAAGTGGTATGGATGTTCCAGGGCTGAGTATAGAGAATCTGGTCGTCCCAATCGATCAAGTTGTCCACCCAAAGTGATTGCAGGTTAGTGGTACCAGCAATCTCAACCATAGTCTCGTACCACACCTCGGGGTTTACGTCATGCCTTGGAGGATTGAAATCCCTGTGGAGGATGTTCAGACTAACGTTCTGAATCACTAGGTGTTGGAGATGGGAGGTGCTGAAAGAGTTGTTGAACAAGTAGTTTCGTTGGTGGATCTCGAATGAGCAATCCTGGATGCCAAGCCAGTAAACATCCGTGAAGATGCTCATGCGGCCCATGATATCAAAGTGCCAGATTGAGAGATTGTTCATGCCGACATTGATGCGTCCGTTCTTCTGTTGGATGGTGAGGCCACGAGGCGACTTTGTCTTCTCGCCTCTCTTGCTGAATCTGACTCTGACCTCCTCCAGAGCTTTGAGCTCGGCAATGCGAGTCCAAATGTGCTGGAATCTGGAGGCATAGCATTCAGCGAACTTGCGGTCCTCAGATGAATCGGTCAAGATGGGGAAGGCGGCACTTGAGGTGTCATCGATATCCAAGGTGATGTTTCGTACACCCGGCTGGTCATGTACAGGGTAGCCAACGAGCACGTGTTCCAGGACCCGGTACAGGATGCCGATGACAGAGGAGGTTCCGTCGAGAGGAGGCTTGGCGACTGTGACGTTCAGGTCGACAGTTCTGCCAATGTGATGGAAATGCTCGAGGGCCTCGAGCAGAAGATCGCCCTTGCCCTTTGGTACATACCAGAGCAAACGGCACCCGAATCAGGAAAGTTGTCGTTATCGTAGAAGATAGTGATGGACTGGATGGTATCGCTGAGCTGAGGAAGTCGCACCGTCCACAAAAGTCTGGTGAAAGCTTTTGAGTTGGAGCGACATGAAGATGAGCAAGGTAGGTAAGGCGGAAGTGCTTTTCGACGAGTTCGAGTGTCTTGAAGAACTTGCACGCGAGTCTCAAGCTTTGGATGGCTTTCTTGTCGTCGATAGTGAGTTTGACGATCATCTGGATCAGTTCCAGAGGTAGGGACAATAAGGTCGATTGGGAAACAGGTTCCGAGGGCATCTGAGGAGGCTCGGGGCTACAGTGAGAGCTGAGGTAGTCGAAGATACCGCCTCCTGTGGTCACATGTGGTCAGCATTGGGAGTGAGAGATCTGTATTACCGACTTACCAAGACCACTCTTGAGGTGGTTCGCAGAAGTAAAGCGAGCCATGCGCGCAGCGCGGCTGCCATGCTGCATCATCGTGGCGAGGGCTGACTATGATAGAGCGGCAGCCGATGCAGTTGGTCTGATAGAGCTTTGCGTCAGGAGAGATGCGGGTGTTGGAAGTCAAGGTGGAAGACGCACGACGAACGAGTGGAGCCTCGAAACAAGGTGAAAGACGTGTGACGAACGGATGTAAGGTCAAGCCTTCAGTGCTCTGACAACGGCAGTCCGAGCCCTTCTTGCAAACAATTGACGACAGTAGGGTGTTAGGGACGAGTTGCCTTATTTATCAGTTTGTTTGGTGTTTCTTCGACCAGAAACTGTACTCCGTCTGTGTTCAATCGTATACCCTCGCTCGCAGAGAGCAACGAGCAACCGTTTTGATACACTGGTGTCTGTTTCTCGGCAATGCCGACGCAGCGCTATATAGTCACGAAAGCAAGGTCTTCACAGGTCTCGAAGATGCAAGGGGAAACATTGTCATTTCTTCTGCTTTCCTTAGCTATCACAGAGAGGTTGGGCATACCCAAAGCCATGAGAGGTTCTTTGGTCCAAAGCGTGATGTCCTCGTGATTAGCTCCACCACCTTTAGTCTTGAAGTTGGGGCAGCTGACTTCTAAATGCCTTGCCGTTATAAGTCCTCTTGCAAAGCTAGATGAGGTGAGGTATACTATCTGCTTCTACTCACGGACTCTACAGGGCAAGGAGTAATGTATACAGAATGGATGGCGGCTTGTAGGCTACCTCCCTATGCTAAAATATGTAACTTCCATTGTGCTCCGACTGTAGCAAAGAGTGGAGTAGACACTATTAAAATACACAATCTATTCGGAAGCAGAGATATGGCTAGAGGGAGTTAGTAAGAAATCGCGTCTCACTGGACACTATTCTGTTTTCTAATAGTATTGTGCATTCTTATAGCCACACGCGTTACATACTTTTGCACACGGGGAGGTAATACAACCACATCAAAATCGGCTTCAGCTCAATCACAAATCGTACATCTGACAACAAAAGGAGCAACTGGTATTCATGAAGCATATGTAATCTTCTATGCAGCACTGAGTGCGCCCTCTTTTGGTCTCTCTTTTCTCTTTCTTACAAGTTTGTGACGCTAGGTCTTCAAGGCAGCGGTGGCGGCGATTTGCGAACGTTCGGCCACTGTCATTGTTGTTGTTGTTGTCGTACGCCATCTTGGAAACAATCACTGAGATTCGGATTTGTCTCTGAGAGAACGAGCGCGCTGGTCATTCTCGATGAGGGCCAGCGACAGCGTCGGTGACGCTGCGGTAGGGGGTGGCGGCGACCTCCCAGACTCCTTCAACAAAGAAGTCACCGTTGGCGTCGTACAAGTTGGCGAGGCGGCACGTTTCGAGGTTGCCGAGCTGAAGTCTCTGCAAGGTATCGAGCCAGTCTGCGGGCTCAATGTCGGGGAAGTCGGCGTTGAAGCGTCTGAGATGAACGTTCTCAATAACGAGATGTCTCAAGGAAAGGTTTCTGTTGATAGAGAAACGCAAAGTCTGTTTCAGAAAGATAGAGTCTTTGATAGTAAGCGCGTTGACTCTCCATGAGTCGGTAAAGACGGCGTCGTCTAGTGAGTAATTGGTATAATTGCCGTCGAATTGATCGCAGTTGAAGTTCTCGAGGACCGCGTGTGCTTGTAAGGCTGTGTTCTTGGTGACTTTGATGTAGCGAGTTGGATCGCCAGCGGCTTCATGGATCTCTATCTCGATGTCCTGGGTCGTGGGAACATTTCCGTTCAATCCGGACTCAACGAAGTCTTGGAAAGAGCCGAAACAGTCATGCAGGTTCCAGTCGCGATCGCGCCTAAGATTCTCGATTCTGACAATGATCTTCCAGGCGCTTACGTCGATGGCGTTTGTGCAAGGGACGAGACGGTTGTGATCGTAGTGATGGACAAGTTGGAAAGGATGCGGAGAGACGAGAAATGTGAAGAAAGTGAGACGAGGAGTGCTGTGTTCGCGCTGACGCGTGCGATGGTTGGTCAATGGAGTTGCTCGTACGGCGCCGGCGGTCAAAGCTCTTTAGGAACAACGAACATACAAACACAAAGCTCACGAGACATGGCACAACACAGAAGAAACGTTGCTCCGCCATGTGACGGTTTGCTTGATGAGCAGAGTAAGTCTTCTGCCCCAAATCACATGTTACCTAGTTTGACGGATCCATATCCTCTGGTAGTTCATGTTCTCCCAAGGACTAGGCTAGTAAAGGAGGATGTATAGGCATAACACAACACCTCAGCCATGATCAGAGCGAAGTAGGACTACGAGAGGTGTTGCCAGGACTGGTTCGAGCTCGCCGCAAACTCCACCATGACCACCATCGCCGGCACGATCACGGAAACCCACAATATGACTATCGCCACAGACATCAAAAGTAGGAAACATGATGGGGAGAAGGCTTGTGTAGAGGAACGAGTCGCCTGTTTTATAGTGGGAAGACTTGATGAGACGAGGAGGAACTCAGTGGGCTCATGAATGGGATTGAAGAAGGGAGGGGCTTCTCTTTGCTGACGAAGCTGAGAGACTAGCTGTTTGACCAAGGAGATGCTTGACTCCCGGATGCTCAGACTACCTGCCTCGTGACGAGACGTGTGCAGCTTACTGTGGACATCATCGAACATACGCAGATGCGTAGAGGTTCTGGGGGTCCGCGGTACCCCAGAATGATATGAGACTACACAACTTCGAAAAGTTCTTGAGACACGTCAGTGTCTGACAACGAGTTCCGAAACCCTCATGAAGATGGAACAGGCATCGCCACAGCTTGCGAGGTATATTCGAGTGTACGCCGAAGATTATGTATACATTGAAGCGAAGAGCGCAAAGGGCTTTTTTCTTTCCTCGAAGCCGATTGACAAGGTCAGGAAGAAGGAGAAAGTGGGAAGGAGGGATCAAGGTAGCCTGCTTACATAATCAGACACAGCCCAGTCGCCCTTTCCGTCGGAGCACTTGCCGCAGCCAGAACAACTCTCAGACAAAGAAGTGCATATATCAGCCCACGGTCTTCGAACTCTTTGTTTCATAAAAATTCTTGTTCCTTGTAAAACTATCAATCCATGTCGTCGAAACACCCAATCAACCGACCGAGGCATCCTGGGCGCGATCATCAAGAGCTTGGCGGCGGCGCAACCTTCGAACGGCCGATAACCGCGACGGCCTTGCTTTCGTCTTGTTGCCCACGTCAACTGATGTGGTGCGCCGTATGACGAGCTATCAAAGATTATATCAGTCGTATGCCCGACTCGTCCTCATGCGCTCTTGAGGTGTCATCTGGTGTAGGAAGCCATGATGGCAGGTTACGTGGCCGTGCTGCGGTCGAGTCCCCTGCATGGAGTACAAAGATACCGTACATCTTTCTTGGGCGATCGACACGACCAAATTGCTTCTGCACCCTGGAGCATTCACAGCGACAGTACGCGTCACCAAATCTTGTGTGATGGTGTGGTAAAGCATATAACGGCAGCGTAGGTATGAGCATCTCAAGCACTTCTTCGAAAAGCACAATTACTCGATTAAATCCATCCATTCGGTTGAAAACGATTAATTGAACAGTGTCCAATTCAAGCTTCGACAAGCAGGAAGCCGCTCGACGTCATGCCCTTCTACCTCGAGAATAAAATTGCCGACGCGCACCGAAGCTCGAGAGCGACTGTGAGCTGTGTCGAAGAAGGTCCTTTCAAATTGCGAACGATCGTCTCCGATGTCAGCTATCTCTCGGAGACGATTGGACTGTTGGCGGATGCGACCACCCCGTCTGTCGCTTTGTTCGAAATGGCTACGAGAGAGCAAGCGTCAAAACTCTGGAGTGCTCTCGAGGCATGCGACCACAGTTTAGCAAATATTCGACGCATCTGGACATCTTTCGCGCAACTTGACAAGGCTGAGCAATCCCAGTTCGCAGCAGAGGCATGTTTGGAAACCGGAGGGCTCCGCTACTTGCAGTCAAAGCTCGTGAACTATTCTACCACGCTCAAGAATCTACTTGTAGACTTCAAGGTCTCGTCTACAACACTGAACTGGCCGCCCAACCTTGATGTACTCGGGAGCATTCAAGCTGAGCTTTTGGCCGAGGGTGTACAAGTCGATCATCTGCAAAACAGACACGATGAAATCAAAGCTTACATCCGATCGCTTGCCATCGGCGAGATTAGCACTTCCGTATATGCCGGTCAAGAGACAGCGTGTTCATGCCGAGCGACATTACCACTGGCTCCAGCAGCTCGCAGTTCAGTAGCTGCTTCATCTTCGCCATCGCACCGACATGTGACCGAGTTAGCAGAACAATTCTCCTCGCTGTTTGACTCGCGAGCGCTTCGTCGGCTGTCGCTAGGCGGATCAGTTATAGAAAGCGCTGCGCCGAAACCGCCTTCCGAGAAAATGGCGGCCTCAGACATCAAGCAAGAACAACTGTTGTTTTACAAGAAGGTTGTAACACCTCTTCGAAAGGACTCGATGGACCCCAATGCAGCATCTCTGGTCTCGCGATTGTCGAATGCGATGGCAAACATGGCTTTCTCGGTCAGTTTGCAGAAAAAGTCACCTAGTTTACGACCACCGCCCAAGCGGTCATCTTCTGCTGTCTTTCGTGGACTAGGGAATGAAGAACGTGCTACTGGTGACTGAACTCGAGGTTACACTGTGCGCTTCGATCGGTACTGCTGCAGATAACGAAGTTTGCAAGAAAGCCCTTGAACATCTCCAATGCGAAAGTGTGTAATTTGTCTAGCTATAAAAATGCACAATGATAATACGATACCGCCTAATGTCCACTGAGAGCCTCCTCCCCGATCGGCTCTCTCTGGACACAACTCAAATCAAGATTTGATTGTGCCTTTTATAGCTCAAATAATGCTTGTCATCGAATTGGGAGCATATTGGAATGAATTCAGATTTGTAATTCTATATTCGGCAAAACTTTGACATTTTTGAAAGCAAGGGATGTTTTCACTTCTATAACAAGCAAGGTACGCTTCACTTGACCAGTATATAAACAGCTCCTACCCATCATAACATCCTCTTTTTTCATCATCCTTGAACATCCTCTTTATACAGAGTTGCCTCGAGAACAACCTGCACATTGTCTGGTGCTGCGTGCTGCCGGTGAATTTCTCTAAGTTAACGCGTCGACACCTCAAGTCGCTAAGGTATACGTCGCGCATAAGGTTACGATCGTGAAGGGTTGAAAGTAGCATCTCTAGTTATCGACAAGGTAATTCTCGCAGTGGAAGGGAAGTCACGAGGCAGGATACTCTATATCGCCTACACGAAGTTAGGAAAAGGGGGTCGTTAATATAGACCTTATTATCGATGTAAAACCTTGTACTTGTTTTAGGAAGGGATTTAGCCTCTCATCCTCTAATCGGTAATAGCAGAATCATCTCACGTCGAACAGCACAAGGATAAAAAGATAGAACGATTGTATCTCGGATACTTGGATCTAGGAAAAAAGAAAAAACGATGGCTGTCATGTTGCAGACAGTCTACACGAAGTCTTTGACCTGTTCTTCCGTCCACTCCCAGAAGTTTTTGGCATGTACATTGCCTCCTTCAGATGCTGGTTTGGTGGCTTCAAGCAGATCCTCACGCAAAGGGTGAAGTCTTCCCCATGGCACGACCCAATCACCAGACTTTTCGAGTGTTATTTCAGCCGAGAGACCAGAGAAGAGCTCAGTGTAGGCGCCGTAGACCGAAGGATACGCGACGAAAGTATTAATGATAGCTTTGAAGATTGTGCCTCCATCGCGGTATAGATCAGATCGGAGATGTCCGGGATTGCAAGGCACAGAGACAACTCCATCTGCCTTGTAGCGTCTAGCAAACTCAACTGCGAACAGCCAGTTTCCTGCCTTGCTGATGCCATACCTCTCCAGCGGTGTGCAGGAGGGCCAGTACTTGAGATAGTCAAGAGTGATGCCATAAGATTTTTCGCCGACCATTTCCAAACCAAGAGATGAAACCCAGACGACTCGAACAGTGTTGGGCTCTTCTGTCTTTGCGGTCTCGACAAGGGTTGGTGTCAGTAGTTTGGTGAAGAGGAATGTGCCAATGATGTTGACGCCCATGTGGATTTCGTGTCCCTGGGCAGTTTTTGTAGGTCCGTCCGGGTTTAGTGCTTGCACACCAGCATTGTTAAACAGAACATGGATCTTGCTCTCCTTTGATATGATGGCTTCAGCTGATCCTCTGATGCCAGATAAATCGGCAAGGTCGAGGTGTTGGTATTCAAGACTACCCTTTGACTGAGGCCATGCAGTTTGAATATCATTGATCGCTTGCATGGCTTTCTCCTCCGACCGAGCTGCAATATAAACTTTGGCGTTCTTCGAATACAGGATCTGTGCCACTTCTTTGCCCACACCAGTATTGGATCCTGTAACGACGTAGACCTAAACAATTGGCGAAGTCAATTCATGAGACAATGGAACAGCCAACGATGAAAGAAATGTACCTTTCCCNGTCAAGTCCGGGACATCTTTCTCGGTAAAGGCAGGACTTGGAGGATACATCTGAGTCCAGATACTAGAGAATGATGGCTTCGGAGGTCTGGGTGGTTTCGGCATCACTGATGACTCGGTCATGTTTGTGTAGGTTATCAATTGATCGTTTGTACTATGAGAAAGGTTCTAAGTGCCAATCTCCCCACCAGCGAGTAAGGACAATTAAGTATTCGACGGGAACAGTCGAAGGATTCGAGTAGAAGTGGCAGGGCGCACGGACTACTCCACTTGGAATGCAGAGATCTGCACTCTTATCTTCGACTTCCCCTGTTTTCGACATCCTTTGACTCGAAGACCCTTCTCAGATCCAGAGATAATCCTGCTTATGTGTTTGAGAAGCTGCAGACTCCCATCAATGACGAGCAAATGTGAGAACATGGATGACTATCTTGTTCAATACCGCCTGGTCCGGAACGTGACTCATGTTGTGTGAGTGGCGTGATCCGAAACTAGCCACCCCGGCCCGAACGGTAGTCGTTGCTTGTACGAGCTTGTTGGAACTTCCGGTGGTTCCTTTACGGCCGTAACATGAGTCTCAGATATTATTCCTTCTCTCCTGCTGACTCAAAACGGGAACATCAGTGCAGCAAGTCCTGAGTTTACCCACGTGTCGAAGAAAGCAAGATGCTATTGAATGAAGAGAAGCAAGATGGTTCGAGTGCCGGAAGTGTTATTCGACACAGCTATCAAAACTTGGAATGCAGATGTGCGAGTCATGGTTATTCGTAGGAATCTGTACATTCGTCCGAGCATTTGTCACACCAGGTAGCGGCAGGGGTTTACTTCGTCAAAACGATATCAGGAATGAGAGCCCGATCAGATATGGTTAGGATGGAGACTGGGATGTTTTGGTCGACCTTACTCAGCAGAGAGCATTTGCTCTACTTTCGATCTGTGCTTAGCTTCCAGTTGTGAGTAGATCCAGTAGTTATCATCCGCATCCTTCGAGATGGCGAAACCGCTGATGAGGTCGAAGTCCTGTATGATAGCATGCAATTGGTTATAGGTGGGACAAACAGGTTTCGAATCGTTGAACCCTTTGTCTAGGAGAGTGGGAGAAAAGTCTACTTTGTAGATTTTACTCTTGATCCAATTTGTGCAGATAATCATTCGCATCCAGGGATCTCCATAGAGCGCTGGATAACCCGTTCTTCGCTGCCACGCACGATCTAATGAGAACCGAGCTTCTACCTGTTCTCTCGTGCTTAGTTGAGTGATTGTCTGCCGAATCGATAGAGCAATTTCGCCCAAGGGTTTCGCGAGAAGTTGTGCTGCTGTAACAAAGGTAGGCATCATCATAACCGCGTTGGACACATATGGATTCTCAGGGCGAAGAAGTTCCGGAGTCAGGACTGGTCGCAGTCCCAGCAGGGTGTTGATGACGAATGTCTCGGTTTCTTGCTTCGAACTGCAGGAGGCGATGTATCTGGACCACCAAGCGCAAAGTACGTCACTGTCGCTCAGAAATGGTACCGCAGCTGATGGATCACTAGCTTCAGCGATGTCTCTGAAGGTCATGCTTCTGAGCTTCCTGACGTACGAGCCAGGGACGCATACCACATAATCCTTGATGTCTGACTTGAAGAAAGTCCTTCGGACAAAAGCACGAACGCCAAACAGGATGAGCTGCCAAATGCCCATCACACGCGATTCGTGTTTGTAAGGAACCTCAGGTTGGGTTCCCAATGTGGCAAGAGGATCTTCGTAGACTCCCTGCAAATCCGGGACTTCCTGCTCACGGCCTTGCAGTACGAGAGACCATGCATCCAACACCGCCTTTCCTCCCAATCCGTCGAGGAGGAGGTGACTGAAAGATAAGGTCACCAGAGTGGCATCATCGAACGATATGACACGCAGTCCTAACATAGGTCGGTCCGTGTTGAGATAATCCTCGAGAGATTCTGGATCACCCTTACGGCGCATAAGAGGAACAAAGTCGCTGGCACATGCGACCAATTCTGGCCTTTGAGAGGCCGAAGGCAAGCGTGAGGCAAGTGGATGCTCGCTTATAGACGATTGAATGATCTCGTGGTGGAATGCGATTGCAGGTTGGTCGGTATCAAATTGAGATGGGATATGAAACTCTAGCGCTTTTTGGTCNCTGAAGTACACACGGTCAGCTTTCCTTCGACTTGACATCTCAAAGACCATGCTTACGTTCTGGTGTAACCGAGCACCTAGTTTGCGCCAGCCACCATCGCGATCGATGAGCTTGACCAAAGAATCTTTGAGCTTGTTCGCGTCCAGTGGCGCATTGAACCTCGACAGATGATAAACCACAGCCGAACGCAGTGGCAGATCCCACATATGAATAGGGACTACTCGATGCGATTTGGCATTCTCCACTCTCGTGTAAGTCCTGCTCGACCGGAATGCGGGTTTTGAAACAGCCCGAATCAGGTTGAGGCTTTGTGTTTTGATGTAGCTCGAGGCGCGCTCGAGAGCAGACAAAAGCTTCCAGAAGATCATGTTGAGTGGAGGATCGTCTGTGGATGAAACACCTGCATATACGATGTGAGTATTCAGGAAGGTGAAGTTCATGAGAAATTGCTGCTTATCTCTTCGAGATGTCAAAGATGAGGTCGGACATTGGGGTGCGACATACTTGGACGCCACACATGCAAGACATGCTTGGCATGCAGGTGGCTAAAGATATCCCGCAGAGGATTCCCATACCGCAAACCACATGCTAAAGGGACTATAAAAATGCAGGATGTAGACGTAGTTCAGGTGTTCATCCAAAGAGAGCCAGGAAGTCATTCAAGTATTCAGGATTCTCAATGGACAAGCACGGTATGTCAAGGTTGTTGTGCATTTTGACGGGTTGATTTTGATGAGATGCCTTTTCTGCAACCAACTACTCCAACAATATCTTCAGCCCCCTCCTCCCTATCGGCGATATCCCTACTCAAACAGTCTCCCCCTGCGCCTGATCCTCCTCCATACCCTCGCCCTTCTCTCCATCCCCTTCTTCCTCCTCCTCGCCCACCAGAGCGTGAAGGGCCCTGATGTGCTCACGAAGGCTCTCAACAACCAAGACACACTTCTGGAGGTACCCCTCAAACCTCTCAAACGCCTCCTCAACCCCCTTTTCTCCCTTCTTAATCTGCCAGAACTTGGCACGCTCAGCCAACGCATAGCTGTTGACCATGGCATCGTTGACGGCGAGAGCCAGGTCCTGCTCGCGAAGACAAGCGGGCAGTTGCTGCATGTCGTCGAGATGGTTGACGATTTTGGTTTTGAAGCCGGTCAGGCGGCGCAGGGTGCGGTGGTACTCCTGGTTGGAGCGGCTGCGGTCCATGGAGAACCAGTGTGACATGATGGTAGGCTGTGGGAAGGGTCAACGCGGCAGTCAGACAAGAGTGACGATCAGGGAGCTTACGAGATTGACGAGATGCTTGTGGTGGTGATGTGTCTCTTGTATGCGCAGTCTTGAGAAGTATGCTTGCTGCTATACGATGGATGCGACAAGGAGGAAGGGTGGTTGTCGAGATGATGTAGTGTTTTCGCGGACGAACAGAACCCTTTACTGCAATTCGTACTACGACATCACTAACATGGCATCAGACTGGCTTCACTTCTGTTTGTAAGAGTTCACAGCATACTTCATTAGAGGCAAGTGATAGAAAGACGGGAGAATGGTGCACATTTATGCATTTGAGTGGCTAGTACTGGCTTCCCATTTCTTCACCAAGACTTCCCCTTCATTGTGATTTCTGCCAGGCAAAAGCGATCGCCGAATAGGCTTGTAGTGACGAGCTAAACAGAGTCAGTGAACTGTAAGAGCAAAAGAACGAGGTGATCAAACAACATACCTGATCAGACAGTCTCGCTGTCCTTGCGCTTTTCAGCGTCGGCGAGGAGTTTGTTCTTGACAGCAAGGATTGCGACGACAAGGAACACGGCGCGTTCTTTCTTCTCAGCCTTCGACTCTGGCATCGAGTCTTGAAGGTTGCGGAAGCGCAGAGCAAGGTCGCGGCGGACTTGGTCGAGTAGCTCTTGGGTGCATGGCGGAGCTGGGTTTCTTGGTGGACCAGTGGCGCGACGAGGAGTGAACCAGGGTGACATTGCCATGTTGATGTTGCTGACAACGTGAGTTTCTGGCGCTGCAGATGAGATAGACGTGTACTTACTGTTGGGTGTAGTCAAAAGGCTGCGTAGAATTTGGTATGTTGTGGTGGAGAGAGGTTTGAAGTTGTTGCGATCAAATACACGCTCCTGACGCGGTCAGTGCTTGTTTTTCACTCCCTTCGATCGTTTTCCGTACGACTCTCGAACCCAAGCTGCTTTCTCCGTTGTGTTGGACACTTGCAAGATGACAATAGAATTGCAGGATACTTTCTTGACAGGCAGTGATGTTTAGTGAGATGGCATCATTCTGAGATGCTTCTGTGGCTACAATTGGATTTAGAAAGCAATTGTGCATTTTTATAGTTGTTTAGTAGGTAGTCATGAATGACGAGATGATTAGTTATTCATAGTATCCATGATAGACAGCACTTGAATCACATCTGCCTTCTCCATTATGTTAGACATTTGCAAGTTGACTGTGGGAATGCGTGATGCTTTCTTGATATGGAGTGAGTTCCAGTGAGATATTACCATGATAGCATGCTTCTATGGCTGCAACTGGATTTAGAAAGCAATCGTGCATTTCTATAGCTCTTCAATAGGTAGTCTTGAACGAAGAGGTGGTTGATTATATGCAGCATCCATGGCAGACGGCACTCAAATCACACCTGCCCTCTCTATTGCGTTGGACACTTTATTATTATTTATTACAATGTATAATACTTTCCCAACAGCGATGATGTCCACTAAGACGATATCTTTCTAGGATGTTTCTATGGTTGCAAGTGTTTTAAGAAGGCAATTGTGCAATTCTATAGCTCTCTGTTGTATAGGTCTCGCCGAGGGGATGATCTTTCCAGACGACTATTAAACTACATCTACCTTCCCTGTTATGTTAGATACTTCTACACTAACTATAAAAAGGCATAGTAATAACTTAAAATCAATGGTTTCCAATGAGATAGCGTTGTTGTAGGAGGCTTCTATGGATGCAAGTGTATTCGAGAAGCGATTGTGCATTTTTATAGCTCTATATTAGGTGGTCTTGGAGGATGAGATGGCGGATCGTTGGTAGTATTCATGATCAAGATGAGGTTGGTTGAAAAGTTACTTGCAACATTTCTCTGGCCACGATTCTTCTCGAACTACAACTGTGCATATATATGGCTTGTTTCTTGATCATTGTGGACATCGGAGCAATGGTTCAATGGTAGAATTGATGATCAAAAGGAGGATTGTTGATCTCTAGTATACATGTGCATCCTGCTCCAGCTTTCGTGATTTCATGCTTTGTTTCCTTTTCCCTTGCTTTCGAATTTCAATTCGTTGCTCTCCTCCCCCTTGATCGTCGTTCTTCTCCTTGTTCGTTCATTACTCGATTCATTGCTTCGTTGAACTTTAGACCTGCCCAACGAACGGTTACTCCGAATCTTCCATCAAGTAAGGGTCGCACTTGCAAGCAGCAGCACTCTCCAAACAAGTACCATAAGTACAATCCCTGTAACCGCCCAACTGCTGAGCTCCGACCTGCATCTGAGCTTCCTTGGCCCTAGCCACCAAGAATTCATTCTCTCTTTTCTTCTGCTGCTTTTCTGCTTCCTTTTCGGCTTTTCTGGCTGCCTGTTCGGCGCGGATTTCGGCCTTTTCGGCATCGGTGGCTTCGGTTCTGGGAATGATGGCGGGGCGAGGATGAACCCAGTGAGTCATAGGTCGAAGAGGAGTGAAGTTGGGGCCGGGAGGGCGGTCGGTGGTTGTGGATGCCAGTGAGAGAGTGGAGACGAACTTGGCGCCTGGAGCAGGGTGGGAAGGCTTCTTGTTGTCGTTCATCTCTGGCTCGCTGGGTTTGGAGGTGGTGGGAGACTTTGAGAGGTTCTTGTCACTGCCCGGGACCGGTGCGGCTGACTTAGGCTTGGTAGCGGTCTTCTTGTCCATGATGGTGGTCTGAGGATAACGAAGGTTCTTGATGTTTTGTGCGAGGTTGTTGATGTCGTTGTCAAGGTTGGTAGAGTCAACCTCGCCCTCTTTATACTCGCCCAGGGGCTTTGCGATGTCGCTGACCGTGTTGGCAGCTTTTGCAGTCTCACTGGTGTTGTTGCCATTGAGGCTTACACGCAGCTTGCCGACAGTGGTGGCAGCATTGGTGTTGGGAGCGTTGGCAGAGGTCAGGTTGCCGCCTGTCGACGATGGGTGTGTCCGAGAGCCGTCCCTTTGAACGCACTCTCTGCCGACTTTGCGGCAGTTTCTGCAGACTGGCCTGCTCTCGTCACACTTGAGGTGACGGTCCTTGCAGGTCATGCAGCCCTGCTTCGATCTTCCCTTGGAAGTACGTGTTGCCATCTCTGCTGCCTTCTCAAGTTAGTATGAGTATGCGTTGATGCAAAGAGTGGCAGACTTACGTTGTCGTTAAGATGGAGGATGGAGAGAGGGAAGAAGAAAGGTCGAGAACCGTACCGTGTCTGTTTGTAGTGATGAATGTTTGGAAGAGACGAACCACGCCGGCCTCGTTTCGTTTGCTTCACCTAGGTGTCGTCGTGACGATAGCCATCTCTCCTTGGCCACGTCTCGAATTCTCCAAACCTTTTGCATTTGTACAAGCCACAATCGGATGGTGCATCGGTTCCAGGGATCTTGTCTTTGTAGCACTATATGTCGCAGCACTCGACCTTCTCATTGGCCATGTCTCGAATTCCTTAGACCTCGTGCATTTTTACAAGCTTCAATCGACAGGTGCCTCGATGGCAGGGATCTCATCTTTGTAACAGTACACATTGCTACAATGGGTACGCACCCTCTTGACAGCTCTTGCTATTACCACACAGGTTCTCCAAGGCACAAGCTACATCGTCTTTTGGGAAGACGATCACTCCTGGGTAAGAGCGGCAAAACTGACACTCGCTCTTGGCAAACAGACAACCACATGTAAGTCCGACAAGTGTCTATGTCGTGATCATTCAGACAAGGCAACCAGCAGAAAGGGAGGAAAAGGATGGAACGTCGAGTGATCAGATAACCAAAAAATAAAAGAAAGAGGTGTATTCGTCCTGAAAACAAAACGCCTAGCTATGGAGGGGAGAGAAAGACAAAAGAACGCCCAATCGTTCATGGCATATATCGACTTTCTATCTTTTTTCAAGGACGTCAACCATGTAGCGCCACTACCGTTCGAACACCGTGCTCTTCTGAACATCATCAATAACCGTCTCCTTACCCTTGCCCTTATCTGCCTTTGCAGCCTCAATCTCTTTTTCCATACTCTGTTCAGCAGTCTCACCCATACTACCCGTCCTAGCAGGTGTTTGTGGCGCCGCAGCATCGACTTCAGCTCCCTCAAGCAGATCTCTGCCACCTTCGTCTTCCTCTTCGTCATCAGACTCCGTGCCACGGGTAACGGCCCCACGGTCAATCTCCTTTTGTGCTTCATCCATTCTGCGGCGTACTTCGGCGGCTACGCGCATGCCGTCGGTGACAATGTTGTCCAGCATACCGCGAAGACCCTTTCCTGGTGCCATTACGCCAGCACCAGGGCCGCCGGGACTGAGGATGGGCAGGTTGACTTTGGCGGGGAGATTGCTGAAGGTCGTGAGATTGGCTGTGGAGACAGTGCCAGCGGGTAAGGGTGCATCCGCGAGGTTGAAGGAGTTGGGGAAGCCGGAGTCGAAAAAGGTTTCGAGAGCTTCGTCTGCGAGGATGAGCATGCGGAAGGTCGGGAGCGTGATGAAGAGGGGGTGATTGGGATCAAGTGCTTTGTTGGCGGCTGCATTGCGGTTCGGTGTTGTTTGACCAAAATTGAACGGCGAATTGGTGATGGGTGTGACGGGAGTTTTCGTGATGGACGGCACAGGCGTCGATTCTTCTACTTTTGTCTCTTCGGCCTTCGGCTTCTCATCGCTCAATTGGAGCAAATCCTCTTCGGCGTCCTCATCATCTTCATCATCTCCGATACTGAAGGAGTTGAGGTTGTCTGCTGCAGCCGAAGCCGAGTCCTCTGACTCCTTCTCATTCTTTGTGGTTACTTCAGCAGATGGCGTGTCTGTAGCTGCTGGTGATTGGTCCGGGTCGGCATACTCGAAGCATCTTCGAATGAAAGCTGATATGCTGCTCAAGAACTGCTCATCCTTGTTCACTCCTCTCAATGGCATGCCGTCAGGTCCAATCTCAGCTTGAGCAGCAAGGTTGGTGGAGGATACAGATGGCGTGACTGATCCGGTGATACCACGTCTCGACAGGAAGAGCAAAGCTTCCGAGATGCGCAGAATGCCTTCTCTGTCGACCTTGCCATCTTTGTCGTCATCGTAGAGATCGAAGAAATAGCTGATGTTGGACATAATGTCGCGAGGACCCTTGATGCGTGCAAAACCAGCTACAACCTTCTGCAAGCTGAGAGCTTCTGCGTTATCGGTATCCCAAGACTTGAAAAGGCGCTGCAAAAATTCGTGCTCGGCGGGCTCTGGACCAGAACCCCAGGGTGATAGAGAAACAGAGCGGGCGCGGAAAGTGTTTGCGAAGTAACCGCCATTCTTCTCCGAGTCTTGCTTGGCAGGTGAGCTAGGGGAGTCCGTAACGGCCCATTTGGCAAGACCAGCCAGGAACTCTCTGAAGCTGTCGTAGTCCATTTCCGTGGGACTAGGGCCGAGGCCGACTCTACCCTTCTCAACATTGCTGGGAATGCCGCTGACAATCTCAGCAGCCTTGGTTTTGGCGGCCTTTGCTCTGCGCTCTTGTTCTTGCTGAATCATCTCCATTCTTTGTTGTCGCTCGTAGAGCACGCCGTAGAATCGGTCGTACAGGAAGCCAAGGTCACTAGTGCTCAGCTTCTTGCTTTCAGGGCCGAGATTTCTGATCGAGGTTCGTTTTGCGAAAGATTCGATGTTGTCAAGGACAGCATCTTTGTGCTTGGCCCTCAAATCAGAGATGCTTTGTTGTGTGATGCCAGAGAACTCCTTGAAAGCAACGACCATCAAGGCTTGGAAATTTGTGACGGCTCTCAACTTGGGGTTCTCGGATTTCGGGTGGGCTGACTCGCCCAGACGAGCAAAGTATGACTTGAGAACTGAGATGAAGGTACCGTCATCTGTGGCATCTAACAGCTCCTCGCCATTGACTCTGAGAATAGCCAGACCGATCTGGAACAAGACCTTGGGACCTTCGAGGAAGAAGACATCAAGGACTCGGAACGCGAACATCAGAGGCATGGAGTTGATGTAGAGCGAAAGGAACCAGGGTAAAGAAACGACTGATAGCTGAACATCCGACTTGGCAAGATGTTCGGAAAGAATAGGCAGTGTCCTCTCAACAAGCGATTCAAAAACCCGTTGATCCAAAAGAGTGCCGTACATGGTTTGTGAATAGTATCCTGGTAGGAGTCGATCGCAGAGAATGGACAGAAGATAGAAAGCTTGTGTCTCAGAAAGGTAGATGAGGAGAGCGGCAACGACAATATTCATAGCTTGACAGTAGCCAACTTCCAGATTGGTCCAACTGTAAGCAGTGAGAACACGGCGCAGACGACCAATACCCTCTTCACTCTGGAAACCGGGATACTCAGGCAAACTGCGATTTAGGTCCTTCTCGATCTCGTCGATAGCAAGCGAATGTTGACCGTCGTATTTTGTCAGTGTATCCTGGTAGAGCTTTGGCTGCTGCATTCGTAGATAGAAAGATCCAGATGTGAGCTCCCATACTTCACCACGTAGACGATTGGGTAGACCGATTCTGACCAGTCGAGGCAAATCTGGCTGTCTGACGAGTGTAGCGTTGCGACCATTTTCTNNGTGTCCTGTTAGTACATGTTTATGCTTGGTCCAGTACAGCTGACAAATACCTCGTAAATACTCGTACCACAATCTCATCTTGCCCTTGTCTCTGAGCTTCTTGGGGTCGCCAGGATAACGGAACTGCATGCCCAGACCAGCATCTGGAGGCTTCAGCTGTTCCTCCGGGCTCTGATCATCGACCAGCTTTTCTGAAGGAGAGTCTTTCTCAGTGCGTCGCTTGGCCTCGGCAGCCAGCATGTACTCGGAGTAGCACTCGGCGACTACCTTGCGCATGCCATCAACTTCGCGCATACCCTCACGCAGACCTTTCTTCAGCATGTCACAGAATTTCTCACACTGTACTCTACTGCCAGCCAGCTGGATAGTGAGCTTGGGTGCTGGCGGGGCCGTCTTGCCAGTGTGTTTTGTGTTTTTCTCGTCGGGGGCAGGATAGCCATTCCATGTAGTGATAGACAGAGCAAACATGTAGCTCTGGCTGTGCAGACGCTCAACACGACGCACGGCACAGAGCGGAAGTGTGAAGCCATTGCCAGCGGGACCGGCGCCGTTGGTCTGGCCTGTAAAGGCAGTCGATAGCGAAGTACTCGCAGTGGGAGAGAAGCTCGAGTTCTGAGTAGAAAAACACAGGAACTTCTCGGACAGGTGTAAGCGACCGACGTAGTGGTTTCCACGCTCACGGTCCCAATTGTTGCGCTGCTCGTGGCTCTTGCGTGGTGTGTCGGACGACGATTTGGCCGAGGAAGTCGTCTTGGGCGGGAGAGTCAACTCGGCCGTGATCTCGTACAGGGGGCTTTGCGAGTCTGGCAGACGGAACTGCTGACGGAACAGGGCGGCCTTGGACGAGCGGTTGTCCGAGGGCGCAAGGTTGTTTAGTGCAGGCTGCAGGTTCTGGTCAACAAAGACCTGCGCCTTTTGGGCAAAGTTGGACAAGCTGTTCCACATGATGCTAATGCTGTTTGGTGCGGTCGATGTCACACTAGCGAGTTGCGAAGGAGGGGAACAGTAGGCCAGTCAGGAACAGAAACAGACAATCGATGGCCCAGGAGCCGCGAGGTGTGATCTCAAGTCGGCATGCGAGCTGTGACTCTGCTGTTCTGCCTCGTGTTATGTTTTTGAATAGCGATAGAAAGTGTCTTGTGTTTCCTGTTCAGTGCGTCATGCTCTTGCCCAAAGGTACGTGGACCTTGCTGTTGCTGGCAGCTTCCCCCTCCGGCTTGGCCCGGTCTAGTAGACAGGGTCTGATGGACCCTGTTCTCACTTTGCTTTTACTCTTATTTTCACCTACATGTAGACAACTCGGACATACACATCAAATCTTAGCTACTCTATCCCTTGTTACACCTGCTTTGTCGTTGAGCAATGGTAAAGAGCTCATTGCGCGGGACCAGCTTATGACGTAACTTGTCTTCGAAGGGCTCGTGCGCTTGCGGCAGGGTTACTTGATTTACATGGTAAAAGAGAGTATCGACGACAATACTCTCACCAGATGACTTAAGACATGTGGCTTGGGTTTATATCGGATATGAAGGGCATGCTGGCTGGAAGACACTGGTTTAGGCTTGGACTGAGAGTGGTTTTCGGTTTTTGTCTTTTTGTAGAAGATTCTGCTATTGGAAGCATTAATGCTCATGTGCAAAGGTAATGAATAATGATATGGTATGACCATGTATTGTATCTCTATAAGTCTATCGATCTGCCTTTTCAGCATGATTATCTATAAAAGTCTAAAGGGTATATGTCAAAAACGCTAAATCAAGAAAAGATATACAAGAAGCAGAAACTGCAAAGATATCAACTCAAACAAGCACCTCAAGCGCTCTTGGTCTTTCTGCCTCTAACTCTGGTAAACCAGGTGATGAAGTAGATGAGTGCAACATTAGACACAACCGCAAACACCAAAAGATACCCCAATCCCTCCATCTCTGGCTGTAGTAGTAGTCCATGGTGGCTGCGTACTCAGATCCGGTGGAGTAAGGGCAGTATCCGCAGTTCTCGGTTGCATCAGGGTTGACGAGGTATCCTGTGCTGCGAGAGAGGTAGTCAGCAGCATATGCCGCACAGGTCTGTCCAGCGGGAGGATCGAAGCGAGCGAGATCGTTGGCAGAGCAGTGGACAGGAACGGGTTTGAGAAGGCTACTCACGCTACCGCCGAAGAACCAGCGGAAGGGATCGAGCCAGTACAGCCAGTTGCGGTAGAAGTCGTTCAAGGAGGCGTGAGGGATAAGTGTGCCGTTGAAGATCATGAGGATGTTCCAGAAGAGAGCAGATGCGAGACCACAAGTCTGCATGTTGGAGAACAGACAACTGAGCAAAAGTTCCACGACATAGCGAAGATGCCAAGGGTAACGAACTGGAGATACTCGTAGCCTGCGATGGTGGTCTCGGAAGAGTAACCGACCGTCCAGTACATGCAGAAATAGATCAGGGTGAAGCCAACAACCATGTAAGGCACCTCGACAGAGAGCATGGCAGTTGTCAAAGCCTTCCAGGAGTAGATGCCGTTTCTCTCGCGAGCTTCGAATGTAGCCCACTTGCTGAACCACATAGATTGGAGGTCAGGAGCAACAGCAGGGATAATTTGGACAATGATGAGGAGGTTGAGAACGTTATTTTGCAGGCCTTGAATGTCGGTCTTGATCATGAAGTAGGTAAACGCAGTGAAAAGTTCACACCACAGGAATTTGAAGAAGCGACTGAAGTTGTAGCTGCCATCACGCCAGACTGAGATCCAGTGACGCTTGGTGACAGCCTTGATCTGAGGCCAGAGAGGCATAGCGAACTCACCCTTGTTGGTGGGACCCGACTGGGCAGCAACGGATGTTTTTTCGTTGATTATGTCGATAGTCTGCTGGACGCGTGCCTTCTCGGGAGATTGAAGCCAGTTATCGTGCCAGACAGCGGAGTTGTCGGCTCCAGAGACAGTTGAGATGATGAATTCAGCAGGGTTCTCGGATTCGTTCATGTGAGCACCGTAGCGATCGAAGTATTCGACGACCTTTCCAGAGTTCTTGCCAGTCTCACCGAAGTAGATAGTGCGGCCACCAGGTGCAAGAAGCAGAACGTGGTCGAACATTTCGAAGAGCACACCGGAAGGTTGATGGATGGTACAGATGATAGGGATGCCTTCGCGAGCAATTCTTTGCAGGAAGAAAACGATACTATAAGCAGCTTGCGAATCGAGTCCACTGGTAGGTTCATCGAGGAAAAGGAGTGAGCTTGGTTTAGCAGCGAGTTCAACTGCGATGGTGACACGCTTTCGCTCTTCGACTCCGAGACCACCCTCACCAGGTGTACCAATGAGAGCATCGGCAATAGGGCCTAGTTCGAGCAGCTTGATGATATACTCGCAGTACTCCATCTTCTCGGCATGGGGAACATCAGCAGGTTGACGAAGCTCAGCAGAGAATTGCAGGGCTTCTCTGACGGTAGAGAATGGCTCATGAACGTCTTGCTGCATGGCAAAACCGCAAGATCTTCCAAAAGTAGTATCAAGAGGATGGCCGTTCAGTCTCATAGCACCTTCAACGCGGCCTTCGTTCTTTCTCTGACTGATAGTGTCCAAAAGAGTAGTCTTGCCAGCACCAGAAGCGCCCATCAGGGCAGTAAGTTGGCCTGGACGAGCATAGGCGGAAACGTTCTGGAGCAGCTGCTTTTCACCACCTGCCACGTTGACGTAGTAGTTGACATTCTCGAAGGTGAAAGAGGATCCACTGTCGTCGGGTCTTCCGTGGTTGGTGTCATCGTCGTCGATGCGGGTGGCTGAGGAGGCAGAAGATACGGGATCCAGAGCCAAGTCGTTAACGGTACGGCTAGGCTGTTTCTCCAGATCCTGCTCATCAACTGTCATGCCGCTGGAGTTGGCAGTGCTGGGCATAGTTTCGGTGTGAGCACCACGTTTGAAGACATGACCACTAGCGCCACCCTGCTCACGAGCAGTATAGGCAAGACCAACGGCTGCAATGATGGTGTAGATGGCCCACATGGCAATGATGATACCGAAGTTTCTCCAGAGATTGGATCTGTACATGTCGTATGTCAAAGCGAGATAAGTTGAACCAGGAACGTCCGGACTACCCTTGACACTACCGGGCAGTGTGCAGCCCTGATTGGCGAGGTTGTTGTAGCCAGGACCGCTAGGAACCATCTGAGCATCGGTGCAAGAAAGTGTAATGTCGTAGAACTCATTGCCCATCAAGGCCTCCAGAGCCCAAGGTGAAGGTGAGATACGGCGAATCCAGCTACCCCACTTGTGCAAAGTTGGCCATGGAGGGGCAAAACCAGAGTATGTAAGACAGACTGGAATGGCGGATCCAGCCATCAACAGTGCGAGATTGAGGTTGGGAGCGATGGCACCGATCATACGGAACAGAGCACTGGTGGCACCGTAGTGGACCCAGACGATGAGGGAGAAGATGAAGAATTGAGACGCTGTCTTGCCTAGACCGAGCATGAAGTAGTAACAGCAAGAAAAGACCAAAGCTTGGAACATGGAGATGGGGAGGTCCGCGACAGTTTGTGCCAGGACATAAGCAGATGGGTGAGACAGACCAAGCTTTCTCTGTTTAACAACGATCGAACGAGAAAGCACAGTGGCGGGAGTCTCGGCGAGCGCGTTGAGGAAGAAGTAGATTAGAGAGAAGAAGATAGCACCACCACGCTCGTAAGAACCAGTCGCAGTCTTGGGAGCCATGTAGAAAGCAGAACCAGTGATGACAGCATTGATGGCGTTCAGTAGGAGAAGGGTATAGAGCGTGTTGCGATCACCCCAGGTGAGTTGGTAGTGACGTTTCATGGCAGTGACAATCTGTTGGGGGAGCGAGTGTGGCTCTGCCGCTGTCTTGGGAACGCCAGATGCACGAACCCTCTGAACTTCGGTCTTGAAGTCGTTGACGTAAAATGCATTTGAAGCGTGCTCAGCTCGGTAAGCTGCAATATCCTGTTGCATCTCGACATAGAATGTGCTTTCTCTGAAGGCCAGTGCGAACTCGTCGGATGTAGAAGGGACGGGACCGACATGATCGCTACGAACAGTTCTCTCGGTCACGGATGTGACAGCAGTCAAGAAGTCAGGAGTAGTTTGTCTAGGTTCGCAGTGATAACCAAGATCAATGAAGTATTGACGTGCAGCAGCTGCTCTTCCGGAAAAGATCATTCTGCCCTTGTATAGTACAAGCACGCGGTCGAAGCACTGATCGTAGATGGACTGTGATGTTTGATACATGGTGACAATGTTGGCCATTCCGGTCTCTCTCGACATGTCCTTGAGTAGGCGACAGAAGGCGAGGGCAGAAGAAGAATCCAGACCACGAGATGGGTTGTCGAAACAAGCGACTGCTGGGTTCGTCGTCAAGACTTCAGCCAGGGACACACGCTTGCGCTCACCACCAGATACACCCCTTACGAAAGAGTTTCCGACAATGGTGTTGATGGTGTGTGAAATGCCGAACTTGTTGAGGAGTTTTGATCGCATGTTCTCCTTGAATCCGGCCTTTGGTTGTTCGTCCTTGGCCGGTTTACGTAGTTCCAAGGCATAGTCGAGTGTGTTTCCGACAGACAACTTCGGAAAATGGTTATCCTCTTCGTTGTTGTAAACAATCTCCGACTTGTAAAGCTTTCTGGCTTCGGCGGAGGAAATAGTTGAATAGTTGACCTGGCCATCAACACCGACGAAAGACTCGACGTCACTAGCAATAGCGCGTAACGTTGTTGAGCAACCGGCTCCAGGAGTTCCTAGGACGAGTAGTGTTTCTCCAGGCTGAACAACTCCAGAGACATCCTGAATCAAGTTGCGAACGTTCTTGTGGCGGTTTCCAGCAAATAGTTTTACGGCCTGGTAGGGTAGTGTGATGATATTCTCCAGCACTTGGGCGAAATCTGTGACTGTGTTTTCTTCTGCTGCTACACCAGTGACTGTGATGTTTTCAAAGACAACACCAAGGCGGCGACCATCTGGTCTGTACACTGGCAGCTCGTTCACCTGTATGATGTTAGTATGAGTTTTTGATTACCAGGTGCCATACTACGGACCTGTTTCTCAGCCATTGTCAAAAGCCTGAGCGTATGCTCCTAGAAGTGGCTTGAAGAATAGCGAGAAGGCGAAAACACGAATATAGATGTCCATGTTTGGAAGGGCTCTTTAGACTATATATCTCAGACGGCAAAAAATGCTTACTAGAGGTTTCCGCTCAATTATCAAGCACAGGTCCACATATCCGTTGCAAGCCTACGACATACAAATAGATGCCGAGTTGATGTCGAAGCCTGCTCCATCGTAATTGGTCAGGACACCGAGCAGCTTCGGAAGCGCCCAAGCTTTTGTCTCTTGCTCGGATGCTGCAGCCAATCACGCAAGGCAGGCCCTCATTTTTCATTCCCGAGGGCAATTCCGCGATGTTTCTTCCATGATCTCGCCGAAGATGTTGACATGTTCTTGACAGATTTGCCATGTGCCGAATCAGCCTCGACGCGTCCGTGTGCTGGAAGCCGTTCAATCTCATCGATGAGACATGATTCGTATGAGATTGATGCCATCAATATCCGAAGATAACAACAAGTACCGAGATGAACTTTCATAAGAGCCGTCTACCAAGATGCCTTCGGGCATTCATACCTGGAATAGCCCAAATAGCTTGCGCACAACGATTCGAAGATTGTTATGATCCAGCTCCTGAGCCAATATTGATCTTGTTATATGTACTTGGTTCGGAAAGGGTTGGTCATCAGCATTGTTCTTGCATAGTATGGCACTGAGATCACACCAGAAACTTGGAAACTGCAGCATGGTAGTGAAGGAGCAGATTTTTGGCGACTACCGGTAGGCACTGAGCTAGGATGGCAGCCAGAGATGCGAATACCCTTGACCGCGAGTGTCGGTTGAGTTGTTGTTGTCGTATAGGAGCGCTTGACGCGTGAAGACGTGAAGCTGTGTCGAATCACTTTGAAGACAATGAGTCGAGCATTCACCCAACACAAAGACTCATTGGAATTAAAAAACTCGAGTTCAATGATTCAGCCTTTTGGTTAAAACACAGCTTCGTCCTTTAGTCCATAGCGAGAGACGATGATGGGTTATTACTCTGACAGGGACAGGGTGGCAGCGTGGGTGCTCAACGCGGAGAGGCAGTCGCGGCAAGCGCCGAGGTTGTTTGCGACTCCCAGAATCGCTACATCATCTCTATACAGCAGCACACGACAAAACATGTCATCGGCACCGCAGAACCCTCTAAAGAGACCAAGAGCCAGATCCACAGTGAAGCGTACACATCAACTCAGCCACATCCAGCAACTGCCGCCAGCGACAGAGCCCGCGCCGCAAGATGAGGCTTTCGTCCAGGCCCAGCTGCTGCGCTCCATCTGCACCGCCCTGACCATTGTCGGCTATGACAGTGTCAAGCCTTCCGCGCTGGAGATGTTCCGCGCAGAGGTCGAAGAANTGTGAGCACCCTCCTCTGAATGATAGAACACGCGCAAATGGCTGATGCGACGCAAACCAGACATGATGAACTTCCTTACCACAGTCAAAGACTCGATGAGAGCTTCGCGGCGGTCGACCGCTCTACCACAAGATTTCATCTTTGCCCTAGCAGAAGTCGGCCTGGAATCACACCAACTGGAACCCCACCTTGATTTGCGCCTACCAGACGACATTGCCAATCCTACCATACTCCCTCCACGACCAGACGAAGCCCCTCCGCCCGATCTGGCCCCCATGCTTGGACAAGAGCTGGTTACACCTGCCGCACAGCAATACGGATACATACCCTCACATTTCCCTCCGCTACCGAGTCGTCACGCATGGCAAAGTACCGCCCTCTTCACACAACGAGAACAAGACCCTCGACGTATCCGTGAGCGCGCGACAGACGAAGGTGTCCAAGCCGAACATGCTCTGCGCAAACTTACTACTGCCGACAAGGCTCGTTCACGCCAGCCCGTTGTCGATAAGGCCAAGGATATGCTATGGCAGGAAACAATCTCGGACTTGCAGGACGATGGCGACGATCTTCTTCCCATAACACAGGACGCAGATGGAGACATCAAGCTAGACGGATTCTCGAATGATCACGGAAGTGACAAGACCGCCAGTATGGCTGATCTGATACGCAGGGGTGGTGGATTAATGGTAAACCACGACCGCAATCACTGGCGAAGAGGAAGAGGTGCTGTGCATGTTTGATCCACTCAAGATCACATCTTTAGCGAGGCGTTTTGTTCTTTTCATGGGAATTTTTGGCTGGGCTGGGCTGGGGCATGGGACGTATTTGAGCAAAATTCATCAGGTAGTCATGAGATACCCCCAAAATCAATCACGCAATTGCTATGTTCTCTGCGTACCATCTTTGCCACTAGTTACTGAAGATTGAGCAATCTCTTCCTTCCTTTTCGATATGCATATGGTGGGCTCATTCCATTGTAACGATGAGGAAAAAGGAGAACAAAAGAGAAATTCTTTATGACGCCTGCCTGATTCCAGAACTCCATGCCCATCTTCCAACGCCATTCCCATTCGAAGCATCCACAATCAACTCTCCGTCTCCCAAGCCGTCGTCTCAACCATAAGGCCATCTTTACACCTACGNCAACTCAAGTTAGCCTTTTGTCTCGGTCTCGATTTCCCCACACTCTTCTCTGCTGCCTCTCCATCCTTCTTCATCACGCAACACAACAAAACTCACCTCCTAAACACCCTCTGAATCGGCTCACAGACCACAATTCCATTCTTGTGTTTCTTGTGCTGCTTTACATCACAGTCGAACTGCATAATCTCCATCAACGCGCACTCGGAGAGCTTTTGCTGGTTGTCTGGTTTGCGGAGTTTTCCCGTAGGCAGGATTTTGACTCTGGATTCTAGGTCGAAGGGGTGGAAGGGGTGGACTGTTGGTGCCATTGCTGTTGGAGGATTTTGAAATAGAGGTTAGAGGTTTGAGGAGTGGGTTGTTGTTGGTGGGAGGAAGAGAGAGGCAGTGTTACGAGTACGCGATGTCTGCTGAAGATCTGGGGATGAGGGAGCTGGGGCAGGTGCGAAGTCAGAGGTTGGATGAGGTGAGTTTTTGTTGTTTTTTGATTTGTGTCTTTGCACCATTGATTACTGTTTCCTGGTTCTTCTCACTTGTGTTTCCTTCCGAAGGTCAGAAGAATATACACTGCGTCGGGAAAAGAAGAATTTATTCACATCCTCACGTTATGTTCCCGTCAAGCCTACATCCTATACCCATCACTTGCATTACTAGAATGGCATTTTACTCACGTTTCAAAAGCTTCTAACCACCCTCCGCTTACTACACGACCCATCGTCAAACTCAAAAGTCGGTATACCTNTTTTGGACAGGCTTCTCGCAAACCACACTACACGATTCGACCCTACAAACCTTTCTGCCATACCTGCACCTCCCATTATTGAAATTACCAGTCCTGTGCCAAAGTCTGGCAAGACTGAGTTTCTGTATTGGGTGATTGCAAATTTGGTGCTGGGGAGTGATGGGCTTGGTGCGGCTGAAGGCTCCAAGACGGATCGTGCAGACGTAGACATGAAAGATGGGATGGGGACGACATCAAACCATGGCGAAGACCATGGGGCTCTAGCTGAGGAGACTCCTACGATTCAAAACGAGACTACAACTGGCCATACAAATGCCACAGCAGATCAGAGTACAAACCAGACGGACCAACCATACAACAACAATGAAATATCACAACCCAATCTTCCCAAAAGAGGCAACCACACTGGCTCAACAGCAGTAGCCCTCCTCTCAACCACCCCCGTCAACATCTCCCGATTATCTCAAATCCTCCTTCAACACCTACTCACCAAATCGCCAGACCTTTCCCTGCGTGCCGCTGAACCTATCCTCCTTACCGCACTCTCGCACATCCACATCTACACTCCCTCTTCTTTATCTTCCCTCATCGCTACTATTTCCTCTTTACCTGCTTACTTTCTTTCTGCCTCTAACAAGAGTAAAGAAACAAGACTAGGCGCTATCGTTATCAACACTCCCTCCTCCTACGTCTGGGAAGATAAATTCGCCTCCTCCACTCNNCCCCCTGCAAGCTCTGGGAAATTCCCAGCCCTGGCTACGGTCTTGAAACGCGTGTCTATGCACCTACAAACTCCAATCCTGTATACTGCCCACCACCTCTCTGCTTCTACCACTTCTCTACACAACACCTCTCTACCTCCAGCCCTCCCATCTCCGTNNTTTTCTTCTTTCCCTTCCCTGCGCCTCACAATCTCCGCTCCAAAAATCCAAGGTTTTGGCAAAGACACCGATGCAGAAACAGCTCTGCGACAAAGCGTTGCCAGAAATACAGCAGTGTTACAAAAGAGATTTAGGGTTGAAGTTGTTGATTCAGGGAAGGGGAGTGAGAGCAGAGAAAATAAGAATGGGGACGGAAATGCAGGGTTTGAAGTTAGGATCGATGGGACAGGTGTTGTGGTGATTTGATTCTTTGCAAAGGCATGATTTAGGGAGAGATGGAAAGGAAAGATTGCATAGCCAGCAAGATATGGCACAAATGTCAAGGAGTGACGAAATCAAGACGAGTACGATGTTACTTGAAAGAGCTCCCTGGCTAACAGGCAAGACTGAAGACTGCACAAAGCAACACACATGCAACACACATGCAACACGCACATCCAAAAAGTCACCAAGAACATTAAAACCGTTATATACCAATAAAGAAAAAAAGTGCATATAATTCAAAAAAGGTTCTGAAAAAGGTTATCCAAGAAGAAGATCGCTGAAGAAACAATAATTCACAAAGCCACCCGCATTTTGTAGGAAAGAAGAAGAAAAGCAGAAGAAGAGAAACTCCCATCTACAAACGTCCAGCGCAAGATAGGATGCCCTCCAATGTTTCATTGCGCCAGAAAGGGATCCATAAACAAGAAGAAGCAAAATTCGAGGAAGTAAAGAGCTTTGGAGGCGTTCGTGCAAAGGGTAAACAGGTATCAGCATGAGAGTATTCGAGAGAAGGGAAGAAGGAAAACAAAAGGATGCAAAGCCATCAACATAAAAGCAAGCACATCTTAAGGAGGTCGTAAGTTCGAAAAAAAAAAGTCCAAAAGAGTCAACAACACATCAAGCCTCATGCTCATCTCCAAAAGGACTCTGGCCGCGTGGGACTTGGTGCTGTTGTCTGCTCAACCTGCGTGCTGCTAGACTACCCCTCACACTAGCGGTTTCTTCAATCACTGCTGATAGACCACCGGGAGTTCGTTTGGGCCCTGCGGGAGGAGAGATGGAAGCGGCGTCTGAGAATGGCGAAGCGTCGACTTCTTCTTCTGGTGTTGTTGCTGTTGAACTTGCCAGTGGTGATGAGACATTTGGCTTTGTTTGCGGTGTTAAAGAAGACGGTTCGGGAGAAACTGGGAATCTGCCTTTGGACTTTGATTTCCCACCNCCGACAGTCAAAAGAGTGGGCTTGCCATAGCTTGCACTACTGAGCGTTTGTTGTGACGAGCTGGAGTTTGAGGATCCAGGTCTGATGGCGTCGCTTGAGGTAGGCATGACAATGTTCAGTTTTTTGCCACTGGCGCTTCTGTTCATGGGGTTGGCGATCTCGTCGGCAGGAGTGGTTTGNGGAGGCGTTGAGGTGGGCGTGCCACTGTTTCCACTCTTCACGCTGACGACGTTTGCTTTGCCGCGCAGAACGGTCTGGGCGGGCATGGGGTTCACCACGGCATCATCGCGATAGGTGGCAATGCTGCTGCGAGCGAGCGAGGGTGTGATACTGGGTCGACCGAAGAAGGTGCTGCGGTTGTCCAACGAAGATGAATCCGAGTATGTCGAGTCGCGAAGGTCGGCAGGGCTAAAGAATAAAGCTTCTCCGTTGGACGAGTGGCCGCTGACAGGTGGGCCGTGAGCAGCAGGGATGGGTGGCACGGGAGGAACATGTTCTTGTGTGCCGTTTCTATTCATGACTCCAGGAATGTATGCGATGGGGATGAAGTTGGAAGCGCGGCTGAGGATGCTGTTGGCGACAGAGTGCACCGTATGTACCGAGGCGCGTTCGGATCTGTGCATGTTGAAGTTGGACTTGCGGTTCTCTGCTTCGTCCTCCTCTTCCCATTCCTCCTCCAACCTCACACGGCGCGGTCGTATCACATACCAGTAAAAGGCGAAGACGATGAGACCGACGAAGAAGACACCTCCTATTACTCCTCCGGCAATGGCACCGACGTTGGGACCAGAGTGTTGTGATGGGGCATCGTTGGAGACGACGCAAGTCGTGTATGCGCAAGTGTCGCAAGATTGAGGGACTAGTGAACAGACCTTGCCACCAGAACACGAGGGGCAAGAAGGAGTGGTTCCAGGACAGTCGACGCAGTTGCGCTTGAACAGACTGTGTAATGCCTTTTCCACATGAGGATGCACTGATAGCAGAATGTCAGTATATTGCATATTGTTGACCGACACCAGAAGAGAACAGAGCCGCACCGTTAGAAAAGGTAGATTCCATGGCTACGACAATCGTTGCTGTCAAGCTCTTTGTTATGCGGTCGGGAACTATCGAGGCGGCCGAGGCGTCGCAATCTCGGAGGTATGACACAAAGGCGACAAGGAGGTTTTGTTTTGTTTCCTTTGTCTTCTTGTGCTTTGTTCAAGTGATTAATCAGGAAGGCTGGTTGTGCGACAAGGCCGGGTGGGCGCAGATGGCAAGGGAGGTTTGTTATCGCGAAATGGACCGCTTTTCAACGGCCGGCGCGAGCAAGAGGGGAAGGGGAAAACAGACGTCGTAACAGAAAGAATGGAGAAGTATAATAAACGACCTGCGCTGCTAAAGAGAGAAGAAAGACAAGACCAAAAAGCGAGAGACGAGAAGAAACAGCAATGACAAACGAGTGAGTGCTGTGTAGTTAATACAAGGTTGTTATTAGTGCGAGAGGTTAGTGAAATTGCGTGTCGCCTTGAAGATCGCGGTGGTTGCGCAAAAGACGACACAGGGGAGGATGGAGAAGACACAAGGGAGAGAGTGGAGGATGCAGCCAAGAGACCCACAAGGCCTCGTGTCTCGCCCACTGCCTCCCGTCCTGCACTTTGCCTGTAACAGTCTAGTCTGTCACTCTGTCTGCAATTGCAAAAGACCTTGCGCCACCATTACCTATCCCAGCTATCCACCAGTCAAGCCACCAACAAAACTGCACATCAACCTCAAACACCCCCACTCCAATCCAGCAAATAACCATCAAAAACCCAAAGGGAGAATGTCAAAATCACCACAAGAGTCAGACGTCTACGCACAACTAGCTGCCAGAGACTCACAACCTGAGCCCTTGAAANAGGTCCTCGCCAGAGAACAAGCAAATTATGATTGTTTGAGTTGCAGAGTGATGGGTATGCATTTTCTTTACTTCCTATATTCTATCTATTAGTATCCTGCCACTTTATTGTTCTGCTGGGGTCAAGTACTGAAGGAAGATGAATAGNGAGCAACGGCATTCGGCGCTCTAGGTGCTTACACTTACTGGTCCGGCCATCGCGAACTCCNNCGCTCACGCGAGCAAGAAATCCTGAGATCAGGCTCTAGACTCACCATGCCTGCTAGGAGACTAGGCATTACTGGATTGAGCGGTATGTTGTTGGGTTTGGGCTTGTGGAGGGCATTCATGTGATGCATTCGACCGTCAATTTTTCTCAACAAACTCGGACTAGCGAAGAACTGCAGAGACTGCATTTGGTTGGCAAAAGAAGGTCTGCACTAGCTGTTGAGTGGACGTCTGCGGTGCAGAAAGACGGCTACTTGCAATGTCCTGATGCGGGCCTGCAGGGGGAAAGACACAGCTTTCTGCAAAAGCTGTCAGCAGCCTTGGCCTACACGGGCATTCTGTATGCATGTGTGAAGACATGTCGCTGAAGGAGAATACTGCAGTAATCAGACGGGAGAATCGGAAGTCACGGCAAAGGAGCAGAAGCTGAAAAGCAATAATCGTAATAAATTGTTTGGGGTATAGTGGTTTAGGTGCTGGAAAATCACAACAAGGACCGCGACATTGTATGTGAAGAAGGAGTATCCGCCTGTGTAAGCAGCCTGCACTCATGCTCACACAACGCATTTGGTATGCAACAGAGAACAGAAACCAAAGACAGAAAGCAGTTGACCCTCCCTATGCCGCACGCTGACATGCAAGGGAACAAAGTAAACGCAGAAACAGAAGACTAAACTAAACTATGTCGTGATTCATTACCTTCTCAGTATCCCCGAAAGAAAGATGGTAGGAACAAAGAAATAACGAATGACTAACGACAACAAGAAAACGACGCCACTGTATTGGGTATTTGGGGGTATGTTGTGTAATGCAGTCATCAAGAAAAGAAATGAAAAGAATGAACAAGATTCAAAGAGTCAACTCAAACATGTCTCCCCCTCTTTCCTCCACGATCAGAACCATCTCTATTATTGTTCCCGAATGACAGACCAGAGATGTCGAAGAAGTCTCCAAGATTCTTGCGCTTCGAGCCAGCACCCGAGCCTAGAGAACCAAGGTTTATTGATGTGATCCTGTTGGTATTGTTGGTGTTGTTTGAACGGTTGTGGTTGTTTCGTCGTCTGGGATGCACTTCAAGTCTGAGTGGGTTGTTGGAGGTCGAGGAATTAGGCGAGTCAATGGGAGCGTTGTTCGAACCATCCATGTCTACCTCCCGGTCGTGGTGTGATGGAGGGTATGCCAGTGATGAGCGAAAGGTAAAGGCATCTGCCTGGGGGACAGCGGCATCTGAGCGGGTGCTTTGCGACTGGTGTTGGTGTTGAACAGAAGGAGGCTCGGAGGGGAGGGTTATGGGATCGGGTTGTGGTTGTTCCTGGGTCACAACAGGGACAAGGGTAGGCTTCCTAACGACCTCAGGGCTAGAGCTTCGAGGTTGCTCTTCTTGTTCCTCATCTTCATCATCGCTTTCGCGTCCGGCGGAGGGAGCTCCATCAAAACGTTCAGTGGCCCATTGCCTGACCCTCCAACCCTCGCCGTCATCGAGGCCGAGATTCTCCTTGTCGAGGAAAGAGAGGAGATCATCCAGGGCATCTTGATAGCCAGCAGCGCGTGATCTTGCCTGCTCTGATGCAGCATTCTTGTAGAGGTTTGTGACAGAAAGAGCGGCGGCCTTGAAGGCAGAGAGGAGTTCTTCCGGGGGTTGTTGGTTGCGACGAGGCGAGGTGCGCGGCAGCGATGTGTTGAGGCTGCGCATCGAGTCCATCCTTGCCGGAGTATGAGAGAGAGCTACTGATATAGAATGGCGTGTTTCAGGAACTGTCCGGGATGTGTGCAGGGCGTGGTAGTACGGGGTCGATGGTTTTGGGCGATGGGTTGATGACTGAACGAAGACGATTTAGGCGGGGTCTGGCCGAGCCTGTTTGGAGGGGTTTGCACGCAAAAATCTCCCTGACGTATATCACCACTTTCCCAGACCGTGTTGGCTCTGGAAGACAAGAGGAAGCAGTGGACAGGTCTGAATGAGTACAGAGCTTTCTGCTAAAATTCTTTTCAGTGGTTGCTGGGCAGCTGACGGCATACCGTTCTCATGATTTCCCTTTCTTTGTTCACGATCGAAGACCTGCGAAGTCATGGAAATGGCACGTGCATCATGCATTGTTATACCTCGACCTGACATGTGAAGCCCATGCATATCTCTATGCACCTAAAATGCCATCTGACCTCTACACTGAAATGCCATCAAGGAACTTGCACACCGCCTCGATCACTTGCTCGGCCTGCTCCTGCTGCACCCAGTGCCCCGCATGTGGGATGAACGTGATCCCCCGAAAGTCTGAACAACTCTTCTTGTAGCCGTCGAGAGCATTAGGCTGCTGATAATTACCCCAATCCTTCTCACCACTTATGAATGCACAAGGTACCTCGATCTTNTTGCCTGCAAACAACAACATGTCCGCCTTTTGGATTGGTGACGAACTGGTCTGCGCTCTGTATCAGTTCAATCCACCTTGGAATCCTACACGCTGCCACTCTTTCACATAAACAGCCAGTTCCGAGTCAGGCAGCCAGCTTGTCGTCGCAGAGCCATCTTCACTTTCCATCATGTCCGATATCGTCTCTGGCATGCTACAGTCTTTTGGCATGATGTAGTAATGAGGCATCTGCTCCAATTCAGCCGCCGTCCATGCCTCCAAGGGCTTCGGATCGTTGTGTGGCCAGTCGGCTGATTTGACGTGGAAATACCCTCGAAGAAAATCGTGCAGACCCTGCGACGCTGTCTCCCAGTCTTTTGATGCGCTCGAAGTCGAGTTGTACCATTTGTAGTGTTTCCTAGGAGGATCGAGTTTTGCAAGCTCTGCTTGAATGTCCGTTTTCGTACTTGAGCGAGATCCAGGACTTGATATAGGCCCCGCTGAAGCCTCTATTTCAAAAGGTGGGGTGGGCGGTGCGTGGTGAGGATGCGACATCTGGATGCAGCTTTTGAACATGTCAGGTCGCATGAGAGGTGCCATTGCACTCGAAACTGCCCCAAAGTCGTGTCCGATATGGCAATGAACTTCCTTGTAGCCCAGTGCATACACCAGACAGACCAGGTCTCTGACCAGGTTGGTCATGGTGAACCGGTTCAAGTCAACTTCATGGAATGGCCGTGTATCCCAGCCAGTGGTTCTGCCGTATCCTCGCTGATCGGGTGCAACAACGTGGTATCCTTGTGCTGCCAAGGCTGGCATGATTTTGCGCCATGAAAAAGCGATCTCTGGAAATCCATGGGTCAGGAGTATCAAAGGCTTGTTCTTTTGTCCAGCAGAGATGACATGAAATACGAGTCCGCACGAGTCGGTGCAGTCGATATAGGATTCTTCAAGACCTTCTGGCAGCGGCAATGGTTCAAGTGGAGTCATGATGGACAGCTGGCAATGGTCAAGATAGCTGCAAAATGTATCGTGCCTAGTTGAAGCAAGAGATGTAAAGTCAGATGGATATACAAGGATCACGTCAGAGAGGAGTCAACTCCAATGCTCCGCTTTGCCGAGGTCAATTGGTACTCGGTCTCGAATTCAAGATGGAATCGAGTGAACTGTTCAAGAATCGAGCTCGGTCGACCAGCATAATAAGTTACATGAGTAGCACTGTCCTGGCGGATGTTGACTTGTCCGTTGCTTGCCTGGCCGGGGTTGTCATTGTCCGGGCTGCTCAATCACAAAGCATGGGCGGACCGTGGAGCAGCAGCAAATACTCACGAGCTAGGATGTTTGAAGATGGATTGTTGACCCTGGGACCCCACCTGTCTTTATATATATCTTTCTAGCTTGACCATGGGCGTATCAGGGCTTTTTCGGAGGGACTTTTTCTCAAGATCAACCTGGCACGAGCGCAGCGCATGGAGAACAGATCAACGGGGTGATCAACAGCCAAAATCCAGCACGGCGGTTGCAAGACACAACGACGGGAGTGTTGATGCGCATTGGCTGCGACATGGACTTCGTGTCAGGATGTCAACTCGGAGCATTTCACGTCGTCTGTTCCATGCCTGGTGCCGTCCTTCTTCTCTTGAAGATGAAATTGCACGGTTGACAAATTCTTCGNNTGGAGGCTTCATCACCAGNCCAAGACCAAATAGATCTGCATGTTGATGACGCGCGAATTTAACAACCGTGAGGTGAACAAGACGACCANNTGTCAAGGCGATATGAAAGACAATTATGGTGTACAGATCGCACCAAAGGGGAGCAAACAAGAAAACACAAGACACAGCATTCCTCATTGCNGCCACTAACATCAGTCCTGACTCCTAAGGGAGTTGCTCTGTGGTNGTGTGCTGTGGCATCGCAGTGGTTCAGCGGTAGGGCACGGACATGGTCGGCAGCGGGATCGTCATGGGCTGGAAGTTGCAAAAGCTTAATAAGAGATGGAGGTCGAGACAAGGAGCAAAGGCAGGGCAGGGCAGGCCATGTTGGAACGGTCGAATTGAGTCTCTGCATCCTCCCTTCTCTTCTATTCTTGCTCCATCTCGAGTATTCTTGTGCTCCAGTATATCCGGCTCTGCGACTCGCACAGCGCCTGCCGCCTCATACGCAGTGAACAGGCCCTGGCCCTTTTCCAATCAAGAATTCCCCGGGCACGTCATGTTTGCTTTGTGACGCGCTGGAATTCTCTCGCCCTTCGAATCAAGACTCTTGTCGCAACCCGCATCTCCTTACCCGAGGCATTTCTAGTCATCAATTGACGTCCCACCGTCAAGATGCCATTATTTGCTCGCAAGCGCGCGAGCTCGCAGCCGGTCAGTCCGGTGCAACATGTACCTTAATAACCAGTACTCACAACAATTCCAGCCGCTGCCCCGTGGGCCTCCTCCAAGTTCGTCTTCGGCCGCCATAGCAGCGAGCGCCGCCTTTCTTAACAAGTCGCCGTCGGCCGCCTCGCTGTCCTCGTCCGCTGCCGCCGCCGCCCTCCGCTCCCAGACGTCGTCGCCCGAACCAGTGGGTTCTATCCAGACCAAGCGCATGATGCGCAGAGGTTCTCAATCCTCGGTCGGAAGTGGCGCTATCATGGGCGGAAACCCGAGGAACAGCATGGTCAGATCGACTAGTAACTCGTCCATGACCGACCGAACCTTCCGATCGCCCTCGCCTGGTGGCAGACCAAGAGCCGTGTCGCCTGCCCCCGATGCTCCCCCAGTTCCCGCCATTCCTAAGAATGTCATCAAGACACAGAGGAGGGCTGCGAGTCTGGACGTGCCGAATCGCAACAGTCTAGCCAGTCCAAGTACTCCCAAAACCCCAAGGAGCGCACAACGCAACACCAGTGTCGACAGGGCAGGCAGGACGCTCAACTTACCCACAATGCCTGAGTTGAAAAGGGAAGACAGCTCCGGTGTCAACTTCTCGCGGCCCATGAGTCCTGCTCGTGCCATTTCTCCTCCTCCCCGCCCAAACTCGAGTGTTGGTTGGTTCACCTCGCCCAAAGTCAGTAATGGAACCCCTCGCGCAAATCCCTCACCAGCCAGACCTCAGTCCGCTCTCGATTTCTCCCNNTCGCCAGCAGCTAGAAAGATACAGCAAGACGTGCAGAACGCTGCCAGTGCGCCCGTCAAGCAAAATAAANAGACTGTTACTGAGGGAGCGCGTCTCGCCAACGGTGGCATGAATACTGCTCCCACTGGCTCTGCTGTGCGCAACGCACCACAACAACCCGTTCAGACAAAACCGGCAGCAACTCAGCCTATCCAGGCAGATACAACACCCAAAAAGAAGAAAAAGACGACTGTCGTGTCGCCTGTCGATACTCAAGCTTCAGGAGGCTCGTCGCTCGCTCCTGTCAATCCTTCGCCGAGCACAGATGCTTCAAACAGCCCCAGCTCTCCTCGACCCACAAGTACATTGCACAAACAGCCATCTATGGTGCGTGAAGATCCGGAAGCTGAAGCCACCGCCGAGGTGCAATCCAAGCCCAAACCCAAGTCAACTCCCGTGAAACACAGTCTTCTGAGATCGCTTCGGGACACTGATCCAGGGACTGCCTCCGGTATTGTCACGACATCGGAGGGACCAGTCCAGGCTTACGTTGCTCCGGGAGGCACGCGTCCAAGAGCTGCTAGCCTGGATGTTCCTAGAGGCAATGGTCAACGTGCTGGTTCTGCAAGTCCTTCGCGAAATGTGCATGCTCATTTCGTCGAAGGCAAGTCACTAGCAACCCCCTTTAATGTTAGACACCAGCCTCCACCTCGATCTGTCTCTCCCATGAAGTCAGCGCTTAGACAGTCTCCTGCTTCATCAGTCAGAAACATTTCTCCTAATGTTGCTGTCAATGGCGGACCAAGAGCACCTCCTAGCGAAACATCCGACACTACGTCTTTGGCTTCCCAGGACGGGATTAAGCCAGTTAAAGCAAAGAAGAGCGTCCGCATCAGCGAAGATGGTAGTGCCCCTGTCTCACCCGCTGTCGACCCTAACGCACGAAGAGAACTTTCAGGATCATGGGCGAACGACGACATTAACGAAATCATGAAGCCACGATCAGCACTTCCGTCCTTCAGCAGCGTCAGAGGTCGTAAGCTTGACCAAGCAGAGAAGCCTGAAAAGGTTACCGAGACTGTGTCTTCTAGCATGACAAACAGTGCGAGCACTTTGCCCGAACACCGCGAGGTGTCAAATGACCAATTGGTGGGTGCCGTTCTTGCACAGCATTACGCCAAAAAGGATCGTCAATTTGCTCCTCAGCCGACTACCGCCGACGAGCCACTACCTCCCCAGGTCACTAGCAAGGAGACATCAGCTGACATTTCGGACTCGAACTATTCTGAGGATGAGGCAGAAACTCACGCTAAGCCGTCCTCGCAAGCTGAAGAAGTCCCTGCCAAGGACGAATTTGTACCTTCTGCTTACGAGCCTGAGGTCTCGAAGCATAATACAGAGGCTCCTGAAGCAAATCCGATCGAGCAGGTTGTGCCTGCACTCGCATTCCAGCCTCCCACACCCGGCCCCGAAGAGGAGTCTGAATATCCACTCGAAGCAGCCACTGGGCAAACTACACAGAGACCTACGCTTAAGCAACGCAACAGTATGCCTGGGTCATGGGACGGTGACCAATGGGAAGAGCAGAAGCCTGCTGGGCTTTCCAGACAAGCAATCCGTGATGAAGCTCTGTTGTCCGAAAATGACTCAAGCGATGATGAAACCACAGCCTTGCAACCTGCACAGACTTCGATTGACGAACACTCGCCCGTGCTGCAACCTATTTATGAATCTGATTCCGACGTGAGCGAAGACTTTGCTGACGCTGAAGAAGATTTCGAGCATGGTGGCTTCGCCTCTCTTGATGCTATTGTGGAAAGTCCTGTGGTTAAACCTGCAGCTGTCATTCCTAGCNCTCCAGTCAGCCCACAGGCTGTCCTTCCCCCTTCACGCGGGACCATATCAAGCTCATCGGCTCTTACTGACGAGCAGCTTGTGACCGACAACACCGACTGGAATTCGGCAACCGCCTACTGGAGCAGTCTGAGCAGANAAGAAAAAGAAGAACTCGAAGCCGAGGCTGAGGCCGCAATTGCAGTTCCTGTGGTGGAGTCGGCGCCCAAGTCTAAGAAAAAGAAGCAGCCGGTCGACCGAGTGGACATTACGAATCCCACCACATTCGCACCAGCTGCTATTGCATCCGGAGATGATCCTTTCGAGACCAGAGATCAGCAAGAGTCACGTGCACCTACATTGCGTAAGTCGATGCGCGATTCTGGAGAGTCAGAGCGTACATCGGGCGAGATTCAAATGCGAAAGTCTATGCGTGGTCCTCCCGCACCTGCTACTTCTTCGAACGAGACACACATGCGTACGTCTATGCGTGCTGGTGGATCAGCCCGCTCTGATGGTGGTTCTATGAGGACTTCGATGCGCGGAGATGCTGGTGCTAAGCCTGTATCCAAAAGATCCTCGGCTCCTGTGACGACTAGTATTCCTGGAGTAGGTTCGGCCGCTGCTGCAGCAGCTAAAACACAGCCAGTGCAAAAGCCTACCAAGCCAGTCGTTGCTCCTCTTCCAGCTAATGATTCTGATTCCGAGTCCAGCTTCAGGAAGAACAAGCGCCGAGGTTCTGTCTCGACCGTTGATTCTATGGGCAAGTACACTATGAAACGTTCAATGCGCTCTGGTTCAGTCGATGCAGGCCCTCCAGCAGCTGAACGTGGGCGCCCTGTTGCATCACCAGCGAAGAATGGCAGTGGCAGATTCAGTCTGCGCTCGCTTTCCNCAACAGGCTCCTTCATGGGTCGCAACCAAGGCGAGAAGATTCGACAATCCTTGCGTGGGGCACCTGTCGACGACGCACCCACAATGCGCGGTAAGAACAGCAGAGCTTCGCGTGATGCGAAAGCTCAATCAGGCTTCGGCATGTCTGGCTTTGGCAAGTCGAAGGCTGCACCTGTGCCAGCACCGAAGGCAAGATCTGGAGGCTTCAGATCACGATTTGTTGACAGCGACGACGAGGATGACGCTCCACGAGGAACATACCGCAGCCGCTTCGCTGACTCCGATGAGGAGGACTCGCCTATCGGTCCACCCAAGCATATGCCTGCCAACCTGGCTCCAGTTCGCGGTATTCCCAAACGTAGAGGCGAAGACTCTGATTCGACTGACCTCTCGGACTCTGAAGATGAAGGTCGTAACGGCAAGAAGAAGACTGCTGGCAGAGCTAGCAACAAACCTGCCGTGCCCAGTCAATCAGACATTGATGCAGCCATGGAAGCAGCCAGGCGAAACGTCGCCGCCATGAACGGTGGTCGTGAACCTGGTGTACCACAGGCGCCTCCAGTGCCAGCAAGTAACACTGCAGCGTCCGGGGCCGAAGTACCCATGACACCTACTAGACGTAAGGGTTTCCTCGGCAGTGTGCTTCGCAGAAACAGTTCTTCCGTCGTACCCAGCTCGCCGGTCGATTCACAACACCCACGCAGCCCTACCACTTTGCGCAGCCCTAAACAGCCTAAGCTACAAAGACGCACAACACCACAGAATTGGCCTTTACCTGCTGCAGATACGAATGGCGATGTCAGCAACGACGCCAGACCAACAACCAGCGATGGCGTGCCGGCTATGAAGAGGACCATGCGACCAGAAAACAGACGTAGCATGAGCGGCAACGACCTCAAAAACATGGCCAACGGAGGCACCATGCAGAGCGACCGCTCCGGCAAGAAGAAGAAATTCTCAGGCTTGAGAAAACTCTTTGGCTTGAACGACTGAACAGAGTCATAATGACGGACAAGGAAAAACAGCACAGCGAGGAACTGAGATGTCTGGAAACGAAGAAAAGAAGGCTTTTTCTCATAATGTATAATCCTGGCCTCTTTTACTCTTATCTATTTTCCTTTGTTAGTTGCGCTCAGGTTACTACTAGACACTGGAGATGAGTTTAGGATCTTTGAAGCTGTGCTTAATTTTTGGAGGAAGGAAAGAATGATACCATTGATTTTTTGTTTTGTTTTTGATCGATTCTTATCAGAGTTGATATCAGCTCTTCTTATTCTTAATGCTAAATCTCAATCTGTCTCTCATGTTGTCCGTATCCTATGAGTGTTAAGCTAAGGCCGAGATTTTGCTCATGCTGGAGTGGTTAAGCTATATGTTCTTAACACTGTCATCATAACAGTATTATAGTTGTGTCTATCTACCTCGGTTCCCAATCGATTCACCTGATACCCTACATACTGCCAAAACATAGACCTTTAAACACACTTAGACTCTCAAACAATCAAGTCCGCTCAATCTAATCAAGATATCACCATCGTTGTCTATCGGATGTGTTGTCGAGGGTACGACCCTGTTATTTCCCCCAAATGACGTAAAGTGTCGCGAAGATCGAGCGATAAAGTGGCAGGAGCAGGCGCCAGAATTAAGCGATCGCGGCAACGTGCAGAGAGAAAGGAGGGCAGGTCCTTATTCACCGACATCTTCTGCTTGATTGTTCTTATCACAAGACTTTGACGAGTCCTGACGACCTCTCAGCCACAGGCCTCGAGTCGCGACTGTTACATACTTCGAGGAGTCGACTCGACCTTTCCCATCTCCAGCAAACATGACGCGACGAATGGTCTATGGTATCGGCCTTTGGGTCTTCCTAGCAGGTGCGTCTGCTTCTTGCTCTGCACTCTGCGCGTCTGTTGCAATCGCTAACATGCGTTCGCTACAGNCCGTCGCTCTGACATTCACCTCGATGGCTCTCCCCGACTGGATCTCGTACACCAGCCCTGTCTCTACCTCTCCCAACCCTTCCCACCCCTCGGCACCAATCCATGTATCCTACGGTCTGCACCGTCGCTGCTCCTCCCTTACCTCTGGCTGCACACCCTTCCCAGTCCCTGAAGACTGCCATGGCGAAGACCGATACTTCTGTTCCATGTGGAGAAGCGTAGGCTTTCTGATGAACTTCTCCGTCGTCCTGGAATTGGCAACCTTTGTCGCTTTTGCCGTTGTGCTGTTGGGAGGAAGAAGCAACAGAGAAGGAGGCTGGAAGATGTGTGCAGGTCTGTTGGGTGTTGTGGTTGTTTGCCAGGTTGCTGCCATGGGCATTGTGGTAAGTTCTTGAATTTTTAAGGCGTGAGAAAAGAAGATTACTGACATGATACACAGGNCTTTCCTCTTCGATCACGATAATCGCTTCTTTGTTGGTTGGAAGTTGGATAGGAGTTGGATTCTTTGCACGGTTTCTTGGATTGTGCTGTTGGCGGATATGATTGGCATTACCGTGGCTGCTAAGATGTTGCCTGCTGAGGATGACTACGAACCCATCCCTGACAGGAGATGAGGATGGAGCAACGGACATCTGAAACGACTGAAACCACCTTCTCACGACGACACACGCATACATTGTTTTTGCTCTTGCTACCACGACGTTTACACATCGCTAGCATTCCCTCCATACAGCGCTTTTGCCTTCTAATCAAACCACCATCATTATTTCCTCCCCATCCATCATTCTACAGATCCCCCGTCAANAACTGCGCCCTCCCCAACCCAAAACTCCAATCCTCCTTTGCGTTTGCCGAACAACTGACCACCAAATCCGTCGATGGCACTCCGCATTCTTTNTCCAAACGCTCTGCCAAACTTGCGTAGATGGCTTGCTTTTGGTCTGCGTTTCTGCCTTGCTGGAAGATTTGTATCAGGAGCAGTTTGGAGGTGCGTTGGATGCCCAGGCCCGTGTCTTCGAAGATTAGTTCGTAGGGTTCGTGTTGCGTTATTACNCTAAGGATGTAAGTGGGATGCAGGAGGGAGGAAGGACAAGGGTGGTGAGAGCACTAGGAGGGAGGGGGAGGGCAAGGGAGGAGGAGGCTTACTTGATATCTGTCTCGAGGGGGTGCTGCGAATTTGTCGAGCATGATTTCTTGAACCACGTCTGCTAGTTTTTTGATCTCTTGTGGTGTGCGAACACCCTTGATCATGTCGAGTTTTACGAGAGGCATTGTTGTTTGATTGCTTGATGAGTTACTAGCGATTGTGGTGAATTGAAAAGATGGGGTTAATTTGAGTGCTAGCTGTTTGGGTTCTTATGTTTTGTGGATGGTTATGTGGTTATATAGTTTTTGACCTGTTATCCGCAGTATCCGCACCATGATGGTCGATGATGTGGATGCTTTGCGGGTCTCGTCATAGGGGACTGGTGACATCCCAGGGTTCAAAAGTATGTAACGCGTGTAGCTTTATAGATGCATGATACTACTGAAGAGCTAGACATTTCCCAATGAAAAACAGCAAAAGATGAACTCTCTATGGACAGCATTTGTCTTTGATCGAGATTGTGTCTTTTCGTAGCGTGTATCTTTGTGTTGTGCTCGGAGTAAGATGGAAGTTACATACTTTTGAACATGGGGAGGAGGGGACTTGCGAGTAGTCTGGAGTAGCGATATCGGGATCCTCTATCGGAGGTGACTCTGCGATAAGAGCTGTGCGCCATGAATGTCCATGCTGGTATCTTGCTTCAAGCAGGATTCTGTCAGGTAACTCTAGATACGAGGCGTTTCGTTGGTCACGCATCGACTTGCTTGATTGGGAGGACGTGCCCGAGTGTGACTCCTACTGCGTGTTAACTATTCTCAAACTGTCGTCTATGCTATGATCATACTGCTCTGACATCTTCATTCTACTCTCTGCTTGTCGTCTCATCATTCTAACCAGTCTGCGCCATGTTCCTCATTTATCTGCTTCCAATCCTCTCAATCCTCTACTTCCTCTATACCCGCCTTACCTCTCCACTCTCTAAACTCCCTGGTCCCTTCTACACAAACTTGACCTCACTCTACCTCATCTACCAAGAATTCGCCGGCAATCGAAGACTCTACATCGACTCTTTACACACCCACTATGGCCCCGTCATCCGCATCTCCCCCAACGAATGCAGTTTCTCCAGCTACCAAGCCATGAAAGAGATCTACACCTCTGGCGGCAGTGGCTTTGACAGAACAGAGTTTTATGAATTGTTCATGCAGTTTGGAACCAAGACGCTGTTTTCCATGCCACCGAGGAATGAACATGCTCAGAGGAAAAGAATCCTGGCGGATAGATATGCGAATAGTAATATCTTGAGGACAGAGACGGTACAGGCATTGACGAAAAGAGCGAAGAGGTTTTTGGAGAATTGTTTGAATGAGGATGGGGGTGATGCTGATGTTTATGTGAGTTTTTGGGAGTTTGTGTTTTGTGGGTTTGAGTTGTGCTGATGGTGTTGAAGGNTGCATTTGCATTGTTTTGCTCTTGATGGAGCATCGCAGCATTTGTTTGCGCCTTATGGCACTAACTCGCTGTCTGATCCTGAAGATTTTAAGATTATGCAGGAAATGTCCTATGCAGATAGTCTGCGAGGTGTGTTTTTCCAATTCCTGATTGTGAAGCCTTCCTCGCTAACATGACCAANNGCACCATATCTGGAATACTATGCACCGAGACTAGCCGAATTCTTCGACAACCTCAATTCGAAACGTTCGCGATCAGTGCCTTTGGCCAACGACTTCGTGCTCGAAGCAGTTCACAAAGCCAACCCAGCTTCCTACTCACTGCTTTCGAAACTACATTCGAAGGCTTCGGAATTGGAAGATTTGTCTGCCGCAGCGGAGTGTATGGATCACTTGGCTGCTGGCATCGATACCACTGGCGACGGTCTCTGTTTCTTGATGCACGAGCTTTCCTTACCTCAAAATGCACACATCCAACAGCGCTTGCGAGACGAGATCAACAACAGTCAAGACAAGAGTTTTGATCAACTACCTTACCTGGATGCGGTGGTCAAAGAAGGACTTCGAGTTTTCCCACCCATTCCTATGAGCTTCCCTAGATACACACCAGACTCTGGAACTACGTTGGATGGTTACTATATCCCTGGACACGTTATTGTGTCTTGTCAACCTNTCACGCTACACAAGGATCCTGTTGTTTTCCCTGCATCAGACAAGTTTGATCCACAGCGATGGCTTGAAGATAAGGGGGAATTAGAGCGCAATCGTATGTTCTTTGCTTTCTCGCAAGGTGCCCGAGGGTGTATTGGAAAACATCTGGCTCTGGCTGAGATGAAAATTCTGCTCAGAGAGGTTTATGGACAGTACAGAACAGTGTTGGGCAAGGAGAAGGCGGACATGCGGTTTGATGATCAAGTCATCTCTTCCAGACCGAAGGGGCAAAAGTGTCGATTGCAGTTTCAGAGGGTTGTTTAGGATGTTCTGAACCCAATTTCACTCTTCATACTTTCTCAAGAGCATAAACTGTGTATGTCACTCCTTCAACTTGAACATCTTTGCCTTGTTGCCAGCCTTCAGGATTGAATGCCTCCTCTCCTGAACCCGCCATCGACGGCAACTCCTCGTCGACCGCATACCTTTCGATCCACTGTCCTTCCACTTTCTCCTCCNNCCTCAACACAGAAAATGTTCCATCCTCCCTCTTCCTCAACACCTGAAACCAATCCCCAACTTTGCCAACGTACGTGATCCCATTCCCATCTTTACTTCTCAGAATCCACGCCGGTTGGTTTGAAGAAGGTACGTCAAGATTTCCCCACACTTCCTCATATGCCTGGACTTCATCATTGTTGTCTGGGTTTGGCATACTGCCTTTCTCCAACGCATCGCCATTAGCCATATCCTCGAACTCGCCAATGTCATCGTGGGATTCGGTGTTTTGGGAACAGACTTCCTTTGTCCATTGGCATTTTAGAGGTGAGGAGGAAAGGACTGTGCGTTTTCCGGCCATGGCCCAATCGATGCTGGAATTGGCTTTGAGGATGCGTAGGTCGACGAAAAAATCACCGACATCGAGAACAAGAGTGGAGGTTGGTTCTGAGGGTTCGCCGGGTATCCAGCGAAGGGATTTGCGATAGGAGATTTGGACGACCATGGTGGTTTGTGGTAATTGTGCTTGAGACTCGAGATGGTCACGTTCTACATACTTATGGCGTCTAGGGCATCTTATAAGCAAAGTGGATGAAACCGACTCTTGTACATGCCTCTTTGAGACTACAGTAGCAAGACGCGTGTTTGCCCTGGACGCGATATCAAGCTGCAAGTGGGTTATGGAGAAGGTGAGGTGGTACGAGTCAGAGGTCACATCTTGCCCCGCTCCTTCCGACATCGCCAAGGATCTCCTCAACTTTCCTCTTTCGTTGTGCTATCACATACCTCTTCACCTTCCCAGTCATTCTTGAAGAAATCCGCAGGTCAGGCATCTGTATTGAGGTCTTGACAGCATACTCTGACAAACGCAATTATCAGAATGCGGCGCAGACCACCTTGAACCTGCAGGACCCCTTTTTCACAGCAGAACCAGCCGCAGCCTTAGGAATGGACGATCAGGATCCCAAAGCTTCGGCTTCTAACACCACACCTTCCACTTCTGTAACGAAACCCACTATCACCCGTGCTCGGAACAAACGATCTTGGAGCGGTTGTGCGCGATGCAAGAAACGGAGACAGAAATGTGATGAACAGAGACCTGGTTGTGGGAGATGTCTTGCTGCCAATGCGGAATGTGTTTATGAAGTTAAGCTTCGATGGGGTGGGAGAGCGTTTAATCAATCCAGATTTGGTGCTTGTATTTCTGATGCTGGTGTTTCTAAGGATAAGGTGAAGAAACTTGGTAAGGAGTTTTTGGTGTTTGGTTCAAGAGATTTTGAGTTGACTGATACTGTACAGNGAAGTGTGGATAAAGGCTTCATCTATACGGTGAATAGCTTTCAGGTGCAGCCGCAGCCCCCTCGAGAAACTGCACCTCCTGCACCTGTTTTACAGACACCATTGCCAATAGAGCAAGTGTCAGAAGATCCAGTTCTGGAGGACTTGCCGCTTGATGTGGACGACTCACTGGCTTTGATCCCGTCATCTTCCACTGATGGGCTGATACTAGACGATTATGACATCGACTTCTTCCCATTATTCGCACCAGTCGATCCGTTCGTCAATCTTGGCACGTTGGACCGGTCACTCCTTGACCATTTCATCAATGGAACCTCACATGTCATATCATGTCATTCCAAAGTACAGGAAGATGTATGTCGAGTCATTGTTCCTGCTGCCCTGCAGAGTCCGACACTGTTCTATGCCACTGCTGCTCTTTCTGCAATACACCAAAAATCGAGACTTGGTTTCGGCAGCGAGAATCTGAGACAAGATCCGTTGATCTCTCGGCTGCTGAGTAACAGCTTATTCGGTCTTCAAAGCGATCTACTGGAGAAAGATGTCAACAAGAGCAGTGTCCTGCTAGCAACCATACGAACACTCTTCCTCTGCGAAGTCCACGCCGGCGGCGATCGACCCGGAACCTGGCGCGCCCACTTCGAAGGCGCAAAAGCACTCATGCTCGACATCGAATCTTGGACAGGCTACTCGTCAAAACAAAGAGACAGCACCCGCTACTTCCTCAAACGCTGGTACAACATGACGGAGAGTTTCGTAGCTCTGACCACCGACGGCCTCGCCTCCGGCCAACTCGCCAGATTCGGTCCACGCACCCTCTCCGGCGACGAAGAAGAACAGAAAGTCTACCTGGACGAATACGCAGGCTTTGCCACCGACCTGACACCAATATTCCGTGAAATCGGTGCTGCGGCTTGGGAACGCCGAAACCATTTTCTGCCTTCCATTCTGGAAGAAGGAGACTTAGATGAGGAAGCTGCTTCGTTGGCTACATGTATCTGGACACGTCTGGATGAGCAAAATCTCAAACCTCCAAAGTTTAGACCCGGTGTTGAGGAACAGTTGTCTCCACGCCAGAAAAACGATTTCTTGGCTTGTAATCAGATTTGGCATCATATGGCGCTGATATACATCTATCGCCGTATTTCTTCTCACACGGCTTCGTCGCCGCCGGTGCAGAGTTCTGTAAAGACGATTTTGGCTTGTGTGGAGGGTCTTACTGCTACAGCTGGTCTTACGCCTTTGGTGGTCATGACGACGCCGTTGTTTGCTGCTGGTTGCGAAGCTCAAGGCGAAGACCGCGATCGTGTGAGGGTTTTGCTGTCTAACATGTTTGAGTTGTTGCATATCCCTAATATCCACCGCTCGTTGGAAGTGCTCGAGAGCTTCTGGGCTAGCACCGAGAGGGGCGAAACGCAAGATTGGGACAGTTTTATGCATGATCAACATTGGGACTTTCTGCCATACTGAGAAACGAGGCAAAAGAAAATGCGGTTTGAACCCCATCTCGCCGAACACAAAACTTGAACTCGGTTACAATAAATCAGCATCATTGGTTCAATCGTCCGTCATGTTGCAAGATGTCGTGTACATGTTGTCAGGTGGAATGTCAGCACCACATTCACATGCCGTATCACGCTCACACTTTAAGGCAACCTTTTGCCACACACGAGCAAGCACTTATTCCAAAAGCCAGATCATGCAATATGCAATATCCAGCCACATTATCCTCAGCAACAACCCATTCACCCCTTATACTCAAGGTTCGGGACCAAGACTCCAGAGAGTCAGTCTTGGGAGAACGACAGCAACGTCAACAGACAAGAACACCATTCTGCCAACAAGTGACTTCAATCACATCAAGAAGAAGTCAACCGCGATGATGCATCAAGGCCTGCAGGACCGGAATAATTCTTCCAATTCTGTAATCTTGCAATTTCTCAGAGTATGGAATGCTCTTATCACCGCCACAGCACTGTTGTTAATAATGCGAAAGTCTTTTTCCGCCGGAATCTGCTGCAGCTAGGGACCAAGCAACGAACAGTGGGCAAGGAGGAAAGGCAATCAAGAGCAACGGAGAGGAAGTCATGGAAGGGCATCTGAATCGACGACCATGCAGACTTATCCGTTCAGGATTTGGGATGTTCTTGATCTCTTATCCAAAAGGCATTGCGACGGATCAGCAAGATTTTACTTTTAGCTGCTTAATACAACTGTTGTGGGAAAGCAGATGGTAGGGCAGCTTCAAGCACATAGTGGAACGGAGAAGTGGTCGAAAAAAAGAAAAAAAGAAACGAGTGGAAAAGCAAGTAAGGATCTTCCTTTCAAGATAAAAGGATAAAAAGGAAAAGAAAAAGAGAAAATTCGCTCGCTGCGTTCAATTTGGTTCATTACTGCCATGCCTTCGTGTCCTGTACATATTCTTGTGTCCTCCATGCTTCTTTCGCTTCTGGTTCAATCATCCGCCATCCATGCTCTTCTGTTGATCATGCTTGCGGTGCATATCTGCCATATCGTTACTTCCAATGTCAAACCACTCCTTTGCTCTCTCTGCATCCTTTACTTCCCCCTCTCTCCATCTGACATCAACCAAGCACTCAGGATCACTCAGAATCACTTCCCAAACTATCCATTCCCCTGCGATATCCAGCCATCACATCTCTACCACCCTTACTCTTCTTCTCACCACCTCTAACCCTCTCATATCTACCTCCGCTCCTGTCCGAACTGGCAGTAGCTTCACTGTCCGCATACGTATACCTCGAACTTCTGTGTTGCTTAGAGGGCGATGCAGAGGTGTTTCTTCTGCTCGACGAAGCTCTACGTTCGCGACGTTGTTCGGGAGAGGCTTGTTGAGCCAGAGGACGATAAGCATCGTAGTAACTGCTGTTTGTGCGGTTGGTGGTGCTTGCGGTGTAGGTGCTTGTGTAGGTTGTGCTGGTTTCGTCTGGAGCGCCGGAGAAGGAGTAGTCTCTTTGTCTTGGAGGGGCTTGTTTCTTGGGACTGCTGGAGCGGCTGCGGCTGCTTTGTCCTCTCTTTGCACTCTTTGGCGTTTGGGGTTTGGAAGGTGGAGGTGTCTTTTTGGATGCAGAAGGAGTAGCAGCAGAAGAGGTTTGTTCTTTTGCGAGTGCGGCGGCTGCGCGTTCGGCTTCTTTGCGCCACTTTCTCTCCATACGTGCAGCATCTTCTGCAGCTCTCTTCTCTGCCTTTTGGCGTTTGCGCTCAGAAGAAGACAGGATAGGTGCCGCAGAAGAGGTATCGGTGATTTCGGTAAGCGTTTCGCTGCGGTCTGAATAATCATACTGCGTGCCATCCGCAGACCTATTCATCCCACCAACTCTAGCAGGTTTCTCATGTTTGTAATCGCGCAAATCGCGGTCGCGATAGCGGCGAGAGTGATCAGTAGTAGTTGGCGCCTCCACGTAGCCACCTCTGATTTTGGGCTGTCTCTTCTCATTGCGGCTCACCGAAGTCATCACATCACTGCGATCACCAGAGTATTGCGTGAATCCATCTGAATAGTAGACGGAATGACTACCTCCAAAGCCTCTGATAGCCATAATTCCCTTTCTGCCTTTNTCATCAAAGCCAATGACGCTTTTGGCAGCGAGTCGATCTCCCTTGCTAGGTTTGGAAACCACACTGCGCGCTGAGTAAATGGTGTTTCCATTTGCATCTTTCTTGCGCAACACGGTGGATTTCCAGTCTTCAAAGTCGCCTTCTTGCCAGTGGAAACCGCCGTTCTTGGCGTGGAAGAAGAACCAGATGGAGCCGACGACGATGGCTGCAAGNATGAGGGCGAACAACGAGAAATAGACTTTGTTGTTCACTTTGGAGGGGTCGAGGCAGCCGGCACAGGGGACAGGAGGGGCAGGTGCGCGGTTGACGAGGTGGTGAAATGGGTTGATGGGTGCCATGGTTGCTGAGGCTCCTTCAGCCGGCGCTTGTGTCGTGCGTCAGGCAAGTGTGGAATGTGGTCGTGATGGTATACAAAAATGTGGGGAAGGACGGTGGTATCGATAGAATGATTGCAAACGTGTGATGGGCCGTTGGAAGTTTTGGAGATAGACGTTGTGAAAAGAGTTTGCGCGGGAAAGGCGCGCAGAGGGTGGAAAGAGAACAGAAGTTCAAGCGTGTTTGCGATGAGATGGCTGGTACTGCAATGCGATGGCTGGGAAGTGCAGGTGGTTGGCTGCGTCTCTGTCGATCAACACCAACTTCCCCACGGCAACCGCCCACTTTTTCAGGGTCCTGCACCCTGTCAACCAAGAAACCTTGATTAGAGCACAACCTCACTTCGTCCCTGATTTACAGTACACATGTGTGTGTGTGTGTGTGTGTGTGTGTGTGTGTGTGTGTGTGTGTGTGTGTGTGTGTGTGTGTAGAAAGTCTTGATATTGTTCGTTCTTTCACATAAACTAAGAAAGTCCATCGTCTCTTTTCGTCCCATGCGCCATGCAGCTATCAACATCTAACCATGTCCCATTGCGCCTCCGAAATCTTTTGTAGAATCGCCCATCTTACATACGCTCGACAGGGTTCAGACCTAGCAGTCTCATACCGTTGTACAGGACTTGACGAGCGCACTCGTAAAGTGCTGCACGAGCCTTCTTGACCTCAGGCTCGGCCTTCATGACGTTCAGCTGCTCGTAAGAACTGCTCAACATGTGTGTCATCTTGAAGAGATATGTCAAGACAGTGACGGGCTCCTGTGTCTTGATTGTGTTGACGAAAGTGTCGGGCCATTGTGCGAGCGAACGGATAACGTCCACAGCGTGCTTCTCGGTCAGCAGCGACCAGTCGGCAGTTGCGAGCTGTTCGGGTGTGAATTCTGCTTTGCGGGCAATCGAGCAGAGACGAGCGTGTGCGTATTGGAGGTATGGGCCAGTGTCACCCTCGAACGATGTCATGCGGTTGATGTCGAATTCGTAGTTGTTGATACGCTTACCGCTCATGTCTTGCACCATGACGGCTGAGATACCGAGAGTATCGGCAGTCTGCTCAGGGTTCTCGACCTGGACGTACTTGCCCTCATTGCTTCTCATGACATCGTGCATCTTCTCACCGACATCACGAAGAATGTCGTCGAGGAACTTGGCGGTACCCTTACGGGTCGACATACCCAAGACCATACCGAAGTTGATGTGCTGGCACTTCTTGGCCACCTCAGCATATTCGTCACCCATGACCTCGAGAATCTTGAAGAGTTGAGCCAAGTGCAAGTCTTGCTGCGAGGCGACAACGTAGATCATCTTGTCAAAGCCGTACTTCTGGTGACGCTCAATCGCGGCACCGATATCACGGGTGAGGTAGAGGGTTGTGCCGTCTCTCTTCTTGACCAGGGCCTTGCCCAGCTTCTTCTGGTACTTGGTCAGGTCAACGAGGACAGCGCCCTCACTCTGCTCACTGATCTTCTTCTCGGCAAGAATATCGGCAGCAGTCTCCATGCTCTCGTTCTTGACCTGCGATTCACCAGAGTAGTCGTCGTAGGTGATGTTCAAACGAGCGTAGGTCTGCTTGTACTTGACAATCGAGAGGTCACGGAAACGGGCCCAGATAGCCAGGGCGTCCTTCTCGCCGTCGGCCATGCGCTTGAAGTAGTCACGGGCTTGTTGGTCGATACCCTCCTTCTCAATACGCTCAATCTCGGCCTGCTGCTCAACGACTGACTCGTTCTTGCCTTCAAGCTCGACAATCTTTGCCTTGAGAGCCTTGACCTGCTCGCCCTCTTCGTGTGCGATGGCGCTAACCTTGACGTAGACCTCGTACAGGTGACCGATGGGGTTGGCTTCAAGAGCTTCGTCGCTTCCGAACTTCTCGAAACCGATAGCCAGGACACCGTACTGCTTACCCCAGTCACCGAGGTAGTTGATGCGGGTAACATCCCAACCAGCAGCCTCGTACAGGTTGCTCAAGAAACCTCCAATGATAGTTGAGCGCAAGTGACCGGCGTGGAAAGGCTTGGCGATGTTGGGCGATGAGAACTCGACGATCATCTTCTTCTTCTCGGAATTGGGATCCTTAGGTTCCTTGAGGCCAAGGTTGGGGTTGAAACCGTACTTGGTGGTGTTCTTGAGGATTGAAGGAAGGACGAGCTTGGCGAGAGGACCGGGCTTGAAGAAGAAACGGACAAAGGTCTTTTCGGCAACGGGAGGAAGGACAAGGGGTGACTCGGGGAACNNTACAAATAGTGTCAGTATGGCTACCAAGGAAGTTGGTCAGCAGAGTGTTACCTGTTCCTTGATCTCAAGAGCGAGAGCATCGGGCTTCTTGCCCTTGATACGCAGAGCGGGAACGGGCAACATGACATCGCCGTATTCCAGAACCTGAGTCCATTGCAGCAGAGGGTAGACCTGCTCAGCAGCGACGCCGGTAATGGGCGCAAGCAGCTCGGCGATGTGTGCACGGTAGATGTCGACCTGGTTGTATGTAGGGAAGGTGGCCAAGTTGGCTAGTTGAGGCACCTCATTGAGGCCCAGAGTCTGGAGCGAAGCAGTGAGATGCTCCATGGTGACGCCTTTGTGCTTTGGGACTTGGAAGTTTGAGAAAGGTCGCGTGTGTGACCAGAGCTGACAAAGTCCGGTTCGGGTGAATGAAGTCTTGTGCGAAGAAGAGTGACCAAGGAAAGATGCTGCCCTTTTGACTTGGAATGCGCGCATACACCCTGTGCTGAAAAATGACTGAAGATGAGTCGAAAACACTTTTTGGTTCGAAAACAGTCAAGACCAGCCCAACACCGCCAGCTCCTTCCGTCCCCCACCTAATTTCTTGGCGTCGTGAGTCATGCCAGAGACCAAAAGGCTATCATCAAAGGCAGGCACGACCGAAAGTTTCTCAGAAGTCACAACTTTCATCAATGTATATTAAAATGTCATTATTCATACAAAATACATTAACCGCTCTGCTCAAGTATTGAGCTCAGGCAGCAACAATCTCTCCGTCTCACTGACCCACCCAAGCTTCTCCCTGTTATCATCGCATAACCTTGCATACTCTAACAGCAACCTGAAGACATATATCTGCATGTCTTCTCGTCGAAGCACACTCTCGGTCCATTTCTTGCCTTCGAGCGCAATCTTCTTGGCTGCTGCATCACGACCACTCAAAAAGTAATGCATGATGCCGTAGATATCAACAAACGTGTTGTCCATGGGCACAAAGTGCTTCCATGCCATCATTCGTGAATCATGCCATTCGTCGTATATCGTCGCCTTGATAGGCAGAGATGTCGATCCGAGAAATCCGCGATAGCGTCCAGAGAATGAGTTGCCGTCAATGTCTGGCAGATATTTGTAGTTGTATTGTTCTCCCATCGGCATGGGTGGCTTGACCTCGTAGAAGGCGTCATCATAGTCGCAAAATGGTGGTCTTGTGTCGGGAAAACAGAGCAGGTGAACGAATGCCGCATCTCCCCACTCGCCGATCCACTTGGCCAAAGATCCAGAAGGTAGGTCATATTGGCCAGACTCGGGTAATTCGAAGTTTGGCTGTTTGCCAGTTTCTTCAGCATAAGCAATGCTGGTACTGTTCACCATTGACACAAAGCGATGGCGCTGGAAGCGAGCCCATGTTGTATCCTTGTTGCGACCACCCGAAGCTGCACCACGCCAGATAATCTGGTTCTTCTTCTTGCTCCACTCAACACCATGTTCCTCTCCTCCAGAGTAGAATGGATCATCTGTCCAGTACATGGCTGGTGGCAGCAGAATCTCGTTGTTCATGGGTAGTTTTGAGCCTCCAAAGAGAGGCATGAGCTTCCTAGAATTGGATATGGAGATGGGCTCGACAAAGGTACCGTGCAGACCCTGCAGTTGAGGGTGTTCGCAGGGCTGTTTTACGTATGTCCAGTTGGAGACATAGCCGTGGTGACTCTTCTCTGGATACGAGTTGTTCAGAGGCGGGAAGACGGTATAGTCGACTTCTGCTTTGTATGAGCGAGCGGGCGAATCTGGGTGACAGCCGATGACAGCGCGATCCCAGTATGGTCCGCCTTCCCATTGAGGATCGAATCCTGGCACTTCCTCATCTTTCCCGACCGATGTCTTGCCAAACTTGTGGACGACCTCAGACGCAGGGACAATGCGCCGAGACTTCTCTTCTGCAGTCATGTATTCATCTATCGTCTCCCAGGGCACCACAACGCGCGATTCGTCCATGACGTTGATGGGAATGTCCAGGTCGGGCAGATGTTGTGCAACTGTTCCAATCAAGTTCTCCCACAGATCCAGCCACACGCGCGGCTGATCGCTGAGCTGCGAGGTATTGCCATTGCGGATGCTGATGCGGTGGAAAATGTCGCCGGCTTGTTGGCGTATCGTTAAGGCAGGCACAGCCCAGAAAGGATTCAGGTCGTGGTATATGCGATCGAAGAAATCTTCAATAACCAGGGCATTGTTGTCTTGAGCGAAATGGAACCAGACGTCGAAACCTGGCGGCGGTCGGCGTCCTCTACGTTCTTCGTATGCACGCACAGCATCAGCCAGGGTATGCGACTCCTTCTGCAATAGCGCGTCTTGCTGGCGATCGGCCTCTTCTATCAAGTCATCGATGGGGTGGCGTGGTCGCCCTTTNGTCGGAGGCTTCAGTGAGACGCTCCCAGGAACGTGGATGGCGTCGGCATTGGCGTAGAAGACGACGGTAAGAATAGAGAGGATTGCGGCCAACAGCAGGAGCTGTGTGAAACGACCGCTGATTCGGGGAGCCGTCAACATGACGCTGTCGATCCGGAGATGGTGCCGCTGACCAGTATGAATATGCACGCTACCTGCTCATGTAGGCCGGTCGTCACTGCGAGATTGTAGAAACAGCCTTCAAAGGGTCCTAGGCACTGCGAAAAATGATCCGTGAATGGCAGGGTACAAGGATAGGAACAGACGTTAGCGAGCGATGGAGGCCGCCACGAATTTGCGCGAAGGAAGTCTTGCACACCTGCCAAGGACACGGCAAGAATATGGATATTAGCATACCCACATTTGAACCAAGTTTCCAGATTGGCCTCGCAAAGCGTTGGCCTGAAATTTCCTGCCCTTACATCATTGAACCTGAGAGCACAAGGACAAGAACTCGGCGCGACTTAACGCGACACCAGGAAGGCACTTTGTGAGTGAGAGGGTGTTCGGCTTCTCCAAGCAAGTCCCGCCTTGGCAGACTCTGCCGAGTATCAACTTGTCAACTAGAGACCTTTCATCAACATTGTTGTACGTAATCACATACTGGTTGTTCTTCAATTGTCTCTATACTGGCCGTTCTCTGGTCATCTCCTATGGTTTAGAAATCTGCTCTGAGTGGTCTCAGACGTCATTCGTCTTCGATATCAAGACCATGTTAGCCGCACTGCGTGGCAATCAACCGGTCATCTATAGTCCGCTCCGACTTGCATCTGCTTGCTCTAGTTGTTCACCTACCCGACTTTTCTCATCCACTGGCTTTTGTGTGGCAGAAGAGAAACCCTCACATACACCTCGGGAATCGCCGACATACTATGAAAAGAATAAAGAAGCCATATTGCGTCGCGAGAAGCAGTATCGCGAAAAGCGCCCAGGAGCCCGCCGGGAGTACTTGAAAAACTACTACCAGCAAAACAAAGACCGTATCAAGTCACGCATAAAGTCATATTATCATGACAGACCAGAGGCCCTTACAACAAAAAAATGAAAGGTACTACGAGAAAAACAGAGAAGCCCTTCTTGCTTACTTCAAGCGGTATCGTGCTGAGAATGCAGATGCGATCAAGGAGAGGAAGCGGAGATGGGCACAGGAGAATAGAGAGGCCGTCTGGGACTATCACAAGCAATACCGTGCTGATAATCCTGAAAAGGTTAGAACGGCCAGCGCAAGGTACTACCATAAACATAAGGAAGCTATCAAGATCAGACAACAGCAGATCCTAGCCAAGAAAGAGGATGCCCTGAGTGAGGAAGAAAAGGCCAAGCTTGCAAAGACGAGAGCTGAACGTGCCGAAGCGAAAGCTAATCGAGCAACTGAACGAGTAAAACATGTCGCTGAAGAAGCCGAGCTCAAGAAACTACGTGCTGAGACCAGAAAGCGTCTCGCAGAGGAACAGGCTTCGATCGAGCGAGAGCGAGTCGCACGTCTTGCAGAGAGAAAGAATTCAGTAAGCGAGCGCATCAAGTCACTTCGGCATACCGCAAGACAGAAGAGGCTCGAGGATGCAAGATCGAAGAGTGGACCATAAACACGCACGAACTGCAGCTCGCGTCTAAATGCCGAGACGTCTAGCTCGATGGCCTACCTCATTAGAGCCGATGCTCCCTGTGCCGACGCGATGGTCGAGACATGCTGCATCCAACAAAACACAGCACACAAATGCAATCTGTAAGTCGACTGCAGGTTACCGAAACATCTCGCACTGGTAGGTCTTCATTCTTTGAAGCGCGCCATCACATCGATTCATCGCTCTGCATCTGGAATCTGCCGCTTCAACGATTATCAACTTTCCTCCAATACACAATGCGTACTTCGAATGCAGTCCGTATCCGTATGGCGACAACAATCTGGGGGTTGGCGGAATATGCTGTAGTTTGCGGACCATCTTGCAGTCATACAGCCGTGTTGACTCACCCCTTCTTATAATTCTGCGCATCTGAACGAGATTCGTCTTCTTGCTCTATTCTCCAGATCATCGGCAATACTGACAGATTTTGCATTTTTGCAAAAGTCGACCTTATGGCTCTCCAGGCCACCACGAACTCCTCGAAGCGCGTCACCTGGGCTCGTCCCTTGGTTGAGTTTTCATCCCATTGTTCTCCAGTCCAGTGTCAACAGAGATCACCTACTTCCAGCGAATGTGATGCTCGTAGTCCATCGTATAGTTATCGCTCAGCAGCAGAAAGCTTACGCGACGTGTTCCAGACATCAGCCCCGGCTTCGCGATCAGGCAACCGTCATGACAGCCTAAATGTAGGTAACGAACTGGCAATCAACACACTTTCGGAGAGAGAAAGGGAAGCCTACGCAAACCAAGAAGAAATTCGCGCCAAATGTCAGCATCGCGATGAACAAGAGAGATTGCGATATGATCAATGTCGCTTCCACCGCGAACAGGAGCTTCTTTGCCGCGACGGATTTTATGAACACCCTGGTCCTGGACGTTGCTGGACCACAGCTTGCAAGTTCGTCGACGTTCTAGCTTCTCGCGACATCGAACCCAATCTCAACTACTTCTTCTCGACAAGCGATCTTCTGGTAACTCTGTTCATCCATCGCGACTTGACCTTCTGGAACCATGAATTGTTGGTAAACGGTTTGTTGCTTAACCTGTTAACCGACTTTCCTCATGTCCAAAAATTCCGGTTCGCAGTCTTCTTCCCAAGAGATTTGGTAGAGGATAAATGGAAAGTTCCCGAGTGTCTCAAATATCTCCTTGGCACTTTTGACCACATCTGCAGGACAGCAACTCTGGAAGGGGCTATCACAGAGATGGAGAAGAAGTTTGTGAGCAAAAGACTTCATGAGATGAGACGTCGTCAGCTTGACCATGTTCAGATTCACGAGGATAGTCTAAAGCAGGGATTGTTAATCCCGAGGGTTGATTCTGATGATGTGAACAGTTCTCCGATGACAAGTCATCTTTTGGGCGAAGCATCGAGGTCGACGGGTACGCGACCAGTCGATATCGTATGGCCGAAGCAGAAAGATGAGGTTTGGAAGGCGCCACGTTCTGTTTGGGCATAGAGATATTCGGAGTCTGGAGTTCTTGGCGCAATGGAAATCAGCAAAGAAGGTGTCAGTCTGGTCATATAGAATGGGTATCTTATCGTATGTACAGGTTGTTCTTCACATTATGAGCTCGCTGAACCATGATTCTCTGTTTTGTTGACAAAGCTGAAGCGAAACTTGCGCAATATCACTCGTTGCGCTTGAGTCATCCACATCACACTGTATAAGACCCGGAACTATCTCCTATTCACGCTACCTACCGATAGCTTCTCCTACAACGTACTGTTATATTGTTTGAAACTGCAAGCTTAACATCAAGACAACGACATGCCAACCATCCAAGATCTGCCACCGGAGCTTCGACATCTGATCGCAACCTACCTCAACCAACGGAGTTTCAAATATATGCGTCTCTCGAATCGACAACTATGCTATGGAACTTTTCCAGACCTTCTCAAACGTGGCTCACGAGAGAAACGATTTTGCCTCGATTGGGATGACTTGTTCAAGATGAATAGATTACTACATGACGAAGCTTTCGCCTCGAGGATTGATGCCATCTTACTTGGACCAACTTTTTCTGGAACTGACAAAGCATACTATAATCCTCCACTCGTCGCTTTCCTGGCCAAAATTCAAAGTACCTATCGAATGGGTAAACCAATGCATGTCGGATCCTATGTCTATCCTACGCACACCCTAGCAACCGGAAGAGCGTTCGACAACAACATAGATCATCTTGGTGGTTGCCTTCGCCGCATTGTCGTCGCAAGCTCTCACGAATTGGCACCTGGTTTCTTTGATGTCAACGACACTCAGCCTTTGCACACTGCTATACACTACGACTTGGGTACAACACAGCAGATCCTGGAAAGAAGAAGACAGTAAGGTGGAATTCCATTCCCGCCAGTGTCAAACGCCAACAATGGAGTCGCGTTCTGTCTTGGGCGCTGGATAGAATCGAGTCGCGTCAAAGAGCTTCGCGTTTTCTACCTCGTCTTTGATGCCAGAAGATGTTGATTGATTGAGATAAAAGTTTCACAGAAAGCCACTTCCCACAGTGGCCGAGGGGCGTGCGGACCGAGGCACGATCAACAAAACATGCGGGGTGTTCTAGCCGGTCAACAAGACACCTCCTTGAGCGCCGAATACTTTCCTTCTGACTTATAAAAGTAGATTGTTGCGCTTTCCTTCAATAACAAGGACCCTCCGCTGCTCTCCATCATGCCTGGTGTAGTCTCTTCAGGCACTTTTTCGCGCGACGAAGTCGCAAAGAACAACACCGAGGACTCTTTGTGGTGCATTGTCGACCACAAAGTGTACGACCNNCTCACAGATTTCTTGGACGCGCATCCTGGTGGCAATGTGGTCTTGCAACAAGTTGCAGGCCAAGACGCCACGACAGCTTTCTACAATTTACACCGACATGAAGTTCTGCAAAAGTACTCGTCTCTATGCATCGGCACTGTGCAAAACGAAACTCCGGAAGTGATCGATCCTCAACCTGGCGATCTTAGCACAGTGCCATACGCAGAGCCTACTTGGCTCAGCCCTCAATTCACTAGTCCATACTACACCGATTCACACCGCAAGTTCAGAAAAGGTCTAAGGGAATTTGTGGATGCGGAGCTCAAACCGGAGGCACAGGAANAAGAAGCTGATGGCACCTATATCAGTCAGGAAATGATTGATAAGATGGCTAAGAACAATATCCTGGCTATGCGACTCGGTCCTGGTCAGCATCTGCACGGCAGGACGGTGCCAGGTGGCGTCAAGGGTGAAGACTTCGACTATTTCCACGATCTGATCACATGTCAGGAACTAGCTCGGGTTTTGTCAAGAGGCTTCCAAGATGGCAACATGGCAGGCATGTCAATCTCTCTCACTGCCGTCAGAAGCTGGATGAAAGACGTCAAGCTAAGAGATACTGTCACGGAAGAATGCCTGAGTGGAAAGAAGAAGATGTCGCTTGCCATTACTGAGGCTTTTGCTGGTAGTGATGTCGCTGGTATCCGCACCACAGCCGAAAAGACAGCTGATGGTTCCCACTACATGATTAACGGCACGAAGAAATGGATTACCAACGGTATGTTCAGCGACTACTTTGTCGTTGGCTGCAAGACTGTCAAAGGCTTCAGCGTGATTCTGGTTCCAAGGGATGACAATGTCGAGACCAAGAAGATCAAGGTATATCACAATCTGTGCATAAAATATGTCCAAGCATATCTCTGACTTTATGCAGNNACAAGCTACTCTACAGCTGCTGCTACAGCCTACATCCAATTCGACAATGTCAAGGTTCCTGTCAATCATCTCTTGGGCGAAGAGGACAAAGGCTTCCAGGTCATCATGAGCAATTTCAACCACGAACGCTGGGCAATGGCAGCAGCAGTGATACAATGGATGCGAGCTGTCACGGAAGAGTGCCTGAAGTGGAGCAACCAACGAATCGTCTTTGGAAAGCCGCTTTCCGAACAGCCAGTCATCCGTGCAAAGTAAGTCATGTCGCGATGACACATATACACATCAGAAATTGACATCAGATCTCTTCTCAGGCTTGCACGCATGATACAACACACAGAAGCCACCCAAGCTTGGCTCGAGCAAATCACGCACCAAATGAACACCATGTCCTACCAAAACCAGAACAAGTATCTCGGCGGGCCCATCGGCTTGCTTAAATCCTTTACCACTCGCTGTGCTCATGAAGTCGCCGATGATGCCTGCAATATCTTCGGAGGTCGTGGTATCACTCAAGGAGGTATGGGAAAGGTTGTCGAGCAGTTCCATCGCACGTATAAGTTCGACGCTATCTTGGGTGGAACCGAGGAGATTTTGAGCGATCTGGGTGTCAGACAGGCTCTCAAGCAGATGCCCAAGGCAAGGCTGTAGAGCAAACTTTTGATGATCTGTAATCTAGGTCCGCTCACAAAGCTGCTATCTTGCTCTAGTTCTTCAAATTCTCGTATATACTATACTTGCTGTCTTTGTTTTAAAGTCTGGTACAAGAAACAAGTGTGAATGTGCATGATGATCTAGACGGTAAATTTGCTCAAACCTGCTTACAGTTTCGGAAAAGCCATAGTCTCAACACCGCAATATCCCGCAGAAACTCATGATCTGAGTCATCAGACCTCTGCACTCTATATCTTTTTCTCGCTGCCTGCTATCGAACATTCGCGCATCTCAACTCAACAAAAATATTCCTCCAAAATGCCAACTATCGAGGACATTCCCGTGGAGGTCCGCCTCCAAATTGCATCTCATCTGGATACCAAGAACTTCAAGGCCTTTCGCCGTACGAGTCGTCAACTTAGTCGCGGGACCTTTCCCGACCTTCTCAAACGTGGCTCACGGGAAAAGCGAATTCATCTGGACCACGGAGGGCTAGCAAGAATCGCCAGGCTCTTGGAGGACAAGACTTTTGCTGCGAATATCGATACCATCTTGCTTCGATCCGTCCACTATGGGCATCATCGTTCTCTACTCGCCGGTTTCATGACCAAGATCCGTGAAACCCACCCAATGAGTAGATCAATCAATGTTGGGACTTGTGATGCCGACAGATTTCTCAACCATCTCTTACGGAACAACATGCACTATCTTGGAGATTGCCTTCGCCGTGTTGTTATCACGCGCTCCGGCAGTCCACAGCCCGAGCTAGGCACCAACGATGATGCCAAGCTCTTCACAGAACGGTACACGCTGCAACTTGAGTACGACGCAGCATTTCCTCAGTGAAAGCAAACAATCGTTTGGGATCCCGATACTCAGTGTTTGACAATGTCCAACGTCAGCTTTATGTCCATCTACTGTTTTACAAGTTGGATAAGATCAAGTTGCGTAAAGGATCTTCGAGTTTATCACTCCTCTCTGAACCCGGACTTCCTGAATAGATGGGTCGAAAATGTTACCAACATCACCCTGGTAGACGTTAGCATCGACTGGTACGACTGCTGGCCACATACAGCTCTTTGTCGCCATATCTTGTAGGGCTTAATCCAAAGGTCAGAGCAGGGTATGCTGTCTTCTTGCGAGGTGTCGCAGCTTCGCAAGTATCACAACCAGATGAGATATCCGGCTATCAAAGGATTCAAATCAGATACCAAGTCAGGCATCGAAGAGGGTTCGAGGACGATCATGCAGAAAGATACTCCAGACGCATCTTGATCCAGAAACAAGAGCGGCCTCTCCACGAGGGAAGGATTGGATTACCATTGTCCCGCGCATGAAGGGCATGTCAAGTTGTGTGAAGTAGACTCTGTGGTCAGACTCTTCTTCCAATACTTCTTCAGTAGCTCTTTTCCGGTATCCAGAACACAACTCCATCAAATCCCAAACTAGTAGAATTCTACCATCTAAGCATCTGTAATATTCCTTGTTGATTGTCACTTGCGCCTGGTGACATCTAGCCATCTTCAACCTTCTTGTTCATGCGTATCAGGTTAGCAGGGATGCATGTGGTGAGCTTGTCGTACCATACCAGGCATAAAGAAGGCTAGTATGGAAAGAGATGGAGGCCACGGAAGGACAGTCAGAGGTCCCACGATGGTATGACATATGGCCTGCCTAGTCCAGTCCGCGAGACCTGCCACCGTCTATTGGTCAAACAGTAAATCGAGGTTGCATATGTCGATGTTGAAGGAGCCAAGAATTGAGACGAGTTTACTAGCAGTGCCGAAACGACTCGACACGGTCTCGACACGTCCACCTCCAAGGTGTTCGTTCGCTTTGCTCCCTAAACCACGACGCGAACTGCTCGCGTCAACTATCAACCATCCACCCTGGCGCGCTGCTTTTCTTGCAACTCGCAAGGATCATCAAATTTTCATCATGACTACTTTTCCTAATGAGGTGGTCGCAATGATCGCTCTGTTTGTGGCTGCAGAGGATCTTCCCAACTTCCGCCTGGCGAGTAAAGCTTTCGAGGGGCTGTCAAGAGAATCGTTCACCAACAAGTGCCTTGAGCACATCGAGACGTCTGCCAACATGGCTGCCCTAAATCTTCTATTCCTTGTCGTCAGCCATCACGAGTATGGTCCTGCTATCCAGACACTCACGATCTCCATGAACGGAGTTGCCGAAGACTCATTTCTCTTGAACACACGGCTGTCTGATATCTTTCGATTGCTGAGTCAAAGGAGACAACAGATCAACATGAGAATCGTCATCACCACCAAGGATATCCTCAAAAATCACGGCGCCAACTCAGATCTCAGGCTCGTCATAGGACATTTGACGCGTCTCGACCTTCATCTCGGAGTATCTGCTGGTCCCCTGAGCTTGTCCTTGTCATCATCCGCTATGTCCAAAGGCACCCATCCGTGGTCTCCTGGTTTTTACGGTCCCATCGAACACTACTGCACTCGACGCAGTCTCTCGTTGAACTACACCGATGCAAATGCATCAGTCAACTACGACGCCACAACCAAGAGAATTCTCATCTCTGGGCTGGAAGCCTACCATATTCGCCAGATAACGAGACTTTTCAACAGGCTGAGGATCAACCACGCCACCATTACTCGTTGCGAGCGTACCGAAGCTGCCAGAAACGCAGTGCGTCATTTTCTGGCACCTCACAGAACAAATCTCGTCAGTATCGAGATCAAAGACGTCAAGGGACGTGACGTGCCTGTCTAGAGACTGCCCAGGTTGGACAATCTACAAAGAGTTCGCGTGAAGAACTTCACTATGTGGCTCAATCGGTGAGTCTCATCAAGCTGAACGTTACCTCGTTAACACTAACAAATCCAACAGGCGCACGTATATCCGCCGGGGTCGATGGACGCACAAGGTAAAGGTTTCCGGAACGCGCAGAGCTCCAGAAGGTGCACACTAAGCCTCTTGATCTCAAGTACAGAAGCACACACTTTTCGCATTATGCATTGAGGATATTGAGGAAGGTCTATCACGGTGAAAAACCCACCTACTCAAGGTGGCCAGCTATTCTTCTCAAAGCATGACAGTAGACATAAGGTCAAAATGGCTGTCTCAATGCCAATTGTCATTTCAAGCTGCAAGATGAATGTGATGAACAAAGGACACGGAAGCCGGCCAGAATCAAAATGCTCCCCAAGACGTGCGTGTAGACAAAGAGATCGAGAAAGCATATCCCTCCGGAGAATGCATAGTGACAAAGGAGATCTGGAATGTAGAGTGCGCTCAGCAAAAGAACAATGAACTAACTTCCATCACTCTGACTCCATTTGTGTATGAAGTTTGGAAGAAGCTGGAGAATTAGAGAGCAGCCAGCAAGACGAGCGAGAAGGTAGGTGATTTGCGATGGTGCTGTGTTCTGGATTGGTAGCCTGTAAGACTGATTGGAAGACTTTGGTTCACTGCTTCCATGATGAGCGTATTGTAGGATGATAGCTGTCAGAAGCAAAGAAGATGGAGGCCCGGGAGACGTGGTCTCGGACGGTTGAGTCTCTTTTCTGCTGGAGTCCCTAGTCTACGCAGTCAGTCTGACGGTCTCTAGACGTTCTGAATCTGGACTTACCTTAGCCTACCACTCTGTGGTGGCAATCAGTTTCAAGAGTTCAATGCTCAAGGTTGCAAAACCGGTAGCTGAGAAGTGTGCAACCTGAGGGGTGGGTTGATGGTTGAGGTCGGAGTTCACGTGGGCTTTCCAGAGATCGGCGACGGTGAGAGAGAAGAGACCGGGGAGCTTGCTCATCTTATCCAGCGCTATGTCCCAGGACAGACGACCAAAATCGCCCAGGGACCATCGCTCATAGAGGTTGGCATTGATGTTGGTAATTTTCTTCAAAGTGATAAACCGACTCTCACAGACAACGCTCAGAGTAGTGAGGTCGATGTCGACGTTTTCGAAGACAATCTTTTGTACGGCGATGTTCATGAGGGGTGCTTCGATCTCGCGCATCTGTCGGGCGTCTAGACCGACTACGGCTAGGCACTTTGAGCGGACCTCACACTCGACTGTTCCAATCTGGCTTGGATCGGTAGCGTTGGGGAACGCGATCGAGAGATTGTGGATGATACCCAGATTGGCGATGCCTCGGCAAAGGGTGTTACGTCTGGGGACTGAATACGAAGTCAAACCCCTGGATGTTGATGGCGGTTCGAGCACGGGAAGTCCTTCCATAACAGGGTTGTTGTGGTCGAATCCAATGAGACATTGGAAAAATTCTAGGATGTTTTCATCAACTCTCTCGATGCCGAAGAGAGGTACTGCAACGACATTGATCCGTAGGATCACTTTCTGTCGGCGTGAATGCAGAGTTTGCAGAGTCTGTGTAATGTGAGGGGGGTCATCGGTAGACTGGCTTTCGAAGCCGTGCATCTGGAAGGTGATGGTCTCCATTACTGGGCCATAGCGATCGTGCAGCGCAGCGACCAAGAGGTGCTCGAATGACTTAGTGTCGACAGAGACGATCATGTTGGCAAAATTGTCTCGCGAAGCGAATCGCGCCAGCGACATCCACGCGGCGACAGGTCTGACGGAACATGCGCTGAGACACGAGAAGACGTGGCCGATGAGTTCTGTGGGCAGGGGCTCCAATTCTGTGTGGACCTACGTAGATCAGTGATCAGTCGGGTTGGAAGAAACCACAGGTGGACTACCTACTTAGACACGTAGTGTGCTCCGCTGCGATGGCAAGATAGTCTTTACGATGGCAAGGTAGTCTGAGGCGCCCTTGAAGAATCGCAGTAAGAACAAGTTGGGTGACACGCGTATGAGAAACTTTTGTCAAAGAGTGAGAGACGTACGGTGATCGAGCAACTACAACAAGGGCGGATGCTTGTCAAACGCCAAGATTTGTAGGCATTTAGGGAGCGCCTAATAATATCGCTGTGGATGACGACAACGGTTACACGATCATTATACTATATAAGCAATGTGCAAGGGCTGGAAGACAGTTCACGGAACTGAGAAACTCGACTAGAGAATTTGACTTTGTCCTTCAAGTGCTTGTTTCTGCCCTGCAGCTTGGTGGTTCCCTAGTGTAGATCTTGGTAACAAAGTGTGCTTTGCCTCCATCCATTCAACGCTAGCGAGGGGAGTTGGGATTTCAATGATGATCGGACCTTCCGCAATCTCAGGGCCGCGTGTTGCTGTAAGAAGATGCTCTATGAATGCAACAATGTTGTTCTCGAAGGTGTATGTCTTCGAGATGGCGATGCAGGTTATGGTCACTTATAGGCCTATCCTTTGGCCTCTACGCCAGAGTATGTCAATGGTGTCGAGTGAAGTATTCAGGAGCTGTGCAGAATTATGCTAGGTACAGCGTAAAATGAGTGTCCAGGACAAGCGGCTTCAAACTTTCGATATCCTAGTACCCGAACAAGACAAGGTGGCATAGATAGACTGCCGGTATCTAAGACTCATCGTGTCGCTCCGATCCCACAGTAAAATCACCCGAACCAATGTCTTAAGTCGAACGCATGTAGGAAAATAAATTCGTTGGCCTTGTCGCACAAGCGGAGAGCCCTTTGGCAGGTCCATTGAACGATTCAGTAACCCCATTGAAGTCCAACTACACGCAAACGCCCGGCAAGATGCTAACAAAGCCCCATTGCTTTACTTGAACAGTGGTCGATGCATGAATACCATCTTCATTCTTTCTAAGCGTAATCGTCCAAGAGAGGTCAAGGTCGAAGTGACATTCATGACCGTGTTTGAGATGCATGACGGGGTGGAAGGCCTGGCCGAGGAAGGGTGTCTTGAATGCTGAGTTGAAGCGGTAAATGTGGGCGAACAGATGGTTGATCCGTTCTATCTCGACATTCCATCCCCGAACATGGTATACAGCAGATGGGAAAAACATAATAGGCAGGTTAAGCTTTACAACAAGAGAGAAGATTAAGGATAATGGTAGCTACTATAAAGGTTGGAGAAGCCTGCCACGCACAAGTTGCAGGAGAACAGGACAGACTTTAGCCCCCAGAAAGGCTGCCTACGATTCCAATCATCGACGATGGCGCACTGCTGTCGTAGCGCAAGAGTATGACAAACTCATTTTGAGCCTTAAGCGCGGCCATTCAGACTGTTACTAGTGGTTTGATCTGCGAGATGCGAGCATACCTTAGCCTAACACACTGTGGTGGCATCAAATGGCGCAAGTTCGTGGCTCAGGGTGGCGAACCCGGTAGCCAAGAAGTGTCTCGTAGTGCAAAGCTTCTTGATGGTGGTAGTGTCGACAGACGTGTTCTGGAAGACAACCTTGCTCAAATGGAGACCCCTGAAAAGGAGCTCAACTCGGCCAGATGCTTGATATCAAGTGCCTCGATGAGGAGGGTTTTGTGCTGGAGTGGTAGTAGAAACCAGCAATCGGTGATACGTCAGAGTATGTGACGTCGACGGTCGACATCTTCAGTGGATGCAGAGATCGTGAGGTTTTGGAAGATCTATCGTCTCAATAGTGCAATGCGAGAGCTTTCAGGGGGCGAGATCCTGAGGGCTATGAACAGAACCAGGGATGAGTTGGATGACGCCGCTATTCCAAAGGTTGTCCAGCATAAGAGAGCAAATACCAGGCAGAGGAATGATTCCCTTGAGTGCGTTGTCCTATAACAAATAGGAAAGATATATATCGCCGTGCGACCAAAGCTCCCAGAAAGTGACGTTCTTCCTGTTCGATCTGGCTTTTTGCTCGTTGCATAGCTTGCACAAGGTGGATGTGTCAATTTGTGAGTCATATAGTCCGATCCTGACGATCGGCAGGCCTGCAAAGGAATATCTAAGCTCGTGAAGGTGCTTGGAGCCAAGGCCTTGGAGCATTAGGATCTTCTTGTCGGTGTTGTATGTGACGCTATCCTTGAACCGGTTGTCCTCATAGGCGAGATAGATGTCATCCTTGAGTGCCATCGAAGTTTGCGGTCTTTGTTTAAGTGACGCTGCTCATGGAAATGCTTGAAGGTTTGAACTTTGTGGAGATCTCATTTGGGGAGGAACGGCGTTGTATATGACCGAATGTAGACTTCATACCAGTCCCACACACTTGCGTTCGTGAGTGAGGTAGCAGGTAGTGTCTTACGACGAACAAAGGGAAGATGAGAATGAATATCGAATTCTACAGCGGAACCTCTCAACCCTCCTCAAATTCTTTCTCCTTGGGATCTCGGACCTCTCTCTAGATCGTACGACGAAGGCAGTGTCGATAGGTAGCTGGACAGCAGTAGAAAGAGGACCGAAGAGCGGTTATCTGATGCTCATCAACGGTACTGCATGGCTTAAATTTATTTGTGACTGACTCTCAATAGTCAACAGTCCATTTTCCAAGTCACCATCTTGTGATTGTAATGAGATCTTCGAGAGTGTGATTAACGGTGACAATGCCCTGACTACTGTGCTCTACCACTGGGTGTTGTTGATCCAGACTTCGAGATTGTGGTGTACAGTGGCCATACCACTTGCGAAGAAGTTGGACACCTGCACAGGCTGATGATGGACAGTGGTCGTGTCCCACGGAAAAAAGCGGGATCAGGCTTGCCTTTTGAGTTCCACCAGGCTGCAAATCTTCAGTGCTGGAAGACGAGAGATACTGGCGAGACTCTCCTTCCAACAAGCCGGGACACTGTCGCCCTCTGACCAGAGATCCCAGATTTTTACGTCTTCCATGAGAACGGTGCCCAACGTAGCACAGTGTGTAAAGCACACTCTCTCAATCGTAGTCGTGTCCATAGCAGTGTGCCTAAGGACGAGCTTTTTCAGATGAATGCCCCTGATGAAGGACCGCAGCTCCAGCAGATGCTTGACCTCAAGCCCTTCGATAAGCAGTGTCTGAGTAGTAGCATCGTAGGTGATTCCAGCGATAGGTGACAAGTCCGAGTAAAGGACATGAATGTTCTCAGTGATCGAATCGATTGCAAGGTTGCGAAAGAAGAGGGTTCTCAGGGGCGCAGTACGGGGACTCTCGGGAGGCGAAGGAAAGTTCAGGGTGAGTGGCTCCTGCAGGAAAGACTTGAATGAGTTGGCACGCGTGATGTAATTTGGGAATTGGTTGATGGTTGTCTCGATGGACGTGGAGCCTCGAATCGCGACTGCGTTGACCTTGACCTGAATGGTCACCTTCTGATCACGGTTGGCGAATGCATCAAACGTAGACCACGCGTGTGCAAGTAAAGACGAAGCCAAGTCCTCTGTTCCTTAAATGGTGAATGTGACGTGTCTGATGTGCGGACGGAATTTGGGGTGTGAAGCGGCTCGGTACAGCTTATAAAGAGATTCTGGGGTGACAGGGATCTCGAACGATCTGAAGCATATCCTCGCGAAGTGATTGATGGAAGCATTGTTGGCGAGACGTCCGGTAGACCGCAGAGCAGGTAAGCCTTCGGCGCCTGCGAACAGACCAATGTGGGCCACGATCTCAGTAGGCAGATTGTCCATGCTACTTGGTTATCAGCTTTGGAAGATTCAGATAGTCATAGTCATTGCATACCTAGCGGACGGATGGATCGTGATAGCTAGCAGCAACTAGTGGGGAATCGAGCACAGTGAAGACCTGCTTTTGGAGCGCGATGTGATTGATGGATATATCAGAAGGAGAACTTTTGTGTGATAGTGATCACGAAGCAGAGCGAGAATACGCGTCCTTGATGTCATAATTGTATAGACGGGAGAATTAGTCGATGCCAAGACTTGATTGCTCAGGAGAACATTCTATAGTCATACTACGGCCAATCGGGATGGAACAATGACTTATGACCTCGATCGTCCAATGAGTGCAGGTTGAACAGATTGCCAATCGGCTCCTCGGCGCCAGCGATGTGATGGATGATCTCCTGAATGCAAGAACCAAATTCAGGATGGCTGGCAGCCAGCTATAGTTTGCGAATCGAGCCTCCATTGACAGAGATCTTCACGTACTTGAAGCATTGTCTCTTGAATTCTAACTTCGTGGCGTTGAAAGCGAGACGGCTAGTGTAGCGAAGTGCAGGTAGGCCAGTACAGACTGGCCACGATACATAACTGTATGAGAGAAAGAGATAACACAAGTAAAGTTCGAATTGGGAAGTGGCTGTGAGGAAAAGAACATTTATATATGATTATGCTTCAACACATTCTCAAAGCAGTATGGCAGGCTCATCCTCCTCTCCCAAACACAAGACTCGTCCAGCATTCTGGATATATCATTCCATCATCAATACTTATATCGTATCCCATCAGTCCAAATCATCTCCTGCCAGATCAGTGTCATCACTATCGCTCGAGAAGTCTGTAGCCTCAAGAGCTTTGAATCTTGCACTCAGTAACTCCAAGCCCTGCTGGACCTCGTCGTGGCCACTGTACTCATGTCTCTCCTTGCAAACTTTGACAAACTCGTGAATGCGTACGTAGATCTCTGGTTCCTGCAGACGAAGGTCTGCGAAACAGCAGTACTCAAGTGCCGGCAGAGGATTGTCGGTGTTGGCGTCCGTGGTGAGTTTNGTCAAGATCTCACTCCACTCGATGCCCCAAAACTGGCACGAGTGAAATTCAAGGTGCTTGAGCTGGGGATTGTAAGCGAGGAAAGTGTCGGGCTTCCCTTTCCAGTATGTCGTAATATCCCTCAGCACCAACGTGGTGACAGAATTTCGAGGAAGCCAAGACGTGAAGGCTTGGAAGTCGTTGATTATGCCTGATGTGACGCCAGAGCGAACCTCAAGGCGTTTCTTCTGTGGAACAAAGTAGAGTGTGTCATGTCGACCTCTTTGGTAGCCATTAAATCCTGCAGCGAAACGTCGGCAGAGTAGATCACCGCCAGAGATTCTTGTCGAGCTGTAGGTTTCTTCAGGAAGCTCGGTGAGGTAGTGCAGGATACTTGTCGGGCCAGCACATTTGCGGTTGAAATCGAGTACCATGCCGGACATTGGATAGTTTGTAAGCAGCACAGCATGAGTGAAGGCAGCAGTGATNTCGTGCATGGCTCCACGATCTTGCAGAGGCGGAGATGCTCGAAAGACTTCCAGAGACGTAAGGTCGTGCTTAGGAAGCAAAGACTGCCAGCCCCAACCATGATATGGGCCTTGATTGCAGTAAACATGAACCTTGATCGGATTGCTGCCCCAGACCTTCAGATTATGCAGCACAATCTTGAGTTGCTGTTCGAAGATGCCGCTCTCAAGACATACAAACTGTTCACGGCGGGCTGCTGCTCGGGAAACCAGGGCTTTTCCATTCAAGCCTGTCTCATGAGCCCGGATGAAGGAAGGTAGTGGAAGAAGAATGCTGTTGAAGCCCAGCTGACGTATATGAGGACCAATCTTCGAATTGGCCGACATCAAGATCAATTCAGCCGTACTGGTATGTGAGACAACATGTGTGCGAGCAGTGAAGAAAGCTTGCCCAAACCACTTTGCTGCAGCATCATGAAAGGATTTGCAAACCAGANNACGGAGACTTGGGAGATCTTCCTCATTGGTAAGCATGCTAATGAGTGTCAATATCTCCACGGCGAAGCGAGACGGGTCTGCAGCCATTGTTGATAGCTTTGTTGTCTTCTTTGAGTCGAGTTTCTTTGTGCATAGATTGCTTTGGAAATTTTGAACAATGCTGTGAGAAAGATCCAAAGTAAGACAGGAGTGCCGAATGTATACAATTCCTCACGAGCATCTGTGTTGTCAACAGCTCACAAAGTCCAGCGCATCATGCACATGTCCAGCCATAGATCTGGCATATGGTAAATTCATGAGCGTGGCATGTGACATTGACGCCATGTTGATGCATGGAAAGTAGGAAGAGTGTGAGAAGTCGTCCTGTGAAAAACGCAGAGCATGAAGTCAGAAGATATACCTGAGCCTGACAGACACAACTTTGTTTGCTGACATCTTGACAAACAACTTTTTTGAATCAAACGTCACAATCAAGATGAAGGGCGCAGCAAACTGATAGGCTTTGAAGATGTGGCTTGCTTTCTTAGCTATGACAAAGGATCATCAAAACATGACTCTCCCCTGAACTGCCAACTGTGGGTGAGGTAGTCTCTTCAAGGACCACCTCCAAACTTGAAGCGCTGTGCTGCTTGACAATGGTCATTCCCCCCTCAGTGGTAGATCGAGAAGACACGGTGGCTGCCAACGGAGAACCTGATAGGATCNGAGACCTCAAACCAGTCACTTCCCTTGGTTTCCTTCATGAATACCTCCAAAGCAGTCATGCGTCTCTCCCAAACGCCATCTCTCTCCTTGAGGACATCAACCTCTTCTTCCAAGCCCCTGATTCTGTCTTTCATGTGCTTGTTCCTGCTCTTGAGCTTAGCGTTCTCTTGCTGCATGGCTTCAAAGCGAGCTGACAGCTTGTTGAGCTCGGCCTCCATCCATTCACCGCCACTAGCGAGCATCTTGACCCTCTTTTGAAGTCTTCGNAGCTGGGTACCGTAGCCATTGATGCGAATCTCGCAAGTCTTAACGAGCCTCTCAGTCTCCATGCGCTCGGCGTCAAAACGAGCAAACTTGTTCTTGACGTTCTGCATTGTCTCCAGCAGATGGAATTTGCGGTCTTTGTTGAGATGGCGCTGCTCCCGAAAGTTTTTGGCGGTATGGGCCTCATGAAGGCTGTTGAGGCGAGTTTGCTTGGTCAAGGCGACGTCCAAGTGGACAAGGCAAGCAATGATTTGCTTCATGTCAGGTGAAGAAGTGGTCTCGTAGACAGATTCGAGCTGTGCGCCCAGGAAGCGAGCGTCAGCTGGAAGATCGTTGCGAGACTCAGAGGTAGCTTCGTGGTCGAGTTCAGGGGCATTGAAGAGTCTGAAGATGTTGTCGTCGACATCTCCTTCGAAGGTGTTGTCTTGAGTCATTGCAGGAGAGTCGCTAAGGCTGAGAGCGTCGATGAAGGAACTGGGTATGATGCGGCTGGTGGGCTGGTCGCTGAGTGTAGTGGTAAGGAGAGCCCGATCGCTTTCTCCCATGGTGTTGGCGGTACCAGTGCTATCCTGATTCGTGCCAGAGGTGGTAGTAGTTTCGAGGGTGTCAAGGGCGAGGATAGAGTCGCTCTGGCCACTGTTGTCGTCGTCTGCCGTTGCGTCAGTAGGAGCGTGGTATTGCGCTGCGTCACGAGAGTCACTGGCGCAGAGTGCGTTTCCAAGAGACGTACCGATAGTCTGATCCAGGTGGCCAGTATCAGGGGGAACCCACAGGTGCGACAACGTCTTGATCACGTTCAGCCATTGCGTCGGTCTTGGTGGTGTTGTGGTAGAGTGGACGCAAAGCGGAAGCGAGTCGGAAGAAGACCTTGGAGCGCGAGTGAAAGTGCAGACCGGTTTCGTCGACGTACGGAACGTGTTGTCGGGCAGGGGGTCTCGAATGTCGAACATGCAATTATTCAGCTGTGAGATTGCAGAGAGTCGACACGCTTGGCAGATAGGACTAGCGAGAGACCTTCGTATCATAGCGCTCTCTGGACCAATCGGATGGGTGAACACATCTGTGCATTTCGATGGCAATGCTGCAGACAGTTCGGTCATGGGAGAGAGTAAGGAAATTTAGAAAAGACTTGGAATGACAGTTATGGTGTGGTATGACAAAGATACGAGAGTCTATTTTGCTATTACAGTCATTCTATATTGACAAGTACAAGATGAAGAAAAACATATATGAAGCTTTTACTCAGCCTTCTTGGATGCCTTGGTTCTGAGCTTCATGAGTCCAAACACAAGAGCGTAACCAGAGAGAGCGAAAATAACACAGATGGCAGCATCTCTCCAGCCGTAGTAGTAGTCCTTGAGGTTAAGGGTAGCAAGGTAGTCGCTACCACGAGTGTATTGACAGACGTGGCAGTCGGAAGTAGCTCCAGGGTTGATAAGGTTGGAAGCGTGACCCATGCCTTGCAGGTAGTTGGCAAGGTATGATGCGCAAGTCTGGCCTGGAGGAGGGTTGAAGATTGCAAACTCAGATTGCTTGCAATGAACAACTTCGTCGAAAGTGGTGAAGACAAGGAGAGAGCCCATGAGGTAGTTAAAGGGATTGAGGTAGTAGAGCCTGAAATGATGTTAGTATGGTATACAAGAATTCGAATGGGTCAGATAGACTTACCAGTAACGCCAGAACGGTTGAATCTGAGCGTAGGGCACCAGGACACCGCAGAAGGAGACAAGGGTACCGATGATGAGAGGATTGACAAGTGATGCGAAAACAGCATTGGGTGCGTATGCGGCAACGAACTGACCAATACCGGTGTAGATGAACTGGTAGACCAGCATGACGAAGTAGACCGAGCCGGCAGACGAAGCTTTTGCAGGAAATCCAACGGTAAAGTAGAAGCAGACAAAGTAGAACGTAGCGCAGAGGACAAGGTAAGGGATCTCAGAGACAATGAGACCTGTGGTGAAGGCCTTCCAGTCGTACATCTTACTCTTCTTCTCACGAGTCTCGTAAACGTCACGACGCTCGATGAACAAAGGCTGAAGCTGAGCAATGACACCAGGAGCGACGAAGATATAGTTGAAGATCGCGAAGAGATTCAGCTGCAAATCGTAGACACCGTTGCCGATCATCCAGAACGTGAAGCCCATGAACAAAGCAGTACCAATATGGAGCATGATCTTGTTCATGATGTATTCGGTGTTGCGGTAGATCGAAACGTTCATACGGTGGGTGACCAGTTTCGTTTGAGTCCAAAGGGAGGTGGCGAATTCATGACCGTCGTCCGTAGTACCCGGGGGTTTATCCGCAGCGTCTTGAATCAAGGCATCAAGGTCTTCGTGCATCTTCTTGTTCTCAGGAGAGTCCAGCCAGATCTGATGCCAATCCTTGCCTTGAGATAGAGAGCCGGAGCAGACGTCAATCATGTGCTCAGCGGGGTTGCTGCTTGATGGGCAAGGAGCATCGTAGCGGCCAAAGTATTCCTTGATGGTATTTGCCTCTTTGCCAATGTCACCGAAGTAGACAGTTTTGCCTCCACGAGTGAGAAGAAGCAGGGTGTCGAACTCAGCGAACAGCTGGGCGGACGGCTGGTGGATAGTAACAAGTACAGCTTGACCCACATCGGCCAACTTACGCAAGAATCGAACAGTATTGAAAGCAGCTTGTCCGTCGAGTCCTGATGTTGGTTCGTCGAGGAAAATCAAGATGGATGGTTTGGAGACCAGCTCGACACCTATAGTGACACGTTTTCTTTGTTCGATTGACAGGCCGGCACCGGGCTTGCCGATAAGGGTATGTTCGAGATCGTGAAGCTCCAGAAGGTCAATAATCGTGTCAACGTAGGCAATCTTCTCTGAATCAGGTGTATCACGGCTCTGACGAAGGAGAGCTGAAAATTCGAGTGCCTCTCTGACAGTAGTCAAAGGTTCGTGAACGTCGAGTTGCTCGCAGTAGCCAGCAGAACGTTGGAACGACACCGAAAGAGGACGGCCATCAACGAGGACCTCACCCTTGATTGTACCATCTGTCTTACGCTGGGCTAGAACATCGAGAAGGGTGGTCTTACCGGCACCGGAACTACCCATAAGAGCACCAAGCATACCAGGCTTCACGTAACCATGAATGTTGTCAAGAAGAACCCTGTCTCCGGACGGTGTCTTGACAGTGTAGGTCAGGTTTCTCCATGTGAAGATACTGGTGTTACGGACAAGCTGATCATTGTTTTCGGACTCGGACTTAGGCTTCTCGTTATCGCCGGAAGGGACCTGGGTGTCGGCGCTTGAGATTGAGGTCTGAGATTTTTCGGCAGGGTTCTCCTCGTCGGTAGAGGTCTTGTTCATGAGACCCTTGGCCAGATGAGCCTTCTCGCGGGGGATCAAGAGGAATCCATTAGAGTTACCGTTTTCGTCCCAGCGGAGAGTGAAGAAGATGGTCATCGCGACGTACAAGAACCACCAAGCGAACAGGATGCCGACATTGCGCCAGATGTGCGAAGAGCTGTAGGAGAGACTGTCAAGGTACTGCTCACCAGTGACTTCAGTAGCACCTGGAAGAGCACCACGGACACCAGCACAAGCTTGGTATGCAGCATTGCCATAGCCCGGACCATTAGGCACAAGGTTGTTGTTAACACAAGGGATGACTTGTCCTTTGAACTCGTTACCAAGAAGAGATTCAAAACCATAGGCCATAGGATTGATCCAGTAAATCCAAACAAACCAAGGGTGCATCTCAGGCTTGGGGATTTGATAACCAATGTATGTGATGAGCGCACTGATCATGAAACCAGAAACCTTGGATGCAGCATCGAATGTGGGNAATGCGGCACCGATGGCTCTGAAAAATGCAGTCATGACCAAAGTCGATAGATAAATCACGAACCAGTAGGTGAAGAAGGCGGCAGCAGTCAGCTTCAAGCCAACCATGAAGTACAAGACAACGGAGAAGACACTGATCTGGAAGACGAGTACTGGTAGATCGCAAGCGATTTGAGCGATACAGAAAGCGGCGGGGTTATAGAATGCGAAGGATTTGTGCTTGGCCAAGATAGGACGGCCGGAGAAGGAGTCAGTGACTTCAGACATTGCCAGGAGCGCATTGAAAAGCAGAGACAAGAACAAAGCACCACCCTTGATGAAGAGACCAGAAGAGTTGTTAGGGGCGTTGTAGAAGAGAGAACCAGAAATCAGAGCCTGAACCAGAGTAGAACCCTGCTTGATGAAGAAAGTTGCCTTGTCACCCCACAAGATCTCGTACTGTCTGATGATGCAAGCCTTGACCTGCGACTGGAAACCAACAGTGTTTGGACTGTTCTTAGGAATACCCTTGGCCTTGTCCTCGTGAGTTGCTTTCTGGAAATCAGCAGTCCATTCCTTAGCGTGTGAACTCTCTGGGAAGTCGAGCTGCTTGTCCATCTTGGTCTTGATCGATGACACCTCATAGCGCTCGCGAATGGCCACTGCGTTCCTGGGAAATTGAGCTTCGAACCCGCTCTTGATTTTACGCTCTGTAGGAACAGTGACACCAGTCAGGAAATCGGCGACGTTTGCAGCGTCGTCGCAAATGAAGCCGAGCTTCTCCATGAAAGGACGAGCTTGAGCGCGAGGACCGTAGTAGATTTGTTTGCCTTCGTCGAGGACCAAGACCTTGTCGAATAGATCGTAGATACCATTTCCTGCCTGGTAGAGGGTTACAATAGTGGCCAAGCCAAGCTTGTCTGTCAAAGCACGCAGAGCACGAGTGTACTCCAAAGCGGTTGAGGCGTCCAGACCACGAGTTGAATTATCCCAGCAATAAACACTGGCCATTGTCGCAAGAGTTTCGATAATAGAAACTCTCTTGCGCTCACCACCACTTACACCACGAACGTACTCGTTGCCCACTTTCGTATCAGCGGTGTGACCAATTCCCATGGATCTGAGAAGAAAATCCTTGTACTCGGTGCGAAATTGCTCTCTGCTTTCAGTACCTTCGGGTAAGTTGTTGGGCACCTTGAGACGAGTGGCGAAGTCCATAGTGCGACCGACTGTGAGGGTAGGGAAAAATAGTTCGTCTTCGGTGTTCATGGCAATTTGACCTCTGTATTTTTGAGCTTCTTTGGGATCCATGGTCCCAAACTTGATGTCACCCTCAATCTCTGCGTATCCTGCTCTCCTGTTCGAGAGCATCTTCAGAAGTGTCGTACAACCAGCACCGGGGCGGCCAAGCACAAGCAACATCTCCCCAGGCTTCACACAACCAGAGCTGTTATCGATAATAGTCCTAAGAGGCGCGGGATGGCGTCCCTCCTTGATGTGTTGTGGTACGTTGAACTGACTGAGGAAGTTCTCGTTGTAAGCTGCGTCAGCACCAACACCCTTGACTGTGAGGTTATTCCAGGTGACTCCGAGTTTGCGTCCAGTAGCGGGATCATTGTCGGCATATCTTTTGACTTCGGGCATCAATGACCAGTCCTCGGCTTTGCTGATGTGTTCGTCATCCTTGGGCTCCTCATAGTCGGAGAAGCCGGAGCGTCCGGAGACTGTACGAGAGATGCGACGCATGAGATCGTCGCCATAGCCGTGATTTAGTGATGGCGCCCAAGCTATCTGGCTGTTGGTAGCCATTGTGAGAGAGGTTGAAGTGTGTACAGTATAATTGATTGTTGGCCTCTATGTACAGGAATGCCTCGATGGAGAGTGGCCCTGTGGCAGGGGTCTGGAGCCTGAACCTAAAAAGTCGAAGGACGAAGAAAACAAGACGTTTATAATAATGAACAGAAATTGACAAGGCGCGATGCCCAGGCCATATATACAAACGCCTGGTCGAAACAGAACCAACAGCAATCGGGGACGGTGTTTTTCTGTCAATGATTGCGCCGCCTTTAGAAACGCGACTGGAGCTAATTTTCCGGAGGACGGCCCTTGAGGCTTCCAGGCCAATCATATGGGGCCATGTTGGCCAAGATTTCCATCAAAATGTCATAGCGTCGCCTGGAACTTCTACCACGAGATGACGTGTGGGGCGGATCCGGAGGCTTGAGGCTCCTTGTCTGCCGAAAACCTCAACAGTAAAACGACAACAACTCCTTGTTCAGCTCGGATTTTGATAAACTGCTCCCAGATGCCGATGACTCACCATACATCTATGGATCGTGGAACTTGTTAACATCCGGTCTCGTATATTCCTCTGTATCTTCGAAGCACTCATCGAGGATCAACTCGGCCACGGGACAACATGCCCGACACAGTCGCAATGTCTTTCGATCGCTTTTGCAAGTCATCCTACACGACAAGACATTGGCGAGAGATATTGACCATCGACCACGACCTTGACTCTGAAGCATTGGTACATTGCTTCCAAGGCTTTATTTCAACCGTATTATGTTTGACTGAATATTTATTGAGTGTTCTGCCAGTCGTTGTTGAAGGGAGGTGCAGAGAAGATTAACCTTAATTCGTGTCTGCCTTGCGGCCTGATCATTGTATCATAAGGAAACCCTTTCTTCATGCACCCCAAGCCAAGACCACAAGATCAGGGCGACTGACCGGTGAACGATTGATGGAAGTGTTTCCAGAATCGAAACCCTGGAATGTGTCAAAATGCTGCCTAAGCAACCCTGCAGGAACGGAAGACGGACCAACCGCAATCCCGGCTCCGAGACGGACGGATACATCGTTCTACCTTGAAAACTCGACAACATGTCAGCAATACAAAGTAGAAAACTTTCTCGGACAGATCACAAGACCGTAGGTCGGCGATGTTTGTAGTCGACTAATTTATATGTTTCCCTGTTTCGTCTCATCTCAACTTCTCCTATCCCACCTTCATATACATACAACAATGCCTTCTCACCATTTCAATACGCTAAAGGACATCCCGGATCTATCCGGAAAAGTCATCCTAGTCACAGGAGGCANNCGTCTTGACATCACTAGACACTCGAGGAAGTCGATTAACAGTACTTCAGGGACCTCAGGCGTAGGAGCAGAGACAATCAAACAGCTCGCAGTCCACAGTCCAAGCAAAATCTTCTTCACTGGTCGCAATGCGAAAGCTGCCAACACTCTCATCGAGTCGATGAAGCTTCTCAATCCGCAGGTGCAGATGCGCTTCGTACCTTGTGACCTCTCAGATCTAAGCTCCGTTCGTCAAGCAAGTAACAGAATCGCTGCCAAAGTATCACGAATTGATCTGTTCTTTTGCAACGCCGGTGTCATGGCATCACCAGCTGGCTTGAGTAAGGATGGCTATGAACAGCAGTTTGCGACGAATCATCTTGGTCATGCTCTCTTGATCGATCTTCTGATGCCAATCTTGCAAGACACGGCGGCTCTACATGGTTCTGATGTCCGTATCATCATTACAACATCACAAGCTGCTTCGACGCCATTGGTACCAAAGCGCGGGATCGATTTCAGCTCTCTGAAAACTGAACAGAGAATGTTGGCAGGACGATGGCGTCGCTATGCGCAATCGAAACTTGCAAACATGCTTTACGCCAAAGCCTTGAACCGACAGTATCCCTGCGTCACCACTGTTTCAGTGCATCCAGGTATTGGCTATACAGGATTGCAGGACAACTTCAATCTACTTGATCGGTTTGTCATGTGGGCTACCACGATGGGCAAGCGAAGTCCAGTAAATCAACTCGCCTGGAACGGACTGTGGGCAGCTACGGCTCCCAAAGGGTCGGCGAAGGGACAAGTACAAGGAGGAGATTATTACGAGCCCGTAGGTGTAAGTCCAAAACCTACGAGTCATCAGAACAACACAGCTCTGGAAGATGATTTATGGGACTGGACGCAAGAACAGTTAGAAGCCTGGGAGCTCAAAGCAGGGTTGAAGGTACGACACTCGTTCTCTTCTTTTCAACACTCATGACCCTTTATGTACTTACGAAGCAATGTATCAATAGACGAGTTTGTTATCCACATTCTTTGGACCTACTACTGTGATTCATCGGGTGGCAAGTACATCTTCGAGTATCTCAGGAGTGACACAGCGGCCGCCTATGAGGCAAAGAGTCTTCAGTTCAAGTCATGTTGACCCTCGGCGTGTATTGCATTCCTTTCCGCAAGTTGCTGTGAACGTCCACGAGACGCGAGGTAGCAGGACATGGTAATGCATGGTTCGATGGGAGTCGAAAGCTGTATATATTCTCGACGATCGAAAGATGTTGTCAATCCTTCTCAGGACATGTGTTCGGTCGGGGATACGTCCAAGTCATCGTCAATCTCTGTTCATTCAGGCTCGGGTCTGCGGACGACGCCGGCCGAGCATCTCAGAAAAAAACGCTCCAACCGTATAACTGGGCAATCTCTTTTCCGATGACCTTTGATGTCTTAGATTAAACTACTGTTTCAGTACCTGGATACGAAAATCGTGGCCCTTTTCTGTTCGTCTTCTGTGTTGAGACTTGAAGACCATTATTGAACATGAGCGACAGGGTTGTGCTACAAACATAGCGCAAGCGGGAGTGGAAGTTGCAAGCTGCCGACAGCTCGGTAGGGTTCCTGCCAAGAAATGCACGGATGCAACGACCGACTCGGACACGGAGGATTTCCAGACCAAGTCACCGAAGTCCCCGAGCTGCTGTTGTTTTTCGTGACGTACAAGACCCTGAGGAGAAGAAGGCGCAAAGACATTGAAGGCATCCAAGCTCTTCCAAGTCGCAATGCACAAGTCCTGGTACTGGAGACTGTCGTCGTGTAGAAGTTACACAGGTAAGTGGTGTGAGCGACAAGAAAACCTGGTATGTATGTGATACAGGGCCAAGCCGAGGCACGAAGAACGGCGGCCTGCTGTGTCAGATGAGGGGATCGCAAGCGACCCTGAACAGCTCAGCAACCAGCTCTTACCTTTCTATCACACCTTGCAACTGCAATCATGGATACTAAACTGCCAGCCTTCGAACACACTGCCGTTGAGCAGATCAGAGGCATCCACTCACGCGTCTACGACAGTTTCCATTCACAAAAGACCAAGCCCTTGAGCTGGCGCGTAACACAGCTCCGTAAGCTATGGTGGGCCATCAAGGATAGAGAGCAGCAGCTCGGCGAAGCTCTGCAACGCGACCTGGGAAGACCTTTCTATGAGGCTTATCTCACTGAGATTGGCTGGGTGTTGAACGATATCATCTACACCGTTAACAATCTTGAGAAGTGGGCGAAGGAGGAAGCTGCGGGCGATGTACCGCTTACCTTCATGGCCATGCGACCACGTGTTCGCAAGGAGCCTTTGGGCACTGTCTTGATTCTCGGGTAGGTATCGTCAGGCTATATAAATGTGAAAGGCACTGACGAATGAATAGCGNCCTTCAACTTCCCTGTCCAGCTTTCGCTTGGTCCGTTGATCGGTGCCATCGCTGCTGGCTGTACCGCCGTCCTCAAACCCTCGGAAAGCTCGCCATACACCGCTGCCCTTCTGCAAGAAGCTATGGAAGCCTCTCTCGACCCATCCGCCTTCATCTGTGTCCAAGGTGCCATTCCTGAGAGCAGCGCTCTTCTGGAACTCAAGTGGGATAAGATTTTCTACACCGGCTCTGCCACCGTCGGAACCATCATTGCAAAGAAAGGAGCAGAGACATTGACACCTGTTACACTCGAGCTCGGTGGTCGCAACCCTGCCATCGTTACAAAAAATGCCGACCCTCGTCTTGCTGCCAGACGCCTGCTCTGGGCCAAGATCCACAACGCTGGCCAAGTATGCGTTTCTCAAAACTACATCTTGGTCGACAAGGATGTCATGCCCTTCTTTGTCAAGGAACTCAAAACCGCCATCAAGGAATTCTACCCTGAAGGAACAAAAGCAAGCAAGGACTATGGCCGTATCGTCAACTCTCGCCAATTCGAGCGTCTGAAGAAGATGCTCGCCTCCACCAAGGGTGAGATTCTTTATGGTGGAGAAATGGATGCAGAGACCAACTACATTGCTCCCACTATCGTCCGTGTCTCATCGACTTCCGACTCACTGGTCGTTGACGAGTCTTTCGGCCCCTTCATTCCTCTTCTAGCAGTCGACAACCTCGACGAAGCAATCCGCATCGCCAACGAAGTCCACAGCACACCACTAGGTCTCTACGCTTTCGGCAGCAAAGCAGACACTACTCGCATCCTCTCCGAAACCCGCAGCGGAGGCGCCAGTATTAACGACGGCTTCACCCATGCCTCAATGCCCACCATCGAGTTCGGTGGTGTCGGTGACAGCGGTGCCGGTTGCTATCGCGGAAAAGCTTCTTTCGACTGCTTCACCCACCGTCGCGTCGTCACTAACACGCCTGCTTGGGTAGAGACCTTGTTGAGCGCCAGATACCCACCCTACAAGGGTAAGCTATCACAACTGAAGATGATCAACGACTTTGCGCCAAACTTTGATCGTGAGGGCAAGGTTGTTACATTGGGCCTGGTGGGCAGACTTCTTGCTTTGGGAGGAGCTAGTCTGGGTCAAGGAGTCAAGAGATGGTTGGTTCTTGTTGTGTTGGCGCTTGGTGTGAAGTATGGACAGATGCTTGGCCTACAGGAAAGGCTCAAGAGAACTTGAGAAGGGGCTTGATGTATGAAGGTGTGCTCGCTTCCATGACCATTATATCAATCGTTTGGCATCTTATAGTATATTGCTAATGAGGATTGCTGACAGAAACGGTACATCAGAGATGCGCCGCGATATGAATCACTTTCTCACCGTGTGTATGTTTAGAAGCTTTGCTCATCCCATGTTGCGGTAGTGATTTCGAGATCCAGTACCGGCTTTGTGATACTATGATAGCACTGAACTACTGGTTACTGTATCCTTCAACTACCAACACTAACACTATTACAAAGACATAACACATGATTACCCGCTACATAACTAGAACGACAAAACTGACTTTCTGTCGGCTACTTAGGATCCCAAAGGAATCAAACCCAACAACCTTGATGTGCAGTCGATCGATGGAGTCTTCTCGCTGCTCGGTATACTGTCAGGTCTGACTGTCGCACCCCCAAGATTACTCGACGTTGCTATCGACACAACGCCAGTCGGACCTGCATCCATCGGCGTGTACACAGTCGAGAAACTCGACACCGCCGAAGTCGCAACAGCCACAATCGCACAATTGGGTTGCCAGAACGCATCTCCACATCTCAGTAGATCGCTCGCAACCAGAGCGTGTGGATTTTGTCCTCTTTGTACTGCAGCTACTGCGCTGGGTAGATTTCTGACCACTGAGATGGATGTACTGCGAGATATGATACCGGTTGCGGAGATCACATCCACAGCACGAGATTGTAGGAGGACAAGCATGACCGCACCAGGAAGATTCTCTCCAGGGTTTGTGTTTGTGTTGAGATTGCTGATGAATGTGCACTGGCCATCAACAAACGAGGATGCAACACATTTAGCACTGAAAGAGCAGGCATTACTACAAGCCGCAAGATTGGTATATCCAGCTTGAGCAGTGATATTGCGACTTGCTGGATAAGATTGATTGCGCAAAACCCCATACTCAGAGCCTGAAGAGTCAAGATAACTGAAGCCTTTGAGACTTGGACAACTGATGTCTGCAGGGAATGCAACATTAGCGCTCGTGTCTAAACCAACGCTTGTGAAGGTCGAGAAGTATGTGCAGATGCCTGAAGAAGCTGTGTAACTTGTTCCCACGCAAGTAGCTATGGTTCTGCATGAGTTGACGCAAGCAGCGAAATCGATCTGGTGTTTTGATGTAATAGGCACGCGTGAGATAGGTTCACGGTTCGTTGAGAGATCATGCAGACCACGTTCAAGCAGACCACGTTTTCGAGATCCTGGGTTGCTGCTGCATTGGATCTGGTATCCGTTGCCATCTTGGTCGGTATAGTACGTGCCATCGTCGTCTGGACATGTAAACACTGCTGAAGACCTCGATACAGAATCTGTAGGTGCGGAGGAAGAGGATGCTGCTGCTGCTTGGCTGGGAGTGGAACGCGGCGAAGGAGTAAGTGTTACTCCGACAAACGCTTGACCAACGACAGACGAGAAAGATGCGCTAATTGATGTTGATGTACTGCTTAGTGCTGCACCTGAGTCAGAGCTGGAAGTCGTAGTCATGGTAGTGGTGACTGTTGTCGAGAAAGGCGGAGGCGTCAATGTAACTCCCACATATGCCACGCCCGCCGAAGATGAATAAGAACCGCTTAGATCGCTGGAAGAGCTGGATGATGAAGCGGTTGGGTTGCTGGAAACGGCCTGAGGAGACGGACTCAGAATGCCAATTGATGATGTAGTCGAGGTCACTGTACTCGTGACTGTACCCGGTGTTGGAGTGGCATAAATCGTCTCAGATGAAACAACCAAAGTACTTGTCGTTGATGTGGTGATGATAGGTATAACTGCAGAAGATGAATTGGAGCTACTGGCAAGTGTAGAGGACAAAGAACTGCTACTAGCGAGCGAAGAAGACAGAGAACTGCTGTTGGAGAGCGAAGAGGACAGAGAATTGCTAGAAACCTGAGAAGACGAGAAACTGCTGCTAGGTAGCGCCCACGAAGAGGATCCAGTGCTGGAAGACGTTACGTCTCCAAAAGTTGCTGTCGATAGTTCTGTTGGAGTCGTAGCTGTCGTCGGTGTAGTCACAGTCGTCGGAGTTGTTGCTGTTGTGGGTGTGCTGGAGTCTGGAGATGAGGAAAGGCTACTGCTAGAAGAAGAACTTATATCCCGGACTGTCAATGTAGTCGCGGTCGTTGGCGTCGTAGCTGTTGCCGGAGTAGTCGCTGTTGTCGGTGTTGTTGCTGTTGTTGGCGTTGTTGCGGTCGTAGGCGTGGTGGCCGTTGTGGGCGTTGCCAAAACAGAGCTCAGTGAGGATGAACCACTGCTTGATACAGATGACGATATGCTAGATGACGAAGAGCTTGGTAGGGAGCTGGACAACGAACTTGTGGCCCCTACTGAGAAGGTTGCCGACGCCGACGCTGGCGATGGCTGAATTGCGGGATTCGACATCGAGACAACTTGCGTTGCAGAGGACGATACCGTTGAGCCCGAGGAATACAGCGATGAACTTGCAGTCAATGAGGAAAGCGAAGAAGTATCAAGCCCTGACGATGTCAACGCCGGCGATGGCAGTAGGGATGATGCTGGCGACGACACCGATGAGACAGTCGATGGCGATAGGGACGAGGACACCGGCACAGGTCCAGATGTCGACGTGATCATCGGAGACATTGTTGACAGTATGCTTGTGTTCGAAAGTGTTGGGGAAACTTGTGTTGGAGAAGTTGACTGTGATGACAGCAATGTCGAGGTCGCCGTGTCTGACGATGAGGACGGGATTGGTAAAGATGTGACCGATGCAGCTGATGATGACGATGGCAATGGCAAGACTGAGCTTGGTGTCGTAGGGATGGACGAGGCGGTCGTCTCCGATGGAGAGGTCGTTGGCTGGGTCGTACTTGATGCAGCAGGTACCGCCGGCGTGGCCGTTACCAGTTCAGTGACAGGCTCTGAGGATATTGACGATATCGTTGTGGTTGCAAAAGCTGTTGATGGCGTATCGTTGGCAGATGATGCAGATGACGATGGATCGGTTGAGGAGGCGAGAGTTTGAGACGATGGAAGGTTCGTGGATGCGGTGGCTCCTGCGGCAGAACTGCTAAGTATGGACGAGACCGAGGATGAAGAGCTGTTAGAACTGGGTGACGATAGGGAAGAGCTGCTGCTGCTGGAACTTGAGGAACTGGCGCTTGATAATGAGGAGGAGGATAGCGAGCTCGATGTTGACGTGGTGGTGGTGGTGGTGGTGGTGGTGGTGGTGGTGAAGCCAGTATAGATGACGCTTCCAGCGGCGTCCGTGGTGTATCCGCTGGGGTAGATGGTGGTGGTGACAGTGACAGGACATGTCTCTATAGATCGAGGTCAGCTTGTGTATACCGGATCGTCAATTTCAGCCGACATACGCGTCGTGGTGGAGGTCAATCCTTGACTCGCAACTTGCGACGACAGTGTCAGCAGGACTAGCAGTAGAGACCTGCTGAGATGTCCCATCCTCACGGTGGAACCAGGCGAACGGCCGAGCGAGAAAGTAGCGAACGCTTTGCGACCAGGTTGTCTACGAAGACATGCACAAGATGGAAGACATACAAAAGATGGAGCCAAGAGATGGAGCAAGAACGTGCTAGGTCCGAGTACGCGTGAGCCGAAAGACTTCGGAGACCACTGTCTGCATTGTGTACGTGGAAGGAATGTACGCGTCGTCTTGTGATTCATCGGTCCGCAGATACATACGGCTAAATTGGCTACACTGGGCATGCCTCCGATATTCCGCAAAGCATCAATTGAGAACACAACTTACCTTGAACTCTTTGATAATGAGATGCACGATGTTTGTTGAACGCAGCGATATATCGCAAATGCACAAGTCACTTAAGCCTATGAGAATGGCTCATGTTTTTGATACCAGCATTCCGTTGATAGTCGAGAATTTGGGGGAGTGGCGACCGAGACACCCGGTCTCGAAGTATCAGCAAGACCAGGGAGATGAGATGATGCAGCTTGCGTGCCTGTATGCTCTATTTAATCACCCAAGGGAGCATTGTGTGGTGCTGTCCGGGGAAGCAAGGGGCATTCCCATCCCAAAAACCAAGGATGTTTATTTCATGCTTCCTCCTGATAGACAGACTCATAAGGTTAAGAAGCACTGCGTTTGTCGATGTAGGTAGCATATTCCATCGACGACTTTTGCTATGATCTTGATACTCACAAAGATATATTTGTATATAGATGCTCAAATTTGTCTGCGACGAGAGATTGTCAAACCAGCGATATGTACAGCCAGAACGAACAAATTGAATGGCTTTGAGCAAAACAGGAACTGAGATAACAAAGAAAAAATCTCATGCTGCCGCCTGCGGTAATACCATGACATTCAAGAGCGGATTGGTCGGCTTGGCCCTCAGCTCAAGAGACTCGATAACAGAGAAGCATAACAAGCTGCAGAACATTACAATACCCTCTTGTGAATGCGGAAAATGATTAAAGACAGAAGTCAATAAACACGAACACAATGTTGCGCCGTGGTGAGAGTAAAAGAAACTTCTGTCATCCCTGTTGTGGCAGCCGGAACTCCAAGCCGACATTCGCCCGGCTGTATCTAACGTCACTTTCTTCGACTTTGTCGAGAGAAATAACAGGATCGACTCTGAGTTGTATTGAATAAATCTGCAGAACGTCTTGTAGACAAATTTTTATCCTCAATATATGTAACAATGCACTTTGGATGGTTAAGTGAATTTTCAAGAACAACTGAATTGAGGGGATCATCGATTGAGTTGGCATTGACAACAATCAGATCTTGCTATCTGAGAGCTGTACGACACAAGCATATGAGTCGGGGTTGGAGCAGCCATCGAACAGGGCTCAAGCAGTTGACGACTGGGATGAATGCTGAGAGGGCTTACGTGGTTGAAAATAACACAGCAGCCTCGTGAGCAAAACCAGTGTAACTGATGGAGAAAAACAACATAAAGAAAAGTATAGAAGCAATGACAGCGGCCTGCGAAAAGAGCTGATGCATTGGCGAAAAAACAGCGGCCTGCGAAAGGGCTGATGATTTGGTGAAGACCGGCTGAACTCTCACGGCCACGGCTTCAGTCATTATCTCGTCCCAAAGAATTACCCCAATCTTCCAAGAAATCGAGTGTCGCCTTCAAGAGCCCCTTGATCACCAAGGTGTCATTTCCATCGAGAATCCCATCGGCTGCCACAACCAACAGCTTCCAATATCTCTCCTCAAACGAGTTCACCGATTTGTCGTGCCAGGCCATACACTCGGCTTTGCGTTTCGTCCAGAAGTCGCGGTCGACTTCATCCTTCCAGCCAACCCAGCCACACCGCTATTGATGTGCAGCCATATCGAGCCTTTCTATGCCGAGCGTCCACCTGTACTTATGCTCAGTCAACTTACCCTCGAGCAGATCCGCGTCAAGCTTCGCTTTTTCCTCGAGGTAAGCATCGCCGAAAGCTTTGTATTGCTTTTGTATTTCCCTCAGCTCATCCTCCTCTGGCTCTGGTGTGGGAGATGGTGATTCTTCTCTTTCGGCCTCCTTGGCTTTTCTCTCCACCTTCAAGATCTTGACGACCTTTTGACCAACAACATGGCTTTCTTGGTCTTCTTCTCGGCCCGGCGTTGGGCTTCCTCGGCTCTAAGTCGAGCGGCGTCGAGAGCGACAGCCTCGCGGGCCAGGGTTTCGAGGGCGGCGGTCTTGCGGGCGAGGGCGGCGCGGAGGGAAGCGTTTATTGCGTTCATCTTTGTTGATCTGAGAGCGTGTTAGCGTATCTGTAGGATGAAGATGCTATGTGCTGATTGAACTGTGATGACAACGACGGTGAAAGATTGTTGTTGCAGAGCAATCGACTTCGGCGGCGAAAAAGGAAAGGCGCTGCGTCAGTTACGACTGCCCAAAGATCGAAGTGAAGTGTGTGTCAAACATTGACATTTGATAGAGCAACGCCAAGGCGCAGCGACAGCTGCCAGAATCATCTATATCTTCTGAAGTTTCCCTGCTTTCTTCTTTCTTCCATTCTTTGGGCCCACGATGGTGAATCAATGTTCAACCGTTTCTGTCTTCCCGTGGCAGTATATGGATGGCATTCACATCCTAGACCAAAGGGCTTGCCGATGATTACATACCGCCTCCATTGATCATCTTTGGTGGTTTGTCAAGGCAAGCTTACATATATTCACACCTACATAGACAGATAACACCGGACAGTTGAGTCAGTTTATTATTCCGTTTTCAGACTCACAAGTTTGCGAAGTTCGGTATCTTGGATATCCAGATTGTGTGAAGGAATGGTCGTTTTCAATGCTTCAGCGGGACAAAGGGCTGAACACAAGGTATCGTGCAAAATGATAGAGCGAAACAAAGCTCAGCGGGGCTGTCGTGACATAGTCTCGATGAGGATGTGTGAAAAATCATCCATTGCTTGGATACATAGTTGTGTTTCTGGAGCGAGAACGACCACAGAGATGTCCCAGAACCTTACTCTCCAGTACATCTACATTTCCGAGATATCACTGTGCATACCTACAGAATCATCTCAGCTCGATTTGACGAACAGGTATTTTGCTGTGGGTGTTGATTCATAACCATATCACTTTGTCAACAAGGTTTGCTCTTTCAGTATTCGGATTGACCCATGTTTGCTTGTGCTATCTATCCTTATGACTGAAGCTTGCGAAAAGGAAAAGAAGAAAAAGAAAAGAAGAAAGAGATGGAGACTGGAAGAAAGACCTGTATAAGGTCTGAAAGAAGCACCTGTACCAGGTCTGCAACAAAGAGCCTATCTAAGGCTTGTGGAAAGGGATGATAAGCCTCAAAATCTGGAGGTTGCACCTGCACAAGGTCTGCAAGAGGGCCACCTGTAGAAGGTCTGGAGTGAGAGCACCTGTACAAAGTCTGCAATGTAGGGCTGAGCAAAAAGGAGGAAGGAAAGAAAGAAACAGCTTTGGCGTATAAGAGTGAGAGCCGAGAACGGATAGAGAGATTCAGATTATCCACTAGAAAGAGTCATTCAGTCCCGATCAGAGATGCCATCACTGTCAAAAGCGATGTCATACCAGCCTTCCAAGATCCATTCCGCGCTAGACACCAAGTCAGCACCAGCGCAGGACATGGCCTCAAGAAAGCACTGCGCAGCGAGGGCCAGTGTTCGCCAGTACATCGCCTCTTCAACCCTCACGGCTTGAGCTCCCCAAGCCTCGCACTCAGTTCGGCGTTCTTGCCATTGTGCAAAGGTCACGTAGTCACCGTGCCACTTCCACCAGTCCAGCTGCTGCTCCGCCATCTTTCTTCTTGCCCTCTCAAGCTCACGTTTGCTTTCCTGAATCAGGTGTGGATTTTCCTTGGCGGCAAGATCCAGTCTCGTCTTGGTCTTGAGATACTTCTTGGCGGCTGTCTGGTAAACTTCGTCTGGGTCTTCTGGCCCATCTGAAGGATGCTGAGACCCATCCAGTGCCTTCCTGGTCTTTCTCTCTGCTTTGAGGGTCTTCAAAGTCCTCCAAGCGGCCATGATTGCTCTCTGCGCTTTCTTCTCGGCTTCTCTGGCGCGCTTGATGGCTTCTTTGGCAAGTTTGATGGTCTTGATGTGGGAGAGTCTCGGGTTAATCATCTTATCTGTCTGGAAACCTATCAGCCTTTGTGTATTGTGTCAAGATGCGAACCGGATGATACTTGATCTTTGTGGGTGGATCAGGTTGTGATGATGAATGGGTAAGTGCGAGTGACGAAAGGCGGTTCGTTACCACTGCGCAGCGCGTAACTTTGTGATGGAAGTGAAAAACATTGACATGTGACAAAGCAACGCCAAGGTCCAGCAGGCTACCTATCTCTTTCCCACCGCCGCGTCTCTCTCCCTCCTTCTTCTTCCTTTCAAACCTCACTGCCCTCTGGGCGTGCGAGAGACTGTTGATTTTCCTTACGGGGAGCTTGACAGTAGACCACCCAATTTCGTTACGCGTTCTGGGTTCGGAAGCGCATGCCACTGAGCCTCTGCAATTCCGTCTTTGTGCTCTTCGAGCGCAGAGGGTCGCCTTGGTCAAGTCACTTTCATTGGCTTGATCGCAAAAGTGCACACATAACCATGGATTGAGTGCCTTCATGGAGCTTGATTCTAGATGAACGCGTTTGCCTTCGCACCGCTTTGAGCACAACGGCCAGCGCTCAGGGTCGACTCCCGGAGCAGCCATTCTTTTGTAATTCTTGTTCTACTTGTCTTCTCTTTTTCCTTCCTAATCTCATGCTTTACCCTCTTTTATGCGGCACACCAGCCGCTTGCAGGCTTTATAATTACTTTTTTGCTCGTTAAAGTACACGTTATTCTCTGCAACTAGTCCCGGGCGAGACTTGATCGAATTTATACAGGAATGCTGCACTCGAGTATGATATGTAAGAACCATCGCTTTACTCCTTGTGACCAACATCTCCAATTCGCCATGCTATACAAGAATGTCTTATCCAATCTCCCTTTTCAATGTCACCAACCAACGCCAACACTTCGCGCTCGGACACTGTATTTCCCTTCCTTCCCACTTGTTTATGATCTGAAGGACCCAGAGGATCTCCTGTGCAGCTGGGCGACCATTCAGTACAGGACGGTGAGATACTAGGGTGCTTGAGTACTTACTTTATTGTCTGATCAGTATTTGTAGCGACGGCTTGATCTGGGCGACAAACTGCGCGAGTCTTGGTGACGGCGGTGCGATGAGGCGTAATCGCGATGTCCTGAGCGACGATTGGGCTGATGGGTAGAGGAACGGTGATAGGAGTGTGCGTAGTTGTTGGTTCTGTTCCGGGCATGACTGTGGAGGTTGACTCTGGTGTTGCCATGATGCGAGACGGATTGCTGAGCGGGTGGGGTGATGCCCAATAGGCGATCTCTGGCTTCTCTTTGGTGGCGAGCTTCCGCTGCAGTACAGTTGTCGAGGTGGTGATAGGCTGCGTGAGGGTTTGATGTGTGATTGAAACAGCGAGGAACACCATCCTTGAACTCTGGCCAGTCGTGGCTATCTGTAAACACAGGGGACTTGTCGCCGATGTCAGTCTCCGCGTTCTCGTTTGCAATGACAGATGTATCAGAAGCAGGCTGATCGACAACTTGTGGCAGAAGTGCGCCGACAGCAGGGTTGGTGGTGGGAATGATCATGCTGTTATCAGGCATGAGAGACAAGGCGCGGTATCTGGCGTAAAGGCTGCGGACACGTGCCAAATATGATGGATCATGGTTCCGGGCGAGTGTAAGGCGGTCAAGTTCGGATTGCGCATTGATAGCGTAGAGAGCGGCCATGTCTGGATCCAAATCTTGACGGTCATCCCAGAGGGCCTCCTCAGTTTTCGTGTTGAGTGGATTACTCATGTTGGCGAGGAAGTGATTGGAGAGTAAAGTTTGGTTTGTTGGATGCACAGAAAACAAGTCGTTCTGGTAAGTTGAGGAAGGACGATGTTTGAGGTTGTTGCACGAAAATGCCGGAAAATTCAAGAAACTGTAGCGAGTCGCTCGGCAATCAAGCAAACAAACAAACAACAGACAATGCCTCCTCAGAATCTTGGTTGGCTCTATGAATGCAATGGGATCCGTCCAGATCCTGAAAAGCCAGACTTAGACTCTATTCTCGATATAACTATGGGAGTCGGACAGCTGACTTGCTATGTCTGTGATAGATCGATGTCGTGTTTTACACCTCATCCAGACTGGTGCAATCTATTTGTTTGCTCCGGCTTTTGAGCCAGGAGAAAAATCCAGCGGATGTCTTTCGATCCAAAAGTGAAGCTCGGTACCTCGCAACAAGCAAACTTCGAATGTTTGCGCAGGCGCTTCCGCTTTATCACGCCTGCAACCGTTCCATCTTTCTCATTTTAGCACGCTCATCACGCGAAAACATTCTCTGTCGATTCACCACATTCATACACCTACAAGGACGTATCATAAACAAGATATCAGCCATCATGTGCGATCCTTTCAACACCAGCATTGAGGCCGCTTCGTGGGACGAGTGCCATGACCTTGATCCTTTCATGGCTGAGCACTACGCAACCAACGCTCAGCGTGAGATCGACCGCCTGGCTGTCTCGCAGCCTTTCTCAGCACGCATTGCGCACGTTCGTCGTTTGCACGCTGAATACAGCGCCCTGGCAGCTACTGCGCAGCTTCCTGAGGACTTCGACTTCGAGGAGCCCGACTCCGCAGGGAGAGTCGAGAGAGAGCGTATGACTTTTGTCCATCCTGATCGTCTAGCTCTCGTGAGCTCTGGACTTGAACATACAGTGCCTTCGTCTTCTCACTCACAAAATAAGTCTTTCACAAACGTTTCTGCTAACGTCAACAACAGTGTTGGTCCTCGCAATGTCCGCTACAGACGTCGCTCTCGTGGGTCATCGGTCGAAAATATTGTCAGAGAGGACGACTTTGACTCTGGCGTCAATGATAATCATTACCACGTCAATCACAATCAAAATTTGTAGCAATGGGTTCCTGCTCCCTCCTTTCCTTCTCCTCAGGCTGTATTCCAGGCAATGGGGCTATGACTGGTACGCCCAACACCAATGTCGACTTCCATTACAATCCCACGGTCATCATCAACAACTATTACAACTATGATCCGTGGCAGGAGGCTGCGCCTGCCTCTGGTCAGCATTCGAGGGGCGGATCCAGCGGTCGAGGAAGAAGAGGCAGTGCCAGGGGTCGTGGCAGAAGTCGCAATTGAGCATCAGACCATTCCAGTTGACTTCAGGGATCAGATCTGCTCCCATGTCGTGTTGCACTTTCATTCATGCGTCTGTTTCCCTGAGTCCAAGGTGTGCCCACAACGCTGCTTCGTTTTCCTTTTAGCCAACGGTATAGGCTGCCTTCTTTCTGCTTCTCCTTTGTACTGTTTTTCATCTGTTCCGTTTCTCCTTTGTTTTGTTATTTTTTTCTTCGCCAACTCGTCAGCTCTGCGCACCAGGCTGCTTTCTTTCACCCGTCCATCAGCTCTGCGCACCAGGCTGCTTGTGTTTTCTTTTTCTCTTTTCATTTTCCTTTCTTCTTCTTTGCGTCCACCAGCTACATCAGCTCTGTGCACCAGGCTGTCTGATTCCTTCAACGTCAATTCGTCAGCTCTGTGCACCAGGCTGTTTAGACCTCGAACGAGTCATCCGTTTTTCCTTGCTACATACATCATCAAGAAACCCCTTTTGATCATCATGACTCCCATCGCATCGTGGAAATGTGTGACAATGTTGGAATTGTGCTTTAGATCCTGTGAAGAGTGACATTTTTCTACTCGTGTAGGGCTTTCAAAGCACATCCGCAAGCAAGCTACCATTCTTGGAACAAATGTCTCGACAATCTCGAAAAGCACATGGTGGTCACACTCATACTGGCAAGGGCTATAGCGGCAGATGAACTCTCGATCCAAAAATATCAGTCTCCCCGTCTGCCAAAATGCACGGCTGGATAGCTATCAAAATGCACAACATCTTCGAGGGGAGACAGTGTCTACCGGGAGAGCCTCTGTTCCGATAAACTTTTATTGCCACTTTTCGATTCATAGCATTTCGGTAGTACGTAACATCATTATGCCTTGCAGTAAAAGATGGACCATCTACAAGAATGCGCCAGTACTGGGAAATCCATAGGGTATAGTTGATGAGCAGCAGGCAAAAACATCCAAAGCATCCTCCTTCTTGTCTGCCACGCTTTATTCGCGTATTCGTTTAGTGATACCCTCCGGTAAGATACACCACCCCGTGTAAAAACAAAGTTGATCCCACAATGACAGCATGCAATTCCGTGTTCCACTCGGACTCGTGATCATTGCTCAACCCGTCTTTCATAAGGCAGAACCACCATGTAACGAATGCGGCGATCGCAATTGGTTGTTTTGTCGCTGCAAGGCCAGCTGCTGCGGCGAGGTAGACAAGAAGTGGGTATGGGCTGTGTCGAACAAGGATTAGAGATGGCTTCGATAGTAGCTGGGCAGTGTTGAACGTACTACAGAAGGATGGCACCAATGACGATGGAGACCAAGCCACTGGTCAAGCGAAGTATGTTTGACATCTTTCGAAGTGCCGTGGAAGGTCCCTGGAGACGGGGTCTCGGCGGGGAAGATGCCGCTGTGCAGAGAGGATTGGGATCATGTGTATGAGACCGAGGGAGATACGCGCTGCAGCTTTACATTGGGGTCAATCCACTACACATGCTGAAAGCTCGGAGGAACTCGATTGTGGTTGCCTGATGGCGGCCGGGGACGTGGTCGCTCCATGGAGCTTCCCTTGCCGGAACAAAAGTTCCGACTGGCCAAAAGTCGTGACTGCCCTAATGCGACGCCGATCCGAAACCGAGACCGAGAAACAACAACACACAGCCTGATCCTGCAGGCATTGAACCACGTCTTCTCGTATTTCAATCTGACGAGAGCGAAACCGAAAGCGAGTTGTCAGAGCAAGTGCACGGTCTGACCAAGCATTGTCAAGCATTTTGGGTTTATGACAGGTTATGGCTTGACCATACTCCGGAAAGAGTCAAGCGAAGGAGCTGTAGGATCAACTCAGCCACCCTGGTGGACTGCCAACAGACGACTGACCATGCGATACGGCCGCATCATCTCGAACATGCAGAACACACGACTCCAACGACCATCGGATGGTAGTCTATAAAACCTTTGGGTGTTCCTCACTGTGGTGTATCCCTGATTGTATCTCCTCATCTTTCAACCATCATCTCTTCTGAACCTAATCCCAATGGCCCAGATCATCACCAACATTGTTCAGAATGTCGGAGGCGGCATTGGCTTGGTATCAGAAGCCTACAAAGTCCACAAAGCAAACAAAACACACTCAAAGTCAAAGAACAACTTCCAACAGCAGGAAACCTTGCCAGGAAACGAAATAGCTGTGTCTGACCACGACGAAGAAGTATGGGAGCTCGACGAAGCTCAGAATGACCTGATCGGCGAACCTGAGATTCAAGACACGGATGAAGCGACCGACCCAGGGACTCTTGCGGATGCATTCATCTTGCGATTACCGCCCTCCTCATCTCCAACCAATTTAGGTCTTCCAAGAGGAAAGCTTCCGTACCAAATCATCATCCCACAGCGTCGGCCCAAAGATCGTAGCCGCGGTTTCGTCAGAGCCTATCCTCCCATCCTTGAACTTCATGGTATCGATCAGACTACATTCATTGACTTCATCGAAACCTTCAATAAGTCCACGCAAGCATCGAAGTGGATCGCAGCTCTCAACCTCGCATCTATCGGCACAATCTGGTTACCTACTGTCACTTCCATCTTAGTATCGATGGCCATCACCGCAGCCACAACAGCGGCGATGGAAGTCCAGGGCCGCTACAAGACAAACAGGTTCCTGGACAAAACTAACAAGAATTTCTTCATGCCCAGAGGTCTGTTTTGCTTGGTCTTGACGTGGAACCCTGATGCCAGCGAGGCAAGAACTGCTGTGGACTTCGACCGCATGGCGGCAAAGGTGATGAACGCACAGAACGAGACCTTTATGACTTCTCTACGCAAGTCCAATGGCAAAACTTATGGAGAATTCCAATGGCCCGAGACGGCACCTTTGATCTACCCAGGTCTGGACGCTCTGCTCTCAAGTCCAACTCAAGAAGCGCAGTCCACGAAGTCGTCTTTGAAGAAGAAGAGGCGATTCGTGGAGGACTACATGGACCGACGAGCGCAAGCCAAGTTTGTAAGTTGATTCGTTAGTGTGTTTTTGACCCAATGACTGATACGATAGCTTCACNAGGCGAAAGACAATCCTGACAGTGCTCTTGCTGCAGGTCCAAAACCAGAATTTGCTTCTCGCTTTGCGGATCCCAGTCATCCAGTCAACAGTGGTTCACTGGTCGCGTTATTGTCGGGAGGCGTGATTCAGATACCTGAACGTAGCGCCATGATAGGCGGACGCGGCGGAAGTCTCGGTGATCGTGGCAGCTTGAGTGCTGCTCGTTTCGACAACAATGCCAGATCTGGAAGAGGCATGAGCCGTCGAGCCCCACTAGGTAGAGGATTGGGCGGGTTGTTTGAGATTTCGCAAGGTCGAAATGCTCCCNCGAACACCGACAGGAGTATGCAGCGAGGTTTAGGAGCACCGCGTGGTGGCCGAGGGNGCAGCAATGCAGGACCGCTGGAAATCGTGCAGAAGGTCATGAAANAGGTACGTCACACATCAATTCATGGCGTTGATCTGTCCCTGACAACGGTTTAGGATGTTCTGTACCTTCTCATTGTCGACATGCCTTCAGATGACGAATTGGCTGCAGCACAAGGGATTGCTTCCGAACTGTTGGGTAGCCAGACGAGAAGTTAAAGTGGCATAAGGATTTGGAATTAGGATTAGGGTATCTTCTATGCAACCAATCAAATGATATCTATGATGCTGTCCAGACTCTGAAGCTTGCAAACTCCCAGTAAGCATTTTCAAATGCCGTGGCATTGTACTTGACAAGATCTGCACAAGTGCCGGGACATCCGTACTCTTTGGAGTACACACTGGTTGAACCTGCCCAACTACCGCACAGATCGATGTTGGCGATGATGGACTGGTTCTTGAAATGAGAAGAGATGTCGCAATCAGTGCTGGGGAAGTCGGCGACAGGAGTGCCCCATTGTGATGGATCAGGCGAAGAGTCGTTGGTGGAAAGGAGATCTGAGGGCGGGTTTGAGCGGCTGAAAGTCCACATGCGAATGCCTGCGTCGCGGAGCTCCATGGCGAATAGCNNTTCTCAAAGATCAGTATAAGTAGAGGAGGTGATAGATGCTGGGAATAAACTCACTGCACCACCTGCTTCGTTCAAGGCTGCACCGTAACTGCTCTTGGGACCGAGAACGCCACATCCTTCATTGTCGTTGGTCGAGTTCCAACAATTTGTGCCGTGTACTGTGCCGGTCTCCTCACGCTTAGTCTTCATTGTGCAGCCCTTGGAAGTGTGCAGTGTCATCTGGTTTCCTCTGTTTCCTTGCTCAACAGCCTCGATGACATCGATCTCTCCATGTTCAGGCCAGTTGTTGGGGTCGGATAACCACACAGCAGGCCAAGTACCACAGCCATATGGCGAGTGAATAACGTCGAACACGAAGAGTCCGTTGTTCCATTGATTCTTGGAGGTGATGCGGATTGAGTTTCTGTCTGTGATACCAGTGCTTGTGTCGTCGACTCGAAGGATGGCTGAGTTTGGTCCAGCGTAGGTGAGATTGCTGTATGCTGCTTCTGCTGAAGACAAGTACACAACATTGCCATTGCTTGGATCAGCTTGGTGGAAATAGTCAAAGTGGTCGAAGAAGGTGGTTCCGTTCATGCGCTCGTTGATTGTGTAGTTCAATGGGAAGTAATCCGGATACGAGTTGGAACTTGAGTCTCTTGTGCCGACAACGGCACCCACGACCACCGCCACGATGATTGCGATGACTGCAAGAGCTCCAATGCTTTGCCATTTCCGGGACCAGTGTAGAGGGTTGAGTTTTGATCTTGCGGGTGTTTGGCCCTGGGGTATTTGACCCTGAGGTTCGGTGTCGATGTTGTGTTCGAATTTCGACATATTGAATGTTGTTGGTTGTCGAAAGCGTCGAAAGTGAAGGAGGAAGGGTGCAAACAATTATAGAGGAAATCGCTACCCAACAAACGGTGATAGGCATTCATATATCGATCCTTCCGTAACTTCCTGCCAAAACAAGCCACCGACGATCTGAAAAGCTTCAGCGCATCTTCATCCTCTAACCAACACGATTCGGTAACTTGGCAATGTCCTTGATTGTCGTTGAATTCTGTGTAGACGCGTCTTCCGCTTTACAATTGCTGCGAACACAGAGAGAAATCGCAGGGGTCCCAAAAACCGTTGAAGAAAGCCGCGAAGCTTGTGGTCGAAGCCGCGTCGCCACGTCGTCAGCTTTTTGTTGTAAATCGATGTTGTGGCCGACAAACTTCGTGCTTAAGGACAATCCCATCTTGCCGGCATCCGATCGCTCACCTTGATGCTTTATATCAATGCGGTTGTTCTCGCAGAACCGTATGGCTTGTAACATCTGGGGTCATGTCGCGACGGCCGGAAATAAATTCACACATTGTCCAAGATCTGTCATTCCCGGATGATCATCGTCGACGGTAAAACCAGGACAACCAATACCACCTCATCTGACAAGAGTACTATGTGGTTGGTGTTACATACCATGGGACCGCAGTTGGAAATTCAAGAGAATGTCAACACCTGGCTTAGGCAGGGTCACTCTCCTGACTGGATAATTCTCATTAGGACCTTGACTTGATATGACAGGGCGCATACAGAGATCCTGTGCGACTCCCTTGGTAAGAACATGAATAGTATGCATCTGCAGAAGGAGACGTCGTTCTGTTGTTGTCGTTGTCGTCACAGCACTTCCCCCAACCATGAGCTTGTTTGTTGACGATCCGAGCTTCGCTGTCGATCACCAAGGATGTTGTTCCGAGATCCGAGCCTTCCTCAGACACCTCACCTTCTGAGCCCACGCATGGGAACGAAATGGCGCACGAAGACCTGATTTTCCACCTTAACCTTCTCTATCAAACCTTTGCTGCTCTCCGCTATATTTCGGCTGACGACATTCTTTCTCCGCCAATTCCGATCAACCTTGCTGCCGCCAATGAAGCTGGACTTTCGTCCGAGGTGATTGCTCTCTTGCAACGACTTCCACAACTGAAGAGCGAACTCTACTCCCTGGCAATTATTCCTGATGGCTCTCAACCTGTCTGTTATCTCGACGATAACCTTGACTGGTCGCGGACCCCGACATATCAGGATGCACCAGAGATTCCTGAACATGCATTTGTGCTGAGCAATCCCAATATTCATGGTACTTCTCTGATCTACGACACCATTTCGGAGAAACTGCTGCCTTGGCTGGCATGGGGAAAACATGTCGATCTTGAGATTTCTGAGATTGAGAACCCCTTTGAGCTAGACGATGCGAAGCCAGTAAAAGAGACAATAGGCCCTTGGATATCGAAATTGATAAGGCTGGAATGGGTGCCTTTCAACGAGGAACTCGTCGAAGAGCCTAATGAGGAGGACCTGAGAGCTAGCAAAGGTGATGTAGATGTTTTGGACCAGTACCAGGCACAATTTATCAAGTTCAGCATGAGGGATGTGTACTTGGCTGCTGGGTGGGACGATAAGGCTAACGACTTGAAAGGCGCTCAGAAGGGATTCGATGGTGATCTGTTTGAGGTCAAGAAGCAAGAGTGGACCCGAAGGACACAAGAAATACTCGATCGGGCATATGAAGAAGAATGGAGATGGTCGAGAATAAGGACGACCCTGAGTCTTGGAAACAGTGACAAAGTCAAACATTTCGATGACTGGCTACCCGAAGAACATCAACCAAGACATATCGAGCTCTGATGCGAGATTCAATTGGAGTACTGAGGTGTAATCCCGTACAGTCCATGCCTGCAAATGCGCTCGACAGTCTTCGTCCAAATACCCATCTGTCACTCATACTCTTTGTCCTTCTCCACAACTCCAGCTTCTGTTCCACCTTCGTCGTCGCCAAAGAGAATCTCCAGATGGTTGTTGTCATTCGCTCTGATGTTCACTGGTAACTTGAAGAGAGCCACGGTCTCTATGCCAGCACTGGTGTTTCGAAGCTTGTTGTCTGGCCTCGACATGATTGCCAAAGCAGTAAGTTCGCCAATGGAGTCCCAAGCGTTTGAATGAACCCGATTGAGCGTCAGCATGAGAATAATGAAGATCAAGATATAGAGGCAGTACGCGGCAAGTACAGATATTGCAAGAATTTTGGTTCTCTGATCGAGGTGATAGCCGTAACCTTGCGTGCTGACATCCATTCGCAATTTGTACTTGCCCTCGGCGTCTGCGTATTCTGAACCAGCATAGAAAACATGGTCTCCAGCTGCAGAGCCATGCACTTGAAATGAAGGGTTCATTAATTGGTCGGACGGGGTAGAATTTGTGAAATTTGGTCGCAAAATGATACTTGGGTCCGGATAGTAATCCGAAACAGAGGGATATTTCAGTACCTGTTTCGGCCACTGAGCCATCGAGAAAGCTAATGATGTCGCAATGAAAGTGGTCGTATGTACTCCGAGAAGATTATCCATTAGCTTANNCTCCAAAGGTGGTAAGGTTTGATTCAACCATATCGCGGGGATGTCAATGATGGAAGTAGATGGGCTGTTCGTCTGACTGCTCACAAGATTACCGCTCAAGGGGNNGGAAGCATTCCAGGTCCATAGAACCGTGTTCTGAACGTGGCCATAGCCTGCGTATATTGCACAAAGTCCGAATGATCCTCCTATGTATGAATCTGAAAAGTCGAGGCTAGAAGGAGGATAGTGAACCAATGCCCAGACCGATGGGTTGATTTTTGGTGACGGTTGAGTGACCGAATCATCACGATCAATGAAAACCCAGTGAAAGGATTGAGTCTCATTGAAGCTGCGCAAATGTTCAGACTGATAGACGAAGTGCGGCGACCCATCCCCCCAACCGCTCTCTGTTTGAACCGAGGTCAAGTTCAGCCAACTTGCTCTCGTACAATTTACAGTCACGGTCGGTTGGCGAGTTGTCGTAGTATAATTCTGATCGCCTTGAATACTCCATAGGGACGTGGACCAGATTGCCTGGTAAGCCAATGAGCTTAGTGACCATGCAATGACCTTGCTGGGAATGGTGACTGTCGCGGACAACCAAAGACTGCCTACAGTTGCGTTCCACCGAATCTCTCTATAAGGGAGGGCGTCTTGCGTCAGATCGAAGCTGCTCTGTTGTACATCGTATTGATCATATGGTAACTTCTGGTCCAATTGAGCTACAGCCATGGCAGCTTCCCATTCATTGTAGTTCAAAACAGCCGGTTGGAGATATGAAGGAAAGATCTGTTCCTCTGTGGCATTGATCCATTCTTCAGCCCATCCGTTGTAGAAAGCTCCTGGTGTGGGAGTTAGAGCAATAGCGAACGATGGACCAATTCCGGCAGCTATGGCAACGCTTAGCGGTATCAGGAGAAGAAACACGCATTTTCTAGTTCGCTTGAAGCTTTTGGACGTGACCACGCCTGCGAATTCGAGTGACCAAAGGTAGCTGACACTTGTGATTTGCAGTCCGGCGAAGAGTGCTCCGAAAGGAACCGACTCAGAACCTGTGTAAAGAGCGCGGAGATAGACAAANACAGCACTTCCCAGAGAAGCCTGGGCAAGCAATTCAAGAAATTTTGCCAGAAATTGGAAGGCCAGCGTAGAGACATGGTAGCTCACATAGTGAGACGTGATGTTCAAGTAGATCAGACCGATACATGCGGCCAGCGGCAATACATGGACCAGAAGTCCAATCAGGACAGACACCCATCCGGTATACAAAGCGATCTTGGGCTGTTCCGCCTTCTTCATCCAGGTTCCGACGGCCATAGGTAGAAGCAACCGGAAACTGCGAAGTATTTGTTGTGTCCATGTTATCAGTCTATGTCCGAGAGCTGTAGATGTTCCTCGGGGTTTGGAAGTCCAGCTGTCACATTTCAATCAGCAGAGAGCCTCTCGACGAATTCCTTCTACTCACTTTGACCCAGCATTTGACCTTCGCAGGGAGAAATCATCAAGTTCGTAGAAAGTCGTGTTGGACAGTTTCAAGTGATCCGGAGAGCTTGAAACGAACTCTCGACCAGCTTTGGTCTCATTGACAGTAAGCAACTTCTCATACGAGGTATCGCCCATGTTAGTGGATTGCGGTGTGCGATCGAAGACGCTGGCTGCAGAATTCAGGTTGGTTGACCGGATGGTGCAAAGACTTGTGGCTCAATAATAAATACTCGAGCGCAACTCCCACGGGCCTCATGTAAGCTTCAATGGGAGACTATTATAGGAATGTATATACAGGGTATAACCACAGCCGTTTATTAGCGTGCGAATCCATCATCTGCACATGCAAGCATCGAGGCGAATAGCAGATGTTACGAAGTGCAAAAAAAGAAGAAAGTCTACATGCCACGCACAAGGCGTCGATTGAGGACTCACTCAGTAAACCCAGGCAATAGACCGAACGGCCATGTGGTGTGCTGCAGGGTCGGACTTGGCTTGCGGCTGGATAAAGAGGTTGCGCCCCAAGGCTGAGGAAAAGGCTGAGAAAAGCGCCATGTCACCAAATTGAGACTTGGTGCATTTTCTGATTCGCTGTTTGCAGGCCTCGAGGATCCCCGCTTGAGGAATGCCTGAAAAGGGAATTCAGCTCGAATGCATGTACCTAGCAACGCGCAGCCGCTGCAGAGATGATGTTACTCTGTCGCAGTTGGGATGTAACGCTAGGCGGATACTCAGACTCAGACTTGAGGTTTCTTGTGCGAAACCATGCAGAATGTTACAATAACGAATCCGAGAAAATTTTTAGGAGCGAAACGATACTCTCAATCGAAAATCTCGCGAGGTGGCCGCCTTACAGGGTGCGATTTTGATGCCGGCATGACAATGAACGGAATTCCTCACCGGTAGCTGGGAGAAGTGCGCCATGCTGTAGTTTGGTGCACAAGATACACACCTCTGGTACCTGTATGCGTCTAACCAATGTCGATCGCGACGGAGTTCGGATCATGCAGCATTGGCAAGGATCAACAAGCGTGGAGATCGTCGAACCGATTTACTCGAATCTGCGAAAGGTACGGAGTGATTGCTCGACAGAAAGATATGCCAAGTGAGCATCTAGACCTCAGCCTGGCGCACGGAATTGCAGCAGCACGTCGTTGCGTCTCTCAGGACGCGCATGACGGCCGCCCCGGGCGACTACCAGAAGCATCGCAATCAGACATAGCTTTTTCCAGAATGATCAGTGACATGGTCTGAGATGCGAGCAGAGTTTCGAATGTCTGTTTGGCGAGAATCAAGAGTCAACGCGACACGTTCCTGCCAAAAATGGCACGTTCGGCGATTTAATCCCAAGATTCGGCCATTTTCGACACGTGACTCGACCACCGCCGATGGCACTGACACCGACCACAAGATGCAAAACTCCTGCTGTTGCTTTTCGCAAAGAATATAGTGAGGTCGGTCGGTTGTTTTTCAGACCGACAGCATGGCGCAAGCAGAGACATATCCCCGGTTACGGTCGCGATCAATGTTAAATAGCCTGGCCGAACCGCAAAGATGATGCTTGCTTGACTGTTCAGTTCCATCAGGTGATATCTGAAGACGATACACCAGACAACAACGAAATACGACTCTATCGTCACTTTGGAAACAATGGCAGCTATGATCAGCCGTGTGTGGACCACGTTCAATCCTCCGCGGGTGGAGAAAAGAGAAGGTGCTCTTAAGTTTGGTATCTTGGGTGCCGCAAGCATCGCGTAAGTCACTAATCTGCATTTTCTTCCATCAACAATTGCTGACCACAAGAACCAGTNNCCTCTGTCGCTGATCATCCCTGCCAAATCTCATCCCGAAGTCATCGTACAAGCTGTCGCAGCCCGTGACCGATCCAAAGCAGAAGCATTTGCGAAGTCGCATGGCATTCCAGAAGTCAAGGACACATATCAAGGTCCGTCCTGTCTCCTTACAGTTTTTGAACAGGCGCTGACGGAACAAANNGATATTCTTGATGATCCCAACATCGACTGCGTCTTCATCCCTCTGCCAAACGGTCTTCACTACGAATGGGCCGTTCGTGCGATTCGTGCTGGCAAGCATGTTCTTCTTGAGAAACCTTCGACATCAAATGCGACAGAAGCCAAGATCCTGTTCAATATGCCTGAGCTCTTTCAGCCAAACGCTCCGGTCATACTTGAAGCTTTCCACAATCGCTTCTATCCATCTTGGAATCTGTTCAAGTCAATGATCAATCCTGCGGATGTGGTCCATGTCACTTCGAACTCGATGATTCCATGGTGGGCTTCTTCCAAGAACGATATACACTTCAACTACAACATCTCCGGCGGAACAATGATGGCCATGGGTACTTACAACTATGCAGCCCTTCGTCTGCTGTTTGACGCCGACCCTGTCGAGTGTATGAGCTGTGATACCGGAGCTTACACTGACGGTGTCCACGACAAATGTGACTACGAATTCCAAGCCAAATTCCGGTTTCCCAATGGCGGAATTGGCGAGGCGAGCAGCACCCTCCAAGGTGGAACTATTCTCAAGCCATCTTTCGTAACTGTGACCACCAGAGAGATTTCAGTGCCTGACGACACACTCGCCGATGACCAAGAAAAGTTTCAGTCGCAGATTCTGACTCTGAACGGCATGATCCATGGCGTTTTCTGGCACCGCATCGACATCAAGAGCAAATTCGAGATCCGCAGCAGAGAAACAGGCAAAGTCGTCGAGAAGTGGGAAGAGAACACATCCCGCAAGGCTTACACGTTCAAGGAAGCAGGCGGCGAATTTGCCGATCTTCCTGGAGAGACTTTCTGGATGTCGTACAGGTACCAGCTGGAAGCATTTGTGAACAAGATTCGTGGTCGGGGAACCCAGCATTGGGTGGATGGGCAAGATTCAATTGCGCAAATGAAGATGATCGATATGGCTTATGAGAAGAGCGGTCTCGGACCCAGGCCAAGCAGCTCGTTCTCATGATAGACGAGTCGAGTGCTTTTGGTTTCGCATAGGAAACGGCGATGATAGTATACTTGCGCTTCCAGTGTTGTTCATTCGAGATATGGCAAGCTTCTTTGCAAGCTGTTTGGGAGTCGTTGTTTTGTTTCATGTCAAGGTTGAAAAGTCCCGAATCCTGGCGCTTAGCAACGAGATCCCAAGCACCGGCAAATCTTCGGTAATGTTGTTGCTATCTAATCAACTGGGGTTGCCTTCCTTTGACCCCCCTTCCTTCAACATTGTCATCTTTGTCTGTTTACCGATGTGACTTGGCACATCTGCGATCTGCTTCGACAAAGCAGCAGATGCAGAACATTCGAAATCTGCCAAAGCGGCAATCTTGCGACCGGTGCCATAAGCAAAAACTACGATGTCTGCGCCCGGCTGACGGTGAGAGTGGTGCGTGCGAGCGTTGTACTCGTCTGAAGACACAATGTATCTACAGCTCTGCACTACCCAAAGGTCGACCCAGGGGACAGAAAGTGATCGCTCCAGTTGTTCACAGACCTCCTGAGTGCAGTGAAGAGGGCTTTACTGCTGCGAATCACGGCAACTCGGCTGTTGATGCGGAGTTGATCACAAATGTGTTGCAATATCCTAACGTTACAAATAACGACCTGTGGAATGATCAGATTCCTGTTGACTGGATGAATTCCATTGACCACGCTTTTACGGACCCAGAGCAGTGGCACTTTGAGCTTCCAAGTCTCGACAACGTGAATGGGGTGTCTAGCTGCGAAACAGTGGATTCATCTTTCACGTCACCTGGACTTCATGGTAACGGGTATGAGGCTCAAATCCACCAGAGCGCAATCCGAGCGGATTCCCATCAGAATACCCCTCCAAAGAAGGTCGAACCTGAAAGTGCAATCGCTGCCTTATCTCGACTAAGTCAACGCCTGTATTCTCTATACAGTGCAGTACTCGCACTAGCCAATTGTCCAGATGCGATTGATCAAGCAGATACTGCAACCCTTCGAAAAGGTCCCTTTGCTGATGACTCTGCTTTCCAGAGATTGACTAGCTGGCTCGTGCGTGCTTCCTCAAACATGGATAATTCATCCGTCAGTGCCGGCGAGCAGGATGCAAACACACCCGTCGCTGCTGATGACGGCTGCGCTCTTCTTGAAAACGTATTCTCGGCATCCCAGAAACTGATTGATACCCTCCACTCTCTTGGCGAGGAAGCTTCACGACATGGTCCAGTATCACAAGGCGGATCACCCTCAGCGAGTATAGACCAACAAGCGACAGGCACATTTCTTGGAGATGATAGCCATCATCCCGGCGGGCCCTTTGTATCGACAAACACTTGGTCAGACAGTATCACAAAGCACATGGTCATGGCGAACCACATGCTGCTTCTAAACACTTATCTCGCCACTGTAATGGCTCTGCAACATGCGGTCAACAAACAAAAGTCAGCCAGTGGAATGCCCAATGCACAAGACTTTGCTCTTCCACTTGGCGAGATGCGTACAGCCATGGTAGTGCAAATGTGCGGCTACCTAATACAGCGCCAAATCAATGCCGTGGACGCGTATCTCGCTCCATCAAGCGCTACGCCACTATCAGACTTGAGCTCTTCGGATCAAACGACAATGAAAGAGCTAGAAAAGGATGTACAACGAAGGCTGGCACAGTTGAAGGAGTCACTTCCAGTATAATATGTCGGTTATCGTGTCAGGTCTGTAAAGAATCGAGCAGCTGGAAAAGGACATCATTCGAGATCGCTGCAACGGCTTCTACCCAGGCAGTTTCTGTGTCTTTTGTTAAAGATCTTCAGTCTTCCCATGATGATCCTTGTCTTCTGTCTCTGTTCTCAAGCCTGAGGCTTGAAGTGCTTCCCGTAAACTTCCTATTACCTCTAAAGTCACACCTCCCCGTCTGAGATAGCCCTCTATACCACCATACCTATCGTCCAAATGGTTCTTAATTGCCCCAACCCACTCTGCCTTTGTCTCAACCATTGCCCTTACAAGCTCAGCCTCGCCTTTACTCTTAAAGCATCCCTCATTAATCCGCAAACCCTCTATGCAGGAGATATAATCCGCTGCGACGTGCTCCACTGGCACATTGCAAACCAAGAGTATCAGCACAATCAGCAAATTCTGATCTCTCATCCATTTGCCACCACAGATGAGCAATGGGTACGTCGAGGTGTTGCACAACAAAACCTTGAACAAGTCACAAATCTGTTCGACGCTGGTGTCCAGTACTTCTATGCTTTCGCCGATGGGTCCATGAGCCCAGATTGCATCCTGCACTGGTGCTATGACCGACGACTTTTCCAAATCGAATGTGAACATGGAAAGACAATCTTCCTGCACATACAAACGACATCAGCTCAAATAGCAAAGACCCACGGAAGGCGGCATATACTTACCACACAGTGCCCCACGAGAATCTAGCTCTGACGTTTTTCATGTACACAGGAGATCTCAGGTTAACACGACACCGAGTAATTCCCATGAATTTGCTGATCAACATATTGCCAGACTTGCCCGTTCGTGTTGAATTGGCACCCACATCAAGGCTTTGTTGTGTATCAATCAAGGTCTTGAGTTTATAGTTGTTGCGCAGGAGATCGTTGTCTTCGTCGGTTGCAGTGTCTAGAGGTGCGCTGATGTATAGCTTGCCAGGAGTGATGAGTTCGCGTCCTGCGAATTTGTTGATTGAGGCGCCTACGTCACGCAAGGAGGTGGAAAAAGTGGTTCTGTCATTCTGGATATCTGGGAAGTGGTAGATGGAGGAAAGAGTGACGAGATTGTTGAGGTTGGTCGATTGTCAGGCAGACAGGTGCGCCTCTGATCTATTCCCTGATCTGGCAGCCGACTCAGACCGGCTTGGCGATTGAAGGATTGGGTCTAACCAGAAAGCTAGGTAGCGTTGTGTAAAACATCGAAGGGAGACCGAAAGACTGTGTGTTAGCTCAGCTAGCAGTGTTGGACAGGCAGTGGGCAAGATAGAGGGTGTGACTGGTCTCATACGATCAATACATATCACCCTTCCCATGTCTAACTTCTCTATTCTTCCACATCCCACCTCCGTCAAAGTTAAGTTGACGTGTATATCCGTTTCATTCGTTGTTGTTTCATGCAAACATTGATCCCCTTCTTAAAATAGTATCCCCGGAACACCGACGCTGTTGAAGTCATTTTATGTTGAAAGATTTTCCATCGCTCATAGTCGTACAATATGCCGTCATTCTATGTTGAGAGAACCGACTTAGAAGAGACCATCGATCTCACCAGTCTCGGCGTCGACATCGACGTTGAGGTAGCCGGGAGCAGTGGGAAGACCAGGGATGGTTTGAATATCGGCAGCAAGTGCATACCTGGAAGAGTATTAGCAAGAGATTCGGAAGCGTAATAGAGAAATGGCAACTTACAGGTAACCAGCACCAGCAGCCATGCGAACGTCTCTGATAGGAACGACGAAGCCGGAAGGAGCACCCTTGAGCTCGGGGTCGTGGGAGAGCGAGTATTGTGTCTTGGCGATACAGATTGGCAGGTTGCCGAAGCCCTGGCGGGTGTAGGCATCGACCTTCTTCTGTGCGGTCTCGCTGAACTCGACACCAGAAGCACCGTACATATTCTTGGCAATCTTCTCGATGCGCTCCTGTACAGAGTCCTCGAGACCGTACAGCAGCTTGAAGTCGTTGGACTCGGCCTTTTCGCAGGCAGAGATGACACCCTGAGCAAGTTCAACAGCACCCTTACCACCCTCAGCCCAGTGGTTAGCGGGGATGGCATCTTCGGCACCAGCAGCAAGAGCCTCCTCACGAATGACCTGAATTTCCTTGTCGGTGTCGGTCTCGAACTTGTTGATGGCAACAACGACCTTGACGCCGTATCGACGGGCATTCTCAATGTGCTTCTTGAGGTTGACACAACCTGCACGAAGGATATCGACATTCTCTGTGCGGTAGACCTCAGGGAGCTGGGCACCGGGAGTAATGGCAGGACCGCCACCGTGGGTCTTGAGAGCACGAACAGTAGCAACAATGACGACGACATCAGGCTTGAGCTCGGAAGAACGGCACTTGATGTTCATGAAGCGCTCACCACCCATAGTGAAGTCGAAACCAGCTTCGGTAACGACGAAACCAGTTCTCGAGTTGTAGTCCTCGTCAGGCTCAGTACCAGCCAGCTTGAGAGCGAGCTTGTCAGCAAGAACCGAAGAAGCACCGATCGAGATGTTGGCGAAAGGACCAGCGTGGACAAACACGGGAGTTCCCTCGAGAGTTTGCATGAGGTTGGGCTTGATGGCGTCTCTCATGAGGGCGGTCAGAGCACCACCGACACCAATGTCATCGCAAGTGACGGGCTCACCAGCACGAGAGCTGGCAACAACCATGCGGCCAAGTCTCTCACGCATGTCGGAAAGGNNGGAGTTGCTAAGAGCAAGGACAGCCATACACTCACTGGCAACCGAAATGTCGAAGCCGGTCTGGCGGGTCTGACCCTTCTCGGTGGGAGCTTGGCCGACTGTGATGCCACGAAGATGTCTATCGTTGACATCGAGAACGCGGCGCCAGGTGATGGTGTCAGGGTCGATGTCAAGACGAGCAAAGCGGCGGATCTCTTCCTCGGTCAGGTCATCAGGGTTGGTCTTGTCGATTCCGAGCTTGTTGAGACGGCGGAACATGATGGGCTTGAACTCGCGCTTGCCCTTCTGGGTGGGCACAAGACGCTTGTAGAGAGGACCGTCCTTCTGGGTGTTTTCGTGGAAGATGCGAGTCTCGATGGCAGCAGCGAGCAGGTTGTTGGCAGCGGTGATGGCGTGAATGTCGCCAGTCAAGTGCAGATTGAACTCGTCCATGGGAATGACCTGACTGTAGCCACCACCAGCGGCACCACCCTTGATACCGAAAGTGGGGCCTTGACTGGGCTGACGGACGTTGGCAAAAGCGATGCGGCCGAGCTGGCCGGCAAGGGCTTGAACGAGACCGATCGTGGTTGTTGACTTGCCCTCACCGAGGGGGNNAGTAGGAGTGATACCGGCGACCAAGACGTAGCGACCGTTCTTGCGGTGTTCGAGACGCTTGAGGACATCGAGTCCGACCTTTGCCTTGTATGCGCCATGAGGCTCGAGTTCGTGTGCTGAGAGACCAATTTCGGCGGCCAGTTTTGTGATGAGCTTGGGGTGCTGCTTGCGTGAAACTTCCCAGTCGGCAGGGACGGGCTGTTCGAGCTTGAGGTGGAGAGGAGTGATCTTGCGCGACTTTTGGCGGTCGAAGTAGCTGTCGGCAGAGTCGACGACGTTGCGGAGGAGCATGGCCACTGTCATGGGGCCGACACCGCCAGGCACAGGGGTGATCTGAGAAGCAACTTGAGCGGCAGATTCGTAGTCAACGTCACCGACCAGACGCTGTCCCGACTTCTTGGTGTCGTCGGGGATGTAGTTGGTACCGACATCAATGACAACGGCACCCTCCTTGAGCCACTCGCCCTTGACGAAGCCAGGAACGCCAATGGCAGCGACAACAATGTCGGCCTGCTTGACGTAACCGGGCAGGTCCTTGGTCCTGCTGTGGCAGACGGTGACAGTGGCATCGGCATTCTTGAGCAGGTAGCTGACAGGGCTGCCGACAATGTCACTGCGACCAATGACGACTGCATTCTTGCCCTTGATGTCGACACCGCTCTCGCTGAGCAGGACCATGACTCCCTTGGGTGTGCAGGGTGTGAAGAGAGGCTTGCCGCCACGCTTGGCCAGCTCACCAATGTTGGCTACACCGAATCCATCAACGTCTTTCTCGTCAGCAACGGCCGAGGTGACGGCATGTTCGGAGATGTGCTTGGGAACGGGCAATTGGACGAGGATGCCGTGGATCGAAGGGTCGTTGTTGAAGCGCTCAATGTGGTAGAGGAGCTCCGACTCGCTAATGTCTTCAGGGTACTTCTCCAAGTCACACTCAATGTTGGCCTCGGTGGCTGCCTTGAGCTTCATGCGCACATAGGTGGACGAGTCTGAGCGGTCGCCGACCTGGACAATCTTGAGCGAGGGCTTGTAGCGAGGGTTGGCAGCCTGCTTCTCGGTGATTTCGTGGTTGATGCGTTCGCGGATCGACTTTGCGATGGCAGTGCCATCAATCTTTTGGGCCGTCATGAGGCGCAATGTGGTGCTGAAGGCAGCGCGTTGGATGTTGGGAGAGAGGAAGGAAGAGGGACGAGTCACAGAAGTCGAGAATGCGAGGGAACGAAGATTTTGGCCCCGCAGAGCGATACGCCGACCGCTGATCAATTGGCCGTGCATTTGCTTCCTTCTTTGCACCTTCTTCTTTGAGAAGGAAATACAAGTACAGAGAACAACAATAGCGACTACCTGGATATCAAGAAGGAAGTGACGGAAAGTCTGGCGCGGGGCAGGAGCGGCAGTTTGGTTTCAATTACATACAACGAGCAGAATTCGGTGGACTGTGTGTCACACGAGTCTGGGGAGAGCTCGACACGTCTGTCCAAGTCTTTTGCTTGCCAACTCGCTCAGCTCACCTTTCTGCTGCAATCGTCCACCAGCAAGGTCAATGTCTGACGATGTTGATGCCTATTGGATCATCATGAACGCTGAGGAAGGAGGTTGCAGGCTGGTGAGTCAGAGCACTGGTCGAGTAGAGCGGTTTTCGAATTGCGGAGGTGGATGGAGAGCTTGATCGGGAAGGCGCGAGGCAGCGTCGGTGCTTAGTCAGGAGCGAATGACTAGCGAGGGGAAAATTACAGGCTGCAGGCAGTCGCAGACGCACGGGCCAAGCGACTCTGAGCGGGCGACGCACATTTTCATAGACACGCCAGCAGCGACGACAGCGACCAGAAGCCACATCCCACCGCCAACATGAGACCTATTCTGCTATCCGGTCACGTACGTTCACCTGCTTGTCTTGCCCTTGCGCTGCGCACAAACTGACCCTCATCGCAGGAGAGAGCTCTGACCCAAGTCAAGTGCGTGCCGACCACGAAAAAGAGATGGACAGGACACAGCGACTAACCCCCAGCGCAGGNNTTCAGCAAGGAGGGCGACTTCATCTTCTCCGTCTCCAAGGATCACAACGCATGCGCATGGTGGTCACACAACGGTGAGCGCTTCGGTGTCTACAAGGGCCACCAGGGTGCCCTCTGGACAATCGACGTCGACCCGCGCACCGTCCTGCTCGCAACCGGCGGCGCCGACAACACCATCAGACTGTGGGAGGTCAAGACCGGAAAGCTGTTGAAGACTTGGGAGTTCGGAACCGCCATCAAGCGCGTCGAGTTCAACGAGGACGGCACCCAACTGCTCGGTGTCACCGAGAAGCGTCAGGGCCAGCTCAGCACAATCCTCGTCTACGACATTAACCAGGACCCCGAGGGCGAGCAGCCTAACGACCACTCGCTGCGCATTGTTGTCGACGACATCCCCAAGGTCACAGTCGCTGGTTTCTCGGCCTGCACAAGATACATCATCTCTGGCCACGAGGACGGTTCTGTTACCCAGTGGGACGCAAAGACTGGCGAGGAGTACGAGCGCGCATACCCCCACGAGGATGGCATGATGGTCACCGACTTGCAATGGTCCGCCGACCGCACCTACTTTGTCACTGCCTCCAAGGACAAGTCCGCAAAGGTACGACTTGTCTCTCCACCTCTTTACTTCGATCAACCTGCTGACTTGTTACTTCCACAGCTCATGGACGCCAAGACGCTCGAGGTCATGAAGACATACGTCGCCGACACACCCCTCAACTCTGCCGCCATCACACCCGTCAAGGACTACGTTATTGTCGGAGGTGGTCAAGCCGCCATGGATGTCACCACCACCAGCGCCCGTCAAGGAAAGTTCGAAGCCCGTTTCTACCACAAGATCTTCGAAGAGGAGATTGGCCGTGTCAGAGGTCACTTCGGTCCCCTCAACTACGTTGCCGTCTCTCCTCTTGGCACCGTCTACGCCTCTGGTGGTGAGGATGGTTACGTTCGTGTCCACCACTTCGATCAACCCTACTTTGACTTCAAGTTCGAGGTCGAGCGCGAGTTGAGGTTGTAATTGCAAAAGAGCGAGAAGAAAGGGGGCTTTGTGAACCACGGCATGGCATGGCGTTCAGGGCGTCGTTTTTTGAGAGAAAGGACTGACGATGAACATTTGGGGCCTGAATGATATCACAACTAAAAGTGTCTTGAGCTGTTGTCCATCTGCAATCAAGAAGAAGAGAAATGAAATGTCTACATCAATCTATATGTGTTGTACTTTTCGTGTGAAGATGTTTTGGCTCGTCATGGCTGAAGCGTGAAATGACGCTGCATGGAGCGACTTTGTCCTTTTGATTTGAGACCACAATCATCGCAGTACTACTCCAACGAAGCTCACATATGAAGTCGCTCCACACCAACGTGAACCTGGGAGTTGCTAAGTTCCAGCTCAGAATTCGCCCTCTTCATGTGAGTCTCTCTATTCCACCAATCCATCCACGTTGCGGCGTCGTCGGAGCGGAACAACCATCCCAAGCAAAGTGGCTTGCCCGCGACCTCGAATTATTCCGTAACGACAACAATAATCTCCGGCAACTACTTGTCAATTCTTCTCTGATCATTATTACTTTTCTCATCATCCTTGACTGAATTCTGACCGCTTTGCAAAGCTTCCTTCTCGCAATCGCGGGTATATTGACTTATTTGCACACATCAACAACTATGGCAACAATCACTCTTCCTCCGCCAAATGCGGAATATCAGTTTAGCGTGTTGCCAAATATCTTCAAGCAAGGTCTTCCAGATACTGATGCTGATACCTTTGAATATGTATGCTCTCACCTGTATCACCGGCTTCTGCGTTTTCCGAATTTGCACTAATTATAAATATAGGCAAAGGAGAACTTTGGACTCATTCAACAAGCCTACCCTTCTGACAACACCCTTGAGAATGCCGGTGAAAAGACACAATGGCAGAGATTCGAGCATTATATTCGTGAACTGAATAAGAGCGCTGAAGAGGGCGTCGAGTACAAGGTTTTGTATCTTGGTAGACATGGCCAAGGATACCACAATGTCGCCGAATCAAGATATGGTACCAAGCTCTGGGATGTACGTTTTTCTTTCGGCCTCGCTTCCGTAACATGTTTCTGTTTTTGGGCTTATAACACCATCCCCGCAATCAATTCTAACAATATATGGCAGGACTACTGGGCCAAGCAAGAAGGCGACGAACACGCCCACTGGGCCGACGCACACCTAACCCCCATCGGCGAAAAACAAGCCCTCGACGTAAACACCTTCTGGAAATCCGCCTTAAGTGTCGCAAAAGTGCCCGCTCCAGAAGCTTACTACACATCTCCCTTTTACCGCTGTCTCCAGACCTCGTGGCTGTCTTTCCACTCACTCGATCTTCCCGCTGACAAACCTTTTGTTCCTATCGTCAAGGAATTGCTCAGAGAAACCAATGGCGTGCATACCTGCGACCGCAGAGGCCCTTCCTCAATCATTCGCGCTGATTTCCCAACCTACGTCTTGGAGAAAGGACTTCCTGAGACAGACGTCACATGGACACCAGACTATCGCGAAAAGCCTACTGAACATATTCTCAGAGAACATGGTTGTCTGGAACAGATCTGGGAACAGGATGCCAAGGTGTTCTTGAGTGTTACAGCGCATTCGGGCACTATTGCTGCTGTGTTGGGGGCAGTGGGCCATAGGAGATTTGCTTTGCCCACTGGAGGTGTAATTCCTGTTGCTGTTAGAGCGGAGAAGTTGCGTCATTGATGTTTCTTGGAAATAGCGAGTGGACAACGACAAGGTGAATAGCAATAGAAGGCAAGCAGGAGAAGAGGAAAATGTATAGATTGTGCGTAGAATTTCTAAAAACAATACTGTCTATACTGTTCTGAAGCTGATAAACTGCCTTTCATAGTTTTGTTGTGATCAGATTCAGAGAACCCGGTGGGTTTTGTGGTTTCTGATGCAACTTTCGAGATCAAAGCCTGCAAAATCGCAAAAACAGCTATTGCGACTGCGGGGATGGGTCTAAATAGTTAGAAACTAGAATGATTCTTCTCCGATCATTACAGATCATTATAAATCCAAGTTCCAGTCATAACAACTGCCATGTCCTTGATGTATCGCTATTGTTGTTCGTGAGAAGGTTGCTCTGGGTATGACCCTGTCAGTATCTATGAGCATCGGCAGCCGGCTTGCCGGCTGCGGAAACCAGCCATCAGTTTTACACCAGCGCCAAAAGACCAGAGAATATAGAATCAATCAATCGATCAATCTACGAATGGCATAAGAATAGAAAAATCATTGTTGTTTTGTCCAATTCGGATAGAAGGTATACTAAATATGTAGACATGCTTTACGCAGCGCAACTAAAAAAGAGTCCTGTACTGGAGAAGAAAAGAGATAAAACAAAGGAAAAAGGGTCAAAGTTCTGTATCACCGCATCTCCACTTGGTCGTGGGATTTCTTCTACTTTCTTGTCCAGTCGAAGAAGGCGTGACTGGCCCAGACGGCCTGCTTGTCAATAGCCCAGTGGAAGATTTCTCCGCCAATGATGGAACAAGGCAACACGACGAAGAAAGCAGCGGCCTTGGCAGAGGCGGAGGTGAGGCCGGCAGAGGTGTTGCAATAGAGGTAGATCTTGATGCCGGCGGTGTACATGAGGATGGTCGAGACGAGATAGTAGCCTATTGCCATCAGAATTAGCTGCTGTTCTACCAGACAAGAAGAAAAGAACTTACTCAATGAACGTCTGCCGATTGCTTTGAGTGCCTTGTTGGACAGAATGCGCTTGGTCGTCTCGCTGAACTCAATGAGCAGCAAGATGCCGACGATAACGAGCCAGTCATCCATGCGGGGGTAAGGCTGAGTGCCATCTGCATAGCCGAAACTGCTGCCACCGAGGTAGCGAGAAGGATGGGCGTGAGCCTCACCGCTCCAGAACAAGTCGGGCAGACCTGCAATCCACATGTACTTGAGGCCAGTTCCGACAGCAAGGAAGACGTAAGCCAAAGCCCAGTAAGGCATTCTCACGCTTCCGCTCTCATTGCTCCAGCCGCGGAAAAGTGCTGTGCGGAGAGGTGGGTTGATGGCGACATCGGCAAGGAAGAGGCCAGTGGCTGAGTACCAACCCCAGCTGTTGAACCACCAGGAGCCGAACGCAAACATGAGCAAGCCAGTTATGTGCCAGCTGGGTCTGCTGAAGGGCAAGATGACCATGAAGATGTAGACAGTGTAGCTCTGCAAATAGATGGCAGAAGGTACCCACAGAGTCCAAGATGGGAAAGCCAAATTGCCCATCTGCAGAGAGTAATCCTTGGTCACCCACAGCAGATCCCAGATACTGTTGAAGCAAGCCAACGCAGAAGCGGGCTTCTCTGGCGCTCTCAAGAATGGGTTGCCATTGATATATGCAAATTCTTCAAGATACTGAGTGTTGATTGAACCGAAGATTGCGAGAGAGATTGCGAGCCCGATGGCTAGAGGAATGAACATGCGAATCGGGCGGGCGATCAAAGAGCGGGCGTAGGTGTTTGAAGTCACATCGCGTAAGAAAGGAATGCAGACTGTACGAGCCGACAAGAGGATGAAGAAGCAGAAGATGAAGGACTCTTCCCAAAGGAAGGGGGAGAGAATCTTGCGGAGGAGAACTTGGTAGTGGGGGGAGTGCTCGGTGAAACTAGGGATATCGCCTGGAGAAGAGCAGATTAGTAAACATGCTACACGTAAACTATGTGATGTGATTTGATGCAAGCGAGCGCGATGGGTCAAAGGGCACGAAATTGCGTCCCTGGACTGGACGTGTCGTTCGCGGGTCTCTCAGTATCTATCTCCCAGAATCTGAGGCCTTGCGAATGACGGCTCGAGTCCATGACGTCCGGTCGAGGCTTGTCAGCTTACTTCACCGCACATCTACTCTGATCTTTCACAACTTCGTGTACCGCATGCTCGGCAGCTTCTACAAGCGAGACACCGTGGGCATAACGCACCAAGACGCTCAAGGTTGTGAGAAGGTCAGAGAGGATGTTGTCGGCAATGACGCTGCTTGCGAGCGCTTGCCGATGTTTTGCCGTCGAGATTGCGTGGCTTGTCGTTTTCCCGCACCGCTCGCTCCGACCATCCCCCTGTGATTTGGAAGCAGCAAAGGAAAAGAATCAACATACTGAGGTTGCGACGGTACAGGTCGCGAGTGTACAGGTCACCAGAATACAAGTCGCGAGCGACAATTCCAGAGCCTGCTCCAGGAGCGGTGATACCAGGTCCACCAAACACTCCGGGCACCGTCGAAGGTGCTGAGTTCGGTACGTGTTCTCCAGTCGTCGTCGGGCCCGGCACGGTGAGCGCTGGGTCAAACACCTTGAAGAACAGCCAGGCGAAGCTCTGCACTGCCAGAATCGCACGAATGCCCCAAAGGTGATCTTGCGAATTGCTGAGCACCGACGACTTTCGCCGATACGCCATGTAGTTTTGCGGTTGGTATTTGTTAGACATGATGTGTGCTGACTTGGCCGCTGCTGGGCGTGCTTTGACGAACAAGTGGAAGACAACAAGCTGAGTTCAACTTCAAATGCCCACGGCGGATTGTCTGAAGTGATGAACTACCGAGATCTTTCTTCGTTGGCTCATCAACTCGTCGACCCTGCCATGCGTTATTCTTCCACTCTCTCGTCATGTTTTGATCAAAACGGCCACTATAGACGTCAATCACCCTAGCTGTGTCCAGACTTCCTTTTCCTCCATCCGTTCATCCTACGCCTGGGCTCAGGGTAAGAGATCGTTAACGTCGTTGCGGACCCACGGCCGCTTAGGGAATCCGAGTCTGACCGATGTTATCAACTGCCAGCCCTCCAACGGCCGCGAGCCGCACCGTTCGACCACCTACCACAACCTGGACTTTACACTTTCCCATTCAGGGCAGATTGGACTTGACTCGACACGCCGTTCTGAAACAGATGTAGCAATGTCAACCTGCTTTCCACGGAAAACGTCGGATCGGCGCTTCTTTTACCCCTTTGGCTTTGTGCTTCCCTAGTAAGGCAAACCCTTTGTTTTGCTCTCGCCATGCTGAGACATGCTCTCATGCTTTTCTCGTAATTCGACGTCCCACCGTCAATCATGCCCCACGGTATACACTGGTGGCGTCAGTCAACCCCATCTGTTTGGAGTATTCTCTGCCGAAAGCGTCGACCACGTCCCTACGTCCGTACCCTTGGCAAATTCACCGTACGCTTACGTCTAAACGGCCAGACCACTGAGCGCCATGGCCACTACGTCAAGTAGTCCCCAAAACAGAGACACGCTTTCGTCGATTGGAGGCGTTGATCATTTCGATGGATTCAATCTGGCGATAAGTCTAGAGATTCATCAAACTTCCGGATCTAGAAGCCTCATGATGATAGGCTTGCTCAAGCATGATTTTGAATAAATTGAATACCTGAGCAAAGTCTTGAAAAATCTACCGTAATCTCCCCTTCTCCTCTACACCACCACCATACGCCTGCCTGACCATCAAGCCTACGACAGTCATGGCCGACGAGTTCAAGGGCGGCAAAGCCGCAAAGTCAGGCCTGAAGGAGATGTTCAGCAAACTCGACTATGCTGTCAAGTACTCTTCCAACTGGGTCTTCGAATGGACACCCTTCATTCTCACAATCTGCTACTGGGTAGCATCAATCACTTTCTACGTCTCCTGCGACGAGGGAACCATCAAAGGTTTCTACTACTTCTTCATGGTCATCAATTTCTACATCGCCGCCTGTACAGTCATTGAGGCATTCTTGGGAATTTCACCACTCCGAGATGCGAGAGCAGCTGCCATCCGCGTCAACACCTGCGGCGAGTTCCCCACTCCGGATGATCTTCTTCCCATCCTCGATATTGTCATTGTCGCATACTTGCCCAACGAGCAAGACATCGTCAAGGACCAAGTCAACTATGCCCTCGAGGAAATTGTCTACCCTCGTGACAAGTTGCGCATCAACCTGCTTTACAACACTCCTAAGCCAATCGAACCACTGGAGACTGAGCTGCTTGAGATGGAAAAGCAGCACGGTGGTCTGCTTCGTGTTACCAAAGTCGTCGGCTCCAAGTCCAAGGCCGACAACCTCAACTTCTTCTTCACTCTCGACACTGGTGCTGAGATCATTGCTATTTTCGACTGCGATCACTTCCCCCATCCTTACAATGCTCGCTGGGCTGCTGAGCGTTTCATTGCCGACCCTACTGTCGACATTGTTCAAGGCAGATGTATCGTCTACAACTCCAAGGAGACTTTCTTCACCCGCATGATCGCTCTTGAGTTCGACAAAATCTACGCTGTATCGCACCCTGGTCGTTCGCGTCTCTTCTCATTCGGTCTGTTCTGTGGAAGTAATGGTTACTGGAAGGCCGAGCTTCTTCGCGGTCACCAAATGCACGGTCACATGCTTTGCGAGGATATCGATTCTGCTCTTAGAGCTTACGGAGAAGGCAAGAGAGCTGTTCACGACATGAACGTCAAATCTTACGAAATGGCACCGACATTCTGGATGGCTTTCTGGAAGCAGAGAATGCGCTGGACCCAGGGTTGGACTCAGGCTTCTATTCGTCACGCTCACATGATCTGGGACAATCCTCCCAATGGCACTCGCTGCCTGAGCGAGCGTTACGGTCTTCTTTCTCTCATCATTGTTCGCGAAATGAGTTACTACCTCGTTACTCAGTAAGTAGCGATTCGCGCGATGATACGTCATGAACTTTACTAATCATCCACCAGACACACATGTCTCTTGTTCAGTTTCCTCATCACTGGCTGGCCCCACAGCTCGGGTGAACTGGCAAGACTGATATTCTTCCGTTACGCACTCTCTGAATGGTTCCTCTTCCTTACCGTCGGAAGTTTGATCGTGACGCTCTGGATCACCGAGATCGTGCGTTCCGAGTTTACATCATTCTACGACATGATCCTTTTCTCCGCTATCTACGTGCCCTATCTCATTCTTCAGGGTACTATGGGTAAGTTCGCCTATAAGCTCAAGACATGCACGTAGCTATTTACTAATCATATGAACANNGGTATCTACGGACATTTCCGTGAGATCATCGGATACTCATCGTGGAACCCTACTTCCAAGAAAGTAGACTTTCTGTTTTCTTTGTGTTTCCATTCCTTTCACCATCATATATCCACTTACCTTTTATCTTCTCTTTTAAAATTCATTTTTTCTTTTGTCACAAGGGTCTAGATAGCACATCCAGCACCAAAAAGGAGCTGTTGAATAGTATTGAATAATCTAGCAAATCGCTACATACAAACACTTCCTCGTTACGTCGCTCGGAACTTTGCCGGAAACTCGGTATCCAACTCATTGCTACATCTATTTGTTACTTTGCCTGCACAACGTCTTCTTTTCTAACGGCGCATGCTCTGTGCGCGTGTCATATGTCTGCTTGATTCATGGCAGAACGTGTGGGAAAGGCATTCATTATGCAGTTTGCGGGAAAGCCGTTGAAAATGCAACGGCCAATATAATCCTACCTTAACCATATACACTCATTTCATGGGCTGTTAAGTGCTTGTAACGCACGTTGTCCATGCATCACCGTCCCCCTTTGCCAGCCCGCCGTTATACCCGATCTATTGATCTACAGGAAGCATTGGAACCGGCCACAGAACAAACAATCACAAAAATAAGCAACTGGAAACAAGGTGCGTCTATCTTTGCGTTGACTTGCAACAGTCCATAGTGCCGACCCTCTAGCTCCACTTCCATCTAGATGGCAATAGCCAGCGGTCATTAGGATTATTGCGCTATCCGGTTGACGGTTGCGTATTAGTGATGTTGATGAATGCCCACTGCAATAGCGATGCGTACGGATTTGCTTGGGTAAGTTGGGTTCCAGATCACTAGTAATAATCCTTTGCATCATACATTGATCAGCATTTCCTTCCTTTGCCTGTTCTGTTTCCAATACCTGCCACCCTCACGTCAACCATTTGGTAGGACGAGGCACGTGCAGCTTGGATATAATCCAAAACTGCAAGCCATTTTGCCTTCTCTTATACTTTCTTATCCTTGTATCCTCTTTTCATCTCTGATTGTTTTGCTTCTCTCCCCAGCTATACCACAATCATGAAGTGGGGGATCGCACTTGCAAGTGCCATCTTGGCGGCCACAACCACCTCCGCTCTTGAGGTTTCCGATTGCTCTTGCGGTTTTGTTGATCTCGAGCATGATCAAGTTTGGACGGATGCCTTGATCGTGTATTTCAACGAGACCAACCAACTACCTAATGAGTTCAAGGCTCTTGATTTCCACCACAAAAGAGAGTTTGGATACAACTCTCTATATCGACAGGGCGCCACTCCCGATAATGTCATTATCGGAAACGCAACGGACGAGAATGTGAACGAACAGGTTCTTCAACTCTGGATTGACCAGGGTACTGGTCAGCATTATGTCCAGGGCGCTGGTATCGAGGCTTTGAGACAAGATATGCATTTTGGTACCTTCCGTGCTTCAATGCGTGGACCTCCTAAGAACACTGGGTAAGTGAATTTAACCAAGATGATTAGAGAATGCGACTAACATCTGTGCTTTTGTAGCGGATCCGCGATGTCGATGGAGCTTTACCACAACCGCACATCTTTCATCGAGGCCGACATGTGTAACATGCAATATCCCCACGACGCTAAATTCCTGGCCCTCAAGGATGGCGAGTTCCCAGACACTCAGTATCAGCTCAATTACACCTACTTTGCAGACGACAAGAACGCTACCGCCGGTGGCGATCCTTGGGAATTCGTCGAGAACAAGATTGATTGGACCGCGAAATATGTCAACTGGACTTTTGGAGGAAACATGACCAGATCGGCTAAGCGTAGTCGTATCGATCTTAGCGAGCCTCTGCCTCTAGTTTTCAAGCATTGGTCGATCGGCGACAAGTATTGGATGGCCGGTCCCCCCAACCAGCGCAACCAGGCTGACGTCGCGTGGGTTCGTGCCTTCTTCAACTCTTCTCTGACTACCAAGGCCGAGCAAGGCGCCTTCGACGACCGTTGCAGAGGTGTTCAAATGTGCTCTGTCAACGATATCACCCTGCGTGGCTCGAGTCCATACTCGCAAGAAGCTCTAATTCCTTATAAAGCACCTGGTCTGAGCAAGAGCTGGCGTGTTCCCGCCGGAGCCACTTCTGGTGCAGTCTTCGCCTTCGGTTGCTTGACCCTGATCAACGTTCTTTTCAGAAGAGCACCCTGGAAGTTGTTGTTGGCTAAGAACAGAGGCAAGAAGGTTCATGTCGAGCCTGAGCTCAGCTCGCCCTCTCCCTTCGTCCAGCAGCTTCTTGGTGTTTCCAAGGATGAGAAGACTTTGATTCCTGCACCACCCGAGAAGAAATCATCGGTTGTTGGCTTTGTGGATGTCGCCAGTCCAGTTGGGGACAAAGAAGACGCTTCCAAGAGAGACAGCATGCGCAGAAGAAGTGTCAAGTTCTTCAACCCCTTTGATGCTGAAGCTGGCGACGACTTTGTCAAGAGGCACAGCAATGCTTTCGCTACCGCCACTGAACTGCCCAGAAACATGTCGACCTCGCAACCCACTGATTGGCGCCGAAAGAGTATGGCCTACCACGGTCAACTCCCTGAGATGCTTCCTGAGCGAAGTGACATGGCCAAGAAGCTTAGAAAAGCCAGTGTCGCATTTGCTGAAGATTCCTACACCCGCCCCCGTCAAGCCAGCACTTTCCAGAGCATCAAGGGACGTAGCGGAAGTACTGTCAAGGCTATCGGTCACGTTCTCCAGCATGGCATGCATGATGCCGAACGCGTTGAACCCATCGAGTTGCAAGAGAACCTGATGCGCAACGATTCTGATGACTCTGGTAACGGAAAGGCTAGTGCTTCAAGAAGAGAAAGCCACGCAAACTTCGCCGGAGTCGTCATGCGTGATCCCGATACCTTGCAAGATGTCGATCTATCTCACCAGTCTCCCGATGCCCGTCGTTCGACCATTCTGAGAGGAAGACAGCCCAGCGTGCTCGAGCGTTACCGTGAAAACCACTTTGCCAGCATTGGAGGCGTTTCCATGGCCTCTGGGGTTTCTCGTAAGTCTGTGTCTATCAAGGACTGGAACACTCAGGAACTGCACGAAGTCAGCACTATCGATCCTCCTCATGAATCGCAGATGAAGTTTGCTCGTCGCATCACTCTCGCCGAGGCTGTTCCCGTTTCGGCTGTCGATATGCCCCTGCCTAAGGCCAAGGAGCACGAAGCTCGTGTCAACTATCTCGCCGGTCTTGTCGCTTTCTCCTCTCTTGGTGTCACTGTTATCCATTTCATGCTGTCGTTCAATCCCTACGCCGGTGGTCTGAACTACGGACAGCACTACCGCAGTGAATACTGGGCTCGTTGGACTGTTACTCCTGCTATTCTCAACCCCATCTGGGTAAGTCAGCAAAACCAAAGTTGCATATCTTACTGACAATTATCAGNNCTTGGACCTTTCTTCGTTACCTCTTGTAGATTCTTGTCAGCCAGATACCTCCGTGACGGCGAGCTGGGCATGATTGCCGAGAAGATGCTTCTCCGTGCACCCCGCCTGCTCCTGCCTCCTTTCATTGTTGCTGCTATGGAGTATCTGTTCTTTGAGCTCGACTTCATGCAGTGGCTGCAGTACCTTCCTTCGATCTCCTGGTCTGAGTGGGCTTACATGTCCAACTACAACAACTTTGGTTACTATCTCAACGCGATGTTGGAGCTGGGATACCTGATTCCCAATGCCGCACCCCAGGTCGTCAGTCACTACTGTGTTGGTGTGCTGTGGTCCATTCCTGTTCAGCTGCAGTTCAGTTTCGTGACGCTTCTCGGCGTTGTCATGATCCGCGATATCAAGACCCATTGGAAGCGTTTTGCATTCTACAGTTGGTGTATCGTTGCCAATTGGTACTCGTTGAGTTGGGGATCTTGCTTCTGGGCTGGTCTGGCATTGGCAGATTTGCAGGTCACCTACAAGTTCAGTGCCAGGGTCCAGGCACGTCCTCTGCTCTGTTGGGTGTTCTGTATTTGCTGCTGGATTGTGGCAATTGCCAGTGCTGCCATGACTCTTTTGGAAGATCGCTTGGATATTCCCACTATGTCTGGCGAGAGGAACATTCACCCTGATATGTACACCGGCAGGAAGCTTGGTGACACTATCAGAGGCGGCTACCCACTTTACTTTGAGCCTCGCTACAACACACTGACTTTCGCAGTGTCTATGCAGTTTTTGGTCGAGACAAGCAAATGGTTCCAGGCATTCCTTTCGATGAGAGTCTGGCAGCCCATCTTCCCTCACGCTTTCACTATCTACCTTGTCCACGGATTCATCTGGTGGACTCTTGGTTCGTACATGGTGGTCATGCTCGGATCCGATGGTCTCCCGTACTGGTCAGTGTTGCTGATCACGGCAATCGTCTGTTACTTCACCCTGGCCTTGACAGTCCTTGCGGTCTCTTTCTTGACCGAGACCATCACAGCAGCTTGCTGCCGCAACATTGCTCGCTGGGCAATGGAGCCCAAAGTGCCCAAGCAACCCACTCTTGAGCCCTTCCCTCGCAACCTCTTCCTCGACCGCAGCAACAACGAGACTGCGACGTTCAAGGATGAGGAGACAGCCGTTGGAGAGTCAGGACACGCAGTCGGAGCCGGCAACATGGTCAGACGTCCTACCCTCGTTGCGGGCGCCAACCTCGACCCAACAGCCAGACGCCCAACAATCGTCGACGGTGCCATTCTCAACGATGCTGAGAAGGCCGCCCTGGGAAAGACAACCATGTCATCACCCAAGCCAGCACAAGGATTCGAGCCAAACACAAACCAAAACCGTCGTAGCACCCACGTGGGCGACTTCATCATCGAAGAGGAGGATGAAGAGATGGACCCCGATGATCCTCACTACGTTGCAAAGTCGTCAGAGGCATCAAGCTCGGACAGAAATTCGAGTTCGGCGTCGAGTTCGAGGCAGGCTCCTTGATCTTCTTTTATTTCTTTTCTGGTCGGGTGAAAAATCTCATTTTTAGCATCTTTTCTCTTTTTCTTTTCGTCATTATACACAATACCTATTATATTTCCTTTGTTCAATATCAGTCATATATAATCTCCTTCTTACCTCTTCATTGACTTCTCCGCTGGTGCTTGTGCATGGTGTGTTCAAATGGGTGAGATGGCAAACAGGAGGTGGAGTCGGAGAAGTTGACACGGGCCATGGTGTCATGACGGAAGTGTCTGCTCCGCTTTCCAAACTCTCCACTCCTGCCCCAGTCGTTCTTGCTACGTAATTTTTCTTCATGATATATGCCAACGTGAAGCAGAGTCACATGCTTGTATAGTTGGGCCTGTCGTGTCATCTCTACAGCCGACCTGCGGTGGACTCCAGGCGTTGTCTACGGCCAGACATGGACAGAAGCCGATCGTCGGACGGTAAGTCTCGCGCGGCTCCGACGGCATCAGAACTTCACGCCGGTCGGTGTCCACGTCTCGTGCCCGAATATGGTTCTGTTCATCTTGCCAGATCGTATAAGGCCATTAATCTTCTTTGATGTTGACAAACACGATACTCCCATGGCTTTGCACTTTCGAAACGTTACAGGAAACAGGCTCATGTCTCAACTCAAAAACAGCAGGGGTGTCCACACGGCACGCGTTGCTCTCCTCTACCAAGCCATTGAGCCGCCAGCCATCCATGGAGTTCGCAAGCCCATGAAGCCCGGTGGTACGTTCGATTCTCTGCGACATCAAGGTGGGTAGACACTGAGTGTATACANNGGCTACCAAGACGGTTGCGCCGACATCGCTTTCAACTTGAGCAGCCAACCTGGCGTCGACATTGTGACACCCATCGATTCACCCGATCCTCGAGAGCACGTCGGATGGAGCTTTCCAGACTCGGAAGATGGCATGCTCGCGGCTCTGCAANAGGGAGCTACGCACCTGTTTGCCAACACGGTTGTCTTTGCGAACCATCCACTTCAGACATCAGCAAGAGTAGGAGAATATCAGGACAAAGTCAAGGTCGTTGGGCATCCTCCATGCATGGTTGAGCTGCACGATGACAAGCACTATGTCAACGACATGTTGCGCAATTCTGGCAAGTTTACTCTGCCTCGTGGTTGCCTGTTCGAGGACGATGGCACAGATCTCGATGCGAAGCTGCACTCGCTGGACCTTGGCTTTCCTATTGTTGGCAAGCCAGTGAGAGGCCGAGGTAGTCACGGTGTCAAAGTCTGTCAAGACATGGAAGAGCTGCGCGCTCATGTCCAGTCGCTGTTCAAAGAGTCTCCAGCCATCATCCTCGAGGAATATCTCGCTGGCCAGGAAGCAACCGTCACCGTTCTGCCGCCTTCGGATGAACATCCGTCTCATCGAGCACTTCCCATCGTCACGCGCTTCAACCACACCAACGGTGTCGTTCCATATAACGGCATTGTTGCTGTAACTGCCAATTCCCGCGCTGTGACTGCCAAAGAATACGCCGAAGATCCTGCTTATTCAGCCATTGCGGCCGAATGTGAGAGTGTCGCGAAAATGTTGGGTGTCACTGCTCTTATCCGGATTGATGTTCGTCGCTTCAAGGAAGAGCCTGGTTCCAAATTCGCTCTTTTCGATGTCAACTCAAAACCGAACATGACTGGTCCTGGGCGCCCTGGAAGAGAGGATCAGGCTAGTTTGAGTGCCATCGCTGCTGCGGAGATGGGATGGGACTACCCAAGGCTGTTGTCGGAGATGCTGCGAAGTGCTCAACCCCTGAGACGTCTGAGAGAAATGCGACCGGACACTGTGTAGGACCAGATTGTACACTCTGACGCGGTTCACTACATGACCAGGCTGATGAGTGACTGCATTTCGTTGTAAGCACAGCTTCGAGGCTGGCTTTGGTGACATGGTCAGACTCTTGATTGAAAGTGAATCAGCTGGACTGCGCGATCGTTCTGGAACACGGTTCAGCCGTTATCGTTAGACATTGTCGTTCTCTTCCCCGCAGATCCCCCAAACCTTCTCCCTTCTCTCCCATCAGTTGACTGCATCTTCGACTGGACCTTTCATGGTCGAGCGAGGACTATTCGCGTGAGGTCCATGTCTCAATGCTTATACCAACAGCATTGAGATTGATGCTTCAGAAGTAACAGGAAGGGGCACATGTGGTTTATGAATGAGCCCCTTGTTACGAAGGTTCTATAGTTTGGGAACGCCTTGTTTTCAGCCACAAAAGCTTTACAAATCCCCGGCCAGTCAGAGAACGATCGTCCTTCACGAAACAATTTATTACGATGTTTAACTGATTCTCAGTTCGGCATGGCTGGGTCCGGACGACTCGAACGTTTTGGTTCCTGGCGTTGGTTAGCAACAATGCATGCGGTCCAATCGTTCATGCATTCCCTTGCAACTGCTCACTATGTATAAAAAGCCTCGTTTGCTCTAACCGATTCTCCGAACACTCGACTCTCATCGCTGCAAACCTCGAAGCGGAAAACTGTGCAAGCCCAACATGAAGTCCTACACTTTGCCGATTGTCTCGTCTCTTTTGGGATCTGCTTACGCTGCATCCCATTCTATCGACGTTGGAGAAGGTGGTCTGGTCTTCTCTCCCAACTCTACCACTGCTACTGTTGGGGACACTGTCACCTTTCACTTCTATCCCCGTGCCCATGGTGTCGCTCGTAGCAGTTACTCCAAACCTTGCGCCGCGATAGACAATGGCTTCAACTCCGGCTTTGTCCAAGTCACCAGCGGAGAATCAGCCACGACATTCACCATCACCATCAACAATACTGACCCCATCTGGTACTACTGTCCTCAAGGAGATCACTGTCAAGCTGGCATGGTTGGCGTAATCAATCCTCCGTAAGTAAATTTCAGTCAAGTCCTTTCTACCTTACTGATAATCAATGCAGTTCTTCGGGTGATGAGACCATTGGTGGGTTCATCAACTCTGCATCTACTGCTGGCACAAGCACAGCGCCTAGTCAAGTATACGGTGGTATTCTTGCTACCAACGGCACATCGGGCGGTGCCGTCGCTGGAGGCTCTGCCTCATCAGCTTCCATGGCATCCTCCTCGCGAGCCTCGTCGATGATGGCTTCTTCATCTCAAGCATCTTCCATGATGGCGTCGTCCTCAAAGGCATCTTCCAGTATGGCTTCCTCTACTGCTGCCGCAGCTGGTGGCTCGTCTAGTCATTCCATGACAGGTAAGCTTGATGTTCTTGTGCGCTGTACAAACCATATACTGACTAGCTTCCACCAGCTTCTTCTGCCTCAGCCGCGTCCGGTACTACTTCCCACAGCTCAGGATCAGGATCAGGATCAGCCACGTCCAAGGCCGCTAGCGCTACAAGCAGTGCCGCAGCTTCTACAGGTGCTGCTGTGTCATCCAAGACAACAGGTTTAGCAACCATAGGCCTAGGCCTGCTGTTTGGTGGATGGTTTTTCTTTTGACTTTAGTTGTTGAGTGCCATGTATCTTGATGTAGCTATACCTGGTTTTTGGTATAGTGTTACACAACTTGTTGGCTGCGATATACACATTTTGTCCTTGCAGTGACAATGCACTGCTGATCTAAGAGATATTATCTGTATATCTCGTTAAGACGACCTTGCGTTGCTTGCATGCTTTGACAGAACCTGCAAGTCTTAGAATCTTAACATTGCACGTGTAGTTCAAGATATTATCGTAGTCCCGATATACTTGGATAAAATAGTCGCTCTTGGCAGAGACGGGCCTGTGAGATCTCGGGAACCCGAACAGCCGTCTTCCGGATGACCGACCTCTTGTCTATGTGTGAAACGCTTTGAATACTTTCTGTGTTTTCCAGATGTGGTACAAAAGTTGCAACAGAATGCGCGCAGGCGACGCCAAACCTGCAATTGACTACATTCTATCTAGACATGACGATTCTTTGCAAAGGTGACGAGGCATACAACTTACAAAAAGACCACCTCCCCAGACTTCCAAATGTTCGACCCTCCCACCCGAGGCGGCGAGGCCGTTACGTCCCCCTCATGAAGCTTGAACGTCACTCCGAGGCCAGACCGATCTCCGGCATGCTCTTTGGTTATTTCGGCAAAGCAATCATCAATCTGCTCAAAAGCGATCAAATATTCTACGAACCTGCGCTCACGTAGCCACTGGTCAACAACACATTCGCAACTCTAACACAAGAGCCGTGGTGAAAGCAAGACTAAACGCATCACAGTCGGACTGGCAGCACTCACTATGGACGCCACCAATTCGATCAGTCTGGGGAGAAGGTCAGCCTAGTCGGACGGTCTCTGTTCTGTGGTGAGTTGTTTTGTTACCCAGTCTTGGTCGGATTCACTCCTAACCATCGCAGTCCCACCTGTTCTGATAACAGAGACGATCAAGACAGTGATGACCGCTGTCCAGCGAGGTCTCCCTCTAAAGGACTATATGGTCGCTACCTTGATCCGTTCGGTCATGATGTGTTTCACCGAGCGACAGATGGTATACCTCATTAAACCCACATCGCAGACATACCGAACATGGATGGATAAAAATGCCATAACTCGTGGTCAATCTCCAGTCAAAGATACTGTCATCTTGGCTGATGGTACGACCAAGCTACATTGGCTCAGAAAGACCGAGGACAAAGCATCAAAGGTGGTTCTGCTCTTCCATGGGGGCGGCTATTACATGCCATTGTCGCCTGAATATCTCAGCTTGTATGCATCCATGATTTACGCTCCTAGCTCGACAACAAAGACTATGGCAGCTGCTGTCTTGGAATACGAGGTCTCCACACAGAAAAAGTATCCTCGTCAGCTTCAGCAAGCAAACATGGCACTGGAGCACCTTCTGAAGCTTGGTTATCAGGCAGGAGACATTTTCATTGGGGGCGACTCCGCTGGTGGTCATCTTACCGTGAGCCTTTTGTCCCACTTGATGCACAAACATCCGTCAGTACCGAGTTCGAACATAGCTGGTCCAGTGGCTGGAGCGTTCATGATCTCTCCATGGGTCACTGATGACTACTCTACAGTCTCGTTCATCGAAAACGCCTGGATCGACGTGTTGCCTCACAAGACTATAAACCCGAACGCAGATTTCTTCGCACCTTCTGATATTCGGCAAGCAGAATCAGAGAGTAAACAAGGCTGGGCAATGGCTCTGAACGCAGATGAAAACTGGTGGAGCACACTGGCAGATGTTGTCTCCAATGTTCACATCACCACGGGCGAGCAGGAGATCTTCCGAGATCACGTCGTTATCTTTGCAGATATGCTTCGAAAACAAGCTCCTGGATGCAAACACACTTTCGACCTGANNGGGGTGGATGAGGCGCACTGTCACATCTTGCTCTATGAGATACTGTATCATTCTGAGAACCCTGCACTCAGAAGCTTGCTTGAGTGGTTTACTACTATCCTGAAAGAATGATATAATCATACTGTATCAGCAGTTGCTTTCCAGGCGGTTGACATACTCTAGAGCGTCAAACCCTTAATATGCAACAAGCATTTCGCAAAAGCTTATATTCTGCAGATGTTTATTCTGATGTGTATATATGTGCGTGAGATGCAGATCTTGCATGTCGATCATGTGGGAAAGGATCCATCACCCCTCTTTGTCTCTGACTCTCAGTATTTCGACACACCCAACGACTTCTCTACTTGTGAAGAGTTCGCGATCTCAGAATCATCCATCAATACTCCATCAGCCATGGTGATAAAAAAAAATGCCCGCCCCATCTAGCGCGATATCCATAAAGATGTTATGCTGCGGTGTTCTTGACGGATCCAGTGCACTCACTACTGTTTATCCCTCGACGACCTTTGTCGAAGCATAACCTGTCGCTTGTGCAAGCACGAATGGTACGCGAAGGTCTTGCTCAGCTTAAGGAGCACCAGCAAGGGACATTCTCTGCCATAGAACATTAAGATAAGGATGGCATGGCAGACACCTCGAAGTCAAACCTATGGCTACCCTCGCGGTTCCAGGACTGCTCCCATCGAAAGCGAAGCATAACTACGATATTGCGAAGCGAGTCAACGGTGTTGGCCTGAAGTGAATTGCTCGAACCAAATGCCAGATCATTGACATAGGAACCATCCACGTCGTCTGCTCTCGATCCGTAGATACCAGACCGGCCAAGTTCCAACACTAAGGTCGTGATGTCTGCGATCCAGGCTAGAGTGTACTTGCTTGCCAATAGCAGAATGTGATGAGCGGTCACGTACCGAAAGGCGCATTCACAACCAGTCCTGTGTCGCTCTAGGCCATCGGGACACTCGTTTATGGTATATCCAATTCGCTTTTGCTTTGATCCTTCAGCTGCTTGATCTTCTTATACCGTGTCTTCACTGCGATATTTAAGCACGAGAACTGGAAGGCTGTCAATGGATCGTCTGATTATGATTTGACCGAGACACAGTGTCAGAAAGAAATCAATCTCTAAATGACACACGCACGACAGCTGGGCTCAGATTCAAGTGAAAAACACCCCCAAAAAACTCAGCTGGCATATTCTTGATCTCTGCATAGAATCAAACAGTCTCGATGATAGATGTTTCAACCACTCAAGAAATCACTGCTGACCCCAAAACTAACATCGTAGTTGTAGTTGCTAGTAGCGTCGAAAAACTGAACACCACCCTCACTGGCGACATAACCAACATCTGCATAGTGGCGGAAGAAGCGTGTGGGATAACTCCAAGAACGAATGGTGTTGGTGTTCTGACCCTGCAAACCGGTCAGGGAGCAGAAAGTCGCATCCTCGAAGAATTGCTTCTCATTTCCAGTCTCTAGATAAAGTTCAAAGCCATAGTGACGAATGAAGGTGCCGGGCTGATCGACAGATTCGAAGCTGTAACAACCGCTGAAGCCCAGACCATTGCGTACGACCCACTGTGCTGTCTCTTGTTCTGCAGTCGAGTTTGCAGTGGTGGTAACTTCGGTGACGATCTTGGTCCCATCATGAGCGAAGTAGCGAGTATCATAGCCAGGAGTAGTTGCACGAATGGTGATGGTTGAGCCCACCGTCAGGGGTGAAGTATTGAGATCCACTGCGGCATAGCCTGCGGCAACAATGTTGGCTTGGACTTGATTCTCAACATCATCGGAAGGATATCCGCTAGTCATCACACCCTCGTAGAATGTGCCCTGAGCTCCGTTACTGTTATCGCCGCCAATACCAAGAATAATGGCTCCTTCTTTGTGCATGGGATTGTAACCGTCCGTGTCGTATGGACCGTTCCAGTAGGTAGACAGGCCATCGGACTGGGCATTTCCGCCGCGAATAGCCCACTGGTCGGTCATACCTTTGACCATGCCAGTCACAAAAGGATCGGTTTGCGTGGGATCATTGGGGTTCTGAGCGAGGTTTTGCTCGGAGAAGAGACCGTTCTCAAGCTACAGGAGAGTGAGATCAGTCAATATAAGCTGTTATCAAGTATAACTTGCAATAAAACTCACATCAGCCATGAGCCAGGGACCCTCGCCTGCACCTGAACCCCATACCGTACAATTACCGAAGTATACAGCTTCCATATGACCGTTACCCGTGTCATGATTGTTGACCTCAGCATTGCCATAATCAAAGCAACAATTGTCGTTGAAATGATTTGCGTCCATGACAGCGTAGATACCTTCGGGGTCACCGCCTGTGGCGATACCTGTCGTCTGATCGTTGCGGTAACCAGTACCAGGCGAGGAGAACAGGCCATAAGCCTTTTGACCATTCAAAGTTACAGGCGCGCCGATGGCGCTAGCCAGATCATCGTAGCCATTGGTGTATGGACCATTAAAGCCACCGGGAGGGGCTCTGGACAAGACGTTGTTGTTGCCTGACTGATCGTAGAGAAGACTGATGACGCAGGTCGTGCTGGCGCAAAAATCATCCTGTGCAGCGGCATCTGCTACACCCCCTGCTTGAAGAGGGTGTATGTCCATTGTAGAACCGTCTGAACTGCGCGTAACTTGATAGAGCGGACCATTGTAGGAATCATAAAGAGCACGCGTGAGGCCATGGGCAGCGACGCAGGGAGTACCACCTGAGGCGTAGATGTCGCAANNAGGTGCGGCCGCAATCAGGGATCCAGAGGCTGCCAGTCCAATCGCAAACTTTGTCTTGGAAGGCATGGTCAATCAGAGTTGGTGAAATCGATGTAATCAAAAAACTTGTGTGGGCGTGATTGCTGGCACAGTCGATGGGTCCTTCGTTCGAATATAAATACCATGATATCAACTAGGGCCGTATTTCCAGTTTGAAGATGCGCTCGTATCAGCGAAAGCTAACCCGCAAACTGTCCGACATCTTCTCTGAGATTCTCCCGAGACTTGCAGTAGTCTAGGACTGCAAGTGATTTGGGATATGTGGGACTGTCAGAGACTGACCGCGTTCCGGCGGGCAATGTCCTTAGAAGCGTCCGGTGACCGACAGAAGCATGTACGCAAATCCATGTGCTCGGCTGAAATACATAGAGAGTTCAAAGTGAAAGATGCGCAAGTTCACAGAGGGTACGTGCCATACCCTTATGACCTGCTGGTTATGTAATTTCGGTGTCGATCTTGTGTGTTCAGACGTGTTGCGGCAATAAGACGCCCTCAAAACCCCACGCCTACCCCTTCTTTCTCTACCCCACAACCTTAAGTCAAACCTTGAACCTCCAATCAACCCTTTGCATGCTTGTGCTCGGACGACTTGTCGCTCATTGAATGGGTGAATGTGACAAAGGCCCGAGTTTTGAGTTGAAAATTCATCCGGGCAGCGAGGAGACTGCTTTACGCGTTCATGAAACTGACCTTTGACGGCAGATAGAAGAGCTAGCTTGAATGTAATGATGGGGTGCCATACAGCCGATCGGCACTTTGGAGAGTGGACAGCTGCCTATTGATCCTTCGCCGGCGCATTCTGCCGGTGAACAACACCCGCTATGAGATGATCATGAACTTGTTGTACAACTGCTGTTGATGACTTGGAGATTCGCATGTTTCATCTAGCGATATCTTGCTAACCAAGTCCGTGCGAACGAGAAAGCTATGGTTATGAGTAGAATACCTTTCATACGGAACCAACCACTCCGGGCTAGTGTGAACAGAAGTTTCTGCAAAGCCCAAACCACCAACGCTGGGATGTCCGCATTCGCTGCACCTATCTCACACTCATGTTACGCATGCAGCAAGTCCTCAACTTGTGAGATTTCGCCGTCTTACTACGCTTGTCCCATCTCTGGGACTAGCAGTATTGAGCATCAAACAGAGTCTGCTCAGTCATGTTTCCGTGGTGATTGTTAGCAAAGATCCTGTTCTACTGGGTCAAAATGTATCAGAAACTAAGATTACCACTGTCATAGAAGGCTCGACCACCGCCGAACAACAATTTTACTCCAAACCCTGGCTTGTACCTTAGCACTACTTGGTGATGCCGGCCTGAGTACTCTTTTGATATCCAGGGAACTGCATCAGCTGCTCATCATCGATATGCTGCAGCTGTGGGCAGCCCAACGCGCTCAGTACATTGCCGAGAGCCGTGTTTATCACGTTGAACACGCTCAGCGCGACATCCGGCTTGGCTTGTGTGGCAGCTTGGAACGCGAAGCAAGCGGCATTGTTGCCCTCGAGCAAGCCTGCAGCGTTGAAAACGCCCCCTGTGAGATTAGTGACATCAACACCGGTGAAAGTGTTCGTCTTGCCGAGGTTACCGCCGATGTCGAGGAACTTGGGNCTATGTGAGGTGCAAATGTTAGCTATGGTCTCGAACGATTGAAGACGACCTCCGTCAGGTGAAACACGTACGTGAAGAAGTGCAGCGTTCACAAGATCCTGCTGGAAGTAGGGAATCGAATAAGGGTACGCGATCGCACGTTTGTACNNTGAACCAACCATTAGCTATCGGTCCAGTCGTTGTTGGATTGTTTGACCTACCCAGTTGTCAGGGATCTGCTCTTGACCCTGATTCGCCACATACGAGCCCTGTGAGCCAGTGATACCAAACCACGATTTAATCGTATCGTAGCTCAGGTAGCCGTACGGGGCTTCGGCCGAGTGATTAGCCATGAAGCGGTAAATAAATGTGTANTCTATCCGGAAGATTCAGCATAAATCAAAACCAGAAGAAGAATTGACATACGCTGCGGGCTGTACTGCCACACCGGTGAATGGTCCATTGAAGAAGTAGGGGTTGTTGGCNTGTACTGTTTAGCATGTTTCGAGTACTTTGTAGCGGCTTGATAACCTGCTGTACTCACCGATCTGGGTGTCAAATCTCACTGAGCGGAATGCAGTGAGACTGTCGAGAGTCACCTGACCGCCGGGTGACATGCTGATGAGTTGCTCGAACTGCTTAGCAACAGTTTTGTAGTCATTGCTTGCTTCGTACAAATCGGGACGAGTTGGTGAAGCATCGCTCTCGTANTCTGGAAGCATGATTAGTGATTTCCTATGAGCTTGAATAATGACTGTGGGCCCTCACTTGTTGTGCGAGCCGGAAATTCCGTTGCCGAGACCGGAGAGAGGACCACCGACACCTGGGCCTGGTGTACCTCCGATCGACCACGACGTGCCATCGCCATCGAGAGCAGCGCCTAAGACAGCGAGGAAGGCGGCGAGGTCGGCTCCCATACCCACTACCTCATTAGTGGTATCGATAAATTGTTGAATGGTAGCATAACCATTGTGCGGCAGGAAATTGTGGTTTGCAAAAGCATTCAANTCTAGAGACGATGTCAGGATATAAGATAAAGAAGTATGCGAAAGTGCGTCTTACCCAGGGCAGGGACCGCGCAGATCGTTTGGTCCCGGTGCAACATATTCGTGTCCACTCCCTGCACTGACATTGACGTATTGCTCTGCAGCATTGAAGATAGGCACCGGCTCAAAGATAGCCTGAGCAGCCGCGGCGCCAGCTTGCCTCTCTTGAAGGATCTCGTTGGCACGAGCCTGAAGCCCAGGGTGGAACTTGACAGCTTCCAGAACACTGGCAGGGAAGGCTGCAGTGAAGGGCGCAAGCCCGAGTAGGACTTGGAAAATTTTGGACATGGTCAGGTGTTATAAAGGTATTTTGTAATGATCTTGATGAGCAGAAAGGAAATGTTTCAGGCAATTAGCACCTACCTTTATATGTCTCCACTGCTGTCTCATTAATTGTGTGGCACTTTTCGGGTGCGTTGGCGTGCATGACATTTCCTTGAGGGATCTGCATCTGCCATCGCACGAAAGGAGAACGCCTCGCAGGTCGTTGCAAATTGAAGCGGAAACCTTGGTATGTCGCGAGCGATCCGCAGAACATCGTACCTCGGCGAGTTCTGCAGTTGTGTGATGGAAGACTTGTCCTGGGTCAACAGCGAGGATCAACCTGAAGATCTCATCCGCTTGGGTTAGACGATTTTCATGGGCGCGGTTATGCTTCAATGAACCTTGCTGATTTGGAACTGGGCATTGCTCGAAACCCCGCAACCCCGCATTTTTGACCCCACGCTCACCGAGCCACGGACTACTTACAGTTTGAGAGGGTCTCATTGGCAAATGCTTCGAGCGAGGCACCGGAGAGTTCAATTAGAGAAGTGAATGTCCAGGAAGCAAGCATGTCTTCGAAGCCTAAAGATGTCTTGGTATGCACTACTAATCAAACACTCTTCTTGTGTACATGGACCTTTCGACTCAGTACGCAGCAGGTCAGCATTAGCGCCTCTGTAGACTGTGATTGACCACCCCTCCAGACACTCGATGGATCGACGACATGCGGGCTCTGCGATCGCACTATTCAATGCGAAATTCCTGTTTGAAAGGTGGTCGAACTACAAGACGCATCACAGACCATTCGCCAATCAAGACTCCCGGAGTGACCATGTCATCATGCTCGCAGCCTTTATTGGTACAGGGATTGGCCATGTTGAGCTATACCACTACTGATGCACCCTATATTGGCACGACTGAGCCGAGGTATAACGGTCGATCTTCGCCTGTCATTCCAAACAACACACTTTGACAGGAAAGCTCAAGACGATGAGTTGATTCGCCCCCGCGGTGACTGTAAGAGAATAGATACAATTTGACGAAGATGAGAGAGACGTGAGCTGCCGATAACCTGTTCAGGTGTGCGTGACGGCTTTCTCATTTTTGACAACAGGCTGACTAGAAGGCTTGCCTCGATCTTACCTCCCCAGTCGCGTGAGGCCTCAGAGACCGCAGCCGGCAGGATGACAAAAGTCCCTGGAATTTTCCTCGCTAGATGAGGCCAACATTGGTCTTAGCGCTTTCTCAAACTCTCGGTGATCACCCTGTCATGGTCTTGTCAGCCAGCATGCAAGAGTATTCAACACCTGTCTGCGGTCCGCTGCATCTGTTCTTGCTTGCGAGGATGATGACAAGATAGTTGGCTTGCTACTCTGGAGAGCACAGCGCCAGAATTTCTCCTCCGCGAATGCACCCGCCGAGCTATGGATTTGGCGGACAGAATTCGCGAACGAGCAGGTCGGCACCGGAATACTTCATTGGTATATCCCGAACACAACTGCTATCATACGCAGGATCGTCCATGCACCGTCAAGTCCATGGTAAGCGCATAGCCTGATTGTATCGCCATCCGCGGCCTTGATGGGATACATCCGTAGCCGCGGCTTGAAAAGATCACTTGGGCTTTTGCGCTTCGATACACGCTCTTTTCCCCAGAACGTCATTTAGACTTTTGTTTGAATGAAGTGTGAGATTAAATGAGTTGTCAAGTAACTCGTATCACTCTATGCACATCGATCGCTATAAAGGTCATATGTAAAACGGATTAATGTTTTCTGCAAGTACTGCCATAATCTCCTAAGGTGATCTACATCTAGGTGTTATGGCCTAGTACTATTAGACAGCCGGATTACGGCGCATTCTAAGAATTTCCCTATACAAAATTAGGGTTATCTAGGGTTTCTTCCCTGCGTTTTACGACGCATTCCTAACATGCATTCTAGAGACTTCCTCTACGACTACCTAACTATACCGGATAACCCTCCTAACCCTACTAGAAGGAAAAGGAAAGAATAGAACGAAATAAAAAGATATATTACCTTCTCTAGCTAGCCTTTTTTTTTTAGTAATAGCTAATATTAATAGCATCTACCTCGAGGTAGAGCCTAGAGTTCTAATCTATAAGATCTATAGGACTACGATCTATCTAAAAGCCGGCGCCGTTATAAGGCATCTCTATTTAGATAGTTATTACATTAAAGGAAAATCGCTATTAGAAGCTATTAGCACACTATTAAGCCTACTATTTCGAGCTTTTAAAGATATTAAAGCCTAAGGGCAAATTCCTAATAACTAGCCTCGAGCTTATTAGCCGTTATATATTAAAAGCGTATTCTAAAAAGGCTAGTAGTTATAGCGAGGTATACCTACTATAGGAAGTATATAAGTTATAGATAATATTCTCTATAAGTAGAGATTAGCGGTACTTCTACGTTAAATCTAGCGATACCCTAGATATATAGGACATAGGCGAGGAAGCGCTAGATAGTATAAGAGCTTATAGTAGCGCGATAATACCTTAAGCCTTAAGGGATAGGAACATTAATAAAGCGTTAGAAAGGACTACTAGATCTTTCGTCTTAAGCTTATAAATATAATAGCTATAATATAAAGCTAGAGCTACGGCCGTAGCTAATATTAATCTAGATAGTAACCTAGGGTAAAGAGGCGTTAAGCTATAGATAAAGTAACTTAGTCTAGATAGATATATAGCTAGTTTATATAAAGACGAGATAGTAGTATTATATAAGTTCTTAAAGTCTAAGTCTAGGACTATTTTATAAGACCTCTATAATATTAGCGACTAGCTCCTAAGAGAAACATTCTATTAGTACTAACTATTAGAAGTTTAGGGCTAAAGCCCTAAAATTCTAATAAGAGGGACTAATTAATATTCCTAGCTAGATATAAGAATTAGGTATATATACTACTTTTCTAGCATAATTCTAGCTAAGCTATTACTAGTTAAAGATTAGAAAGCTAAAATAAGCTTAGTATTATATACTTCTTTAGTTTATATCTAGATCTAGACCTAATTAACGACTAAATAGAAGTTTAAGTCTAAGGTCTAGAATTCTGTTTATTTTCTTCTAGCTAGTTAAAGTCTCTAGTACTTAGTTCTTACCTAGTATAGACACTCTAGTAGTATAAGATTACTATAAAAGTATTAAAAAGCTAAAATAAGCTTAGTTTTATATACTTCTTTAGTTTATCTTTATATCTAAACTTTTTACTTAGATCTAGACCTTTTATAGTATTCTTAGCTTAGTTTCCTACTACTCTACCTACTTAGATTCTAGATAAAAAATCTAAATAGAAAGAAAGAATTCTATTAAGTTTATATTTTTAGTATTACTTAGAAGTCTAAGCTTAAAACTATAGCTAGTACTTAGCTAGACCTTTTCTAGTATCTAGTAAGTGAAAGAAAACCTAGAGTATAACCTAAAATATTAGTAAGAGTTTTAGATAACTAAAAAGAAATAGAAATATCTTTACTACTAAAAGTAAAGTCTAGAGTAACCTTAAATCTAGACTTATCTAGATTAATCTAGACCTTTTCTAGTTATCTTAGAGCTATATAGATACTTATCTTTTATCTAGATAGTTAGTATAAAATCTAGATAGCTAGAAATAAATAAGGTTACTTTTATCTATAAAGCTAAAACTAGGACTAACTATAGATCTATACTTCTTTAGACTAGTCTAGCTCTTTCTTAGTACTAAGGAAGCTTTACTAAGACCTATTTATACTTTAGATAGATACTATAAAATAAGGAGAGCTAAATATTAATAAGGATATATATAGTAGTAACTCTTAAACTTCTAGTTATCTTAGTATAAGACTTAAGTAGACTAGTCTAGACCTTATCTACCTATAATTAATTAATTAATTAATTAATTAATTGATTTAGTTAATTAGGCTACTTAGTTCTACGGTAAACCTATAAGCCGTCTCCTTTTAGTTCTTCCTTCCTTATCCCTATCTATCCTTATTCTATTATCTACCTACTACTAGAAGATAACCGGTTCGAGTCGAGACGCTTAAAACCCTACATAAAATTAGGGTTTAGGGTTCTATCTTTAACTCGAGACGTTTGCTTTCTAAGAGTCGAGACTTTTGCTTTAATAAGCTTAGAATTAGCTAAAATCAAGATGTTTTACTCTCTAAATATCGATATACTTACTTAGAAAGATTAGTCTATCTATAACTAAGAATAGTAAAGTTATCCTATAGTAATAATTACACGAAAGACATACCTTATAATAGATCTAGGAGCTTCCCCGCACTTAACCTATATAGCTAGCTATACGATATATTAATAAACATTTATAATATAAAGTGCATTTATAGTTTATTAATTAGTAGTGTACCTATCTATTAATAATAGTAATAACGATATTATAACTACGATCTTTTAGTTTATTTATCTATTCTAGCTATAGATTTTAACTATCTCCTCTAAATTAATACTACTTATAAGATTCTTATATATATACTATACTAGTACGTAATAGTACCTTCGTAGCTAACGACATATCTACGGACACACTATAAGCGTCTTACTATAAAGTAACGTCGCGACTTTATTACTAGGATTAGGAGCTACCCTAATCTAGCGAATGTTCGTAAAGCTATTATCTATCTAATAGTAATAGATCCTCTAGTCCTATCTCTTCTAGTCTATTTTAACGGGCTAAGATATAATGCGGTAGACCATTAGAACACCGCTTATAGCTATATATATCATGACCTACGTCGAATATAGAAACACTACTAAGATAAACATAGATAGAAAAATAAGTAAAAATAAGGAGGGGATATACGTAGTAAAAGCCTCTATTTACTAAATAAGATCTAGACTATAAACTGTGCCTACTAACGTTTCTTTAAGGTTAATAGCTAGTAGAAGTACTTCGAAGTAGTAAAATAGAGTAAAGTCCTAAACCTAGAGCTATAAGTATATTAGAAATAGGACTTTTCTAGGCTATAGAGGACGATATCTAGTAAGTATAGTAAGACGCTACCGACGACGCTAATCGAGTATATAGCTTTTAGGATCACGTTTCTACTATAGTTCCGTAGTTAAGAGAGATAGGTATTACTAAACATATATAGCATCTCTAGAAGGATAAAATTCGAATAGGAATTACTATTCTACTACTAGGAGATAAGAGTAATCTTTATACGATTATCGACGCTATGTAATCGTTACTATAAGATATATATAGGCTATGTTTCGATAGGCCTAACTATATATTAACCTACTAATATCGGGTCGTCCTTAGTCGCTTCTAACCGTTATAAGTCGATCTATAAGGTAAGACTAGGCCCTTTAATCTATATAAAGGGCTAAGAGCCTTAAGACATACTTTAGAATAGTATGTCGATTTATGTCGTTCTTTACTAGAGTCGTCGCTCCTAATAAGTATTACTTTAGTATAGTAGCTAAAGATAGCGACGACATATAGAGACTAGAGGATATTATTAAGGTAATAGACTAGTAGTTAGTAGTCTAGTAAGACATATACTAGCTTACTTAGTAGAGTTAAATAGATTCTATCGAACGAGACGAATATACTAGTAATAAGGCTAACACTAGATTGATTGATTGATTGATTTAATTGATCAGGCTACTTGGTTCTACGGCAAACCTATTAGCCGTCTCCTACTGGTTTTACCTTTTATGTCCCTATCTATCCTTGTTCCATTCTAGCTTCCCCTTACTCGACAGCTCTCGTCTGCCACGCAAACCTGCCGGACTTGTGAAGAAAATGGAGGACCGCCTTCACCGCCGGGAGGTTCGCTTTCCATTTTCCTTCGGCCCGTCGACTGGTCGCCCAGTTCTCGGGTCTTCCCAGGGATTCCAGCCCCCGAGTATGTAAGAAAGGTCCCTCCACCTGTGCCCTACTGCCTCGATAGCAATTTGACGATCTTCGCGTAGGAGGGGGCATTCGTATATGACGTGCTCAACACTTTCTTGCGTGGCTCCGCATTCGCACCTTGCTGAGTCCACCAGTTTCATCCGGCATAGGTCACTCTTTAGTCGGGAGTGCCCTGTCCGGCATTGGGCGAGTATCGACGCCTCCTCCGCGGACAATGCATTATACACTATCGCTATATGGGGGCCTGGGAGAGCTCCGTCTAGCTTCCACGTGTACAATCCAGTATGTAGCGTGTCTCGAGGTCTTGTCTTTCTGGCCTGTTTCCAGGTCTCGTCCAGCTTCTTTTGAAGTGTCTTCTTAGCCACCCTTAAGACCATCTTCTTCGTAACTCCTGTGTAGCGTTGTTGGTATATTCTCGACTTTGCCATGCTACGGTCGCGTGCGTCCGGAGGCGTTAGGGGGTTAGTAGGTGTTGGGGGGTCCGTAGATGTCCAAAGATCCAAAGAGGCTAGGGGTTAGTAGGACCTGCGGGTTGCGTAGCAGGGCCTTCCCCCTCTCCCCGTCCCTCCTCTAGTGCCTTTTTCGCCTTCTTGTCTGCCCACTCGTTGCCGTACCACCCCTTATGGGCCGGTATCCACTGTAAGGTGACCATTGCCCCTTCCCAGGCCTGAAGAGCATCGATGTGCTTACGGATGTATCGTACCACGTATTGTCCGTGTGGGCTTGCCCCCTCCGTGATATGTCGGATAGCTTGCTTGCTATCTGTCGCGATGATCGTCTTTATCGGGCGTGGCCTTCTCCTTGTTTGATATGCTAGCGCTGCCTCGATGGCTATAAGTTCTGCAACCGTCGAGTCGCCTGCTGCCCATCTAGGAAGTCGCTTTTGGGTGATAGTCTTTCCAGTGTTCCCTTGCACTACTGCAATGCCACTCTCGCCGCTCTTCCGTGCTGCGTCAGTATAGAATGTGCATCTCTCCTCCCTGCCTGCTTTCGATCGTAGTCGTCGAATGACTACATCCGCCTCGTCTTCTAGTCCCTTAACTAGGCATCCCGGGACGCCCTCTGTCCACGGTTCTTGAAGCACTGGCTCTACGGTCTCCATTAGGCTTTCGGCCGTCAGGCCTAGATCCGGGCCAAACTTCCGCGCGGTGATAGCTAGCGGAGACGGGAAGCTCTTGCCTTGGGTGAATAGCCTAGCTGATAGGAACCATACCTAGCTAATAGAATCCATGGGTTGCACTACAGCCCGTCTAAAAAGGGTTTCGCGGGGTTATGCTTTCGGCGCTTGGCGGGGTAGAAGTGAAGTTGAACCCGTAGTAGAACCCCGATCTTGTAAGTTGTATGAACACGACTCAATATTTGTAAAACTATGGTAGAGATGAGTTAATATGATACAAAGGCAATTGCACCATTTAGATTTCTGATTCTGGCTGCGACTTGTTGAGTATCGTTGTCCAAAATATGGCAAGTATGACTTTCGAAGTTTGCCAAGAATTGCGCCCGCAACTCCACCCGACTTCTTGTAGGCATGCAAGGTCACCCCAACAACATTAACACCAAAGATCTGGGAGTAAGATATATGGTCAAATTTGTGATCTATATAGTGAACTCTTCAGTTTCTTCGTCAGAAGAATCTTGAACCACTCGCAGCAAGCGTTTAGATTTTTGCAAGTGAGGAGTAGGTTCTTGAGTGGTCCCATTGAGCGTCCGGCCTGGAACCACTTCCCGGTCACCAAATATATGTTTTTGACTTGCTCAATACCAGCCACTGAAGGTATAAGATCTGCTTTCAGACATGCTAGGGCACGAAGCGTATAGTCGCGACAGGAGTCACAACAGTTACGGACAAGTTTCGATGATGAGGTGCCATGCTTCTCGAAATATGCGTGGATCTCAGCAAATTTAGCAAACATGCGAGCGAATTCAGGGCCATCACAGGTTGTCGCATTATCAGAACCATCAGCCGATGTCACCGCTTCGTTATCAAAACTGCTTAAGGGAATTTCATCTAACAGTTGCGACAGGCCAGCAGCAGGAGACTCGCAAGGTGGAGTGACTGGTTCAATGATCCGATGGCCACGGATTCTCTTGATTCGAGACTCGCCGTCTCGGCGTACTGTATTCGTAGCTTCCGCTACGTCTTGAGGACCATTATCCAGACAATCTGTACCATCACTTGGCTCCAAATCAGGATTGGCGATAGTAAGATCATCGTTTTCTATGCGCTTTCTCTTCCGGGAACTGTCTTTTGTTCGGATAGCAGAAGTCGGCTGCTGTTGCGGTGTTGTCGGGACCACAGGCATCAGCTCTAGCACATCTTCCCGAACGCTCGAGGCGGATGCATTCATGGTACTGTTGAAGAACTTGACATCTTCTGGAATAAGCTTACGAGTCTTCAAGATTCGCGTTCGAGGAGGACGGTTTGCAGGATCAAGACGTCTCTCAATAGCACAACGCCAACCGATCACAGCTTGTTGCTGATCTGGCACGTTTGCACTAGTGATGGCCACTTCACTCAGCATTCTCTTAGATAGGTCTTTGACAGACTCGGCAGGTCTCATTGAAGCAGGAATAGTATCAAGCCAGTTGTCGCCCCATATCTCAGCAATGGATTGCTGGTGGTTCTCTTTAGACCATTGAGCAGAGGTGCCAACGACGACCATGACTTTGACCACTTTGTGATTAGCAACACTGTTAATGAAAGCTTGTTCACTACGAAGGTTTGGGTCTGGGTGAGTGTCCCACAGGTTGTTGATCTTCACCCATCGCCAGATGTAAGCAGCTTGGACACTAGCGCTCTCCGCTCGGTCGGCTGCAGCAGCAAGCAGGTCGCTCGCGGCTTGTATAGGTGAGACATCGGGACCGGGGTTGTTCAGATAGTCCCAGATCGAGACGTCAGGCTTGTCTGGGAGTCTCTGGTTGCGCAGTTCCGATTCGACATCGGCCGGCGACATCATCTGGAGCCGAGCTTCGGTCTCTCCAGCATCGGCTCTAGCTCGAAGGGATTGGTGTTGACGTTGCACTTGAGACGCCGTAGGGGCGCTCGGTCCGGCGACCGCTTGCGTGCTAGGAAGTGCAGAGGGCCGAGGTGCAAGAGGCACCGCTGACGGCACTTGCGAAGCGTCGCGGACAAGGCGCTGTGGAGAAGCGACATCGTTCTGGAGATCCGCGGTCGCTACAGCACCGACAGAATTTGGTTCAAGTCGATAGAGAACACGTGTGCGGACATTTTCACACCCGCCATCGTTACAGTTGCAGTGACAACTACTATTCGATTCTTTGCCAAACTTATGTAGATCCACCCTGCCCGAGCAAGACAGGAAAATCGCGCAAGAGAGAAAAGCAAGGTGTAAGATAACAAAAGAGGGGGAAAAGAGAAAGTGGAAGAGAAAGATAGTACGCTAAGCTGAATTCTGAAGAAACGCAAGAGCGTGGCGGGGAAACGCGAAGCATATATATTAGATTTGACAAGGGTGGAGGCGTCCCAGGCTTAGCCCCCCGCACCCCATTGGACAGACATGTGTCCCGCTAGACCATTCTCATGAGATATCGCAAACCATCAGCAAGTAAGATGCATAGTTATCGCATGATCAGCCCACAGGTCGCACAATGCTACAAGCAAGGTTCTGCGTGTGTATTCCGCGACAGCTCTCTGATAAGAGACACTACGAGAAGGGTAAGACGCGTCGGCGAATCTCTCGCTCCGTTCTGTTTCTCTGCTCTATCTTTTCTTGCCACTATTCATCGTTCCATACGTACACTAAGCTTCTCTTATGAACGATCCAGCAAGAGAGAAAGTATACAATTATCCATCTCGACTTGCATTTAGCCAGAAGACATGGAGCTAGCATATCGGTTGACCGAATACGCTCTAGAGCCAGCCGGCGAGGACGACACAGCTAGAGTCATGACGCGTCAAGAAGGCAGTATTGAGGAGACAGAGCAGCAAGAAATCGCAGCAGCCATGTCGAACTACGTCTATCTAGCAGAGCACGAAGTTCTCATCTGCAAGGAACACGGCTACGCAGTGCGAGGCTTAGACAGCCATCTGCGCTTGGTCCATACTTCTTACACTTCTACGTCGAAGAAGGCAAGGGCTGCACTAAGACAGCATCACAGCGGACGCAACATGCCAGACCCATCCACAGTCCGTCTACCCGAGCCAGGACAGCCGGCAATTGAGTATCTGTGTAAGCCAATCCCAGGCTACTACTGCATCCACAACCAGGACAACACCGCCGGCGAACAAGACGTACGAGGGGATGCATCGACAACAACAGACTCCCCCAGTCACTGCGGCTTCACCACCAGCGACCGTACCAACATCGGCAAACACTGTCGTAATGCACACGGCTGGAAATCTACTGACGAAGACCGTCAGTGCTGGAAAGATGTCTACATCCAGACGTTTTGCAAGAGTTCAGGCAAACAAAAGTGGTTTGTCGTCAAGACACCCGATCAGATCGATAGGGAAAGAGCAAGTGTCGGAGAATCACTCCCCGAGCCAAGCAGATCCAGTTCGACGGCATCAAAGATGACTTCCAGAAGTTAAAAGAGCAATGGCAGAAAGAGCAGGAGATACTAGCAGACAGGGTTGAGAAATGCGAGAACACCGGATGGTGGAACAAGACAAGATGGAGAGAGCATCTCAAGAACTGCAATCTCACCCATCTCTCGTACACCAGCCGGCTGCCCGAGAAGGATGAAGAAGCGTTACTCAAGGTAGCAGCGGTGATCGAGAAGATGGTCGAGAGGGGTGTCTCAGGACTGAGCTCGATGCCGGAAGGCTTGCGTCGTTGGCTTCGAAGTGCAGAGATGCACAAGCCAGACGTGAGACCGCTATCCCGGTTGCAGAATCCAGAGAGTCAAGAACGGTACACCGGGTACTGGAAGCGAATGGTTTGTTACTGTCTACGAGTATGGTGCACTCGTCACGAAGCCACGGACAGCGAGTCAAGTGGCGATGGCAGCAACAATGACGATACCGAAAGCGACAGCGATGAGGTAAACAGTGTGTACAATGCTAACGCCAACACTGATGAGGTAAACAGTGTGTACAATGCTAACACCAACACTGATACCGACGACGACGACGACGACGACGACGACGACGACGACGACGACGACGACAATTCCGACACAGATCCACAACACGATCAAGGCAGACGGCAAGCACAAGATCACATGCACGATGCTCGGAGGCTCTTCCCATGGAACGACCAACTCGAAAGAGCATTAGAGGAGGTGTGGAGATTGATCGTTCTCGAGGGAGACACATCATCCGTAGAAGACGATCAAATCCCAGCGATGGTAGAGCTCAGTCGGGTGTTGTTGTTCNAAAAGGTGTGGAACGACCGCTTCGACAGCGCTCTAATCCATTTCATGGCCGTGATGGGCATCGACGAGACCAACGCTCGGCTACGCGATGGCAACGACTACTCTTACATGATCGCCGGACTGGTGTACGTGTCCAGGATCGTGACCGCCGAAGCTCTGCTCCCATCACTCGACCGCGAAAACCAAGGGGAGGCCGACTTCGAGGCATTTCTCGAGCAGAGAAAAGAGTTTCTAGCCGACGGATCGATGAGCGTGATGGGAGAGATGTTGAGCTTGCTAGCGTACGGAAAGAAGATCGCAAAGAACTTCCACGCCCAGGGGAAGCTGCACTGGACTCACGACGGAGCCGGCGTCGCTCTCGGCAGCATCGAGTTCACGGTGTACAACTTCAAGTCCATGGCACGCTCCGCTCTAGACGATTGCGAAGACTACATGTGGAGGGGATCTCATGTGGGCAGGCCGCAAGGCAGATCGCTTCGTGTTAGATCTCGATAGCATCACCGACGACATGACGGTGAAGAAGAGAGGCTGGTACTTCGGTGCCGACCCGAACCAGGATCTCGAAGCACAAGGTCTCGACTGGATGTTGAAGAGGATGCTAGGCTCGAACCAGGGGAAGAAGATGCGCAGAGGTGACCAGTGGCAGTCGAGACTGGTGGCCAACTATCTCCGGAGGGTGGACAAGTTCAGGGAGCTGTTCATATTCTGCGTGCACGTCTTGAGCGGCCAGCCCGCCAGAGGAACCGAGATCACCAGTCTGCGCTTCCGCAACGGAGTGGCCAACCACCGCAACGTCTTCGTCTTGGACGGCAGAGTGATGACGGTGACGAGCTACCACAAGTCACAAGCAATGCTCGACATGCCCAAGATGGTGCCACGCTTCTTGCCGTGGAAACTGGGTCAGATCGCGGTCATCTATCTCACCCACGTGCGGGCGTTCGCCGAGTTGCTGTCGGTGCAGGTACAGTACGGTCAAGGATGGAGTGACTACATCTGGGCGGACTCGCACGGCCCGTGGGAGACGCAGAAGCTCACCGACACGATGAAACGAGAGACGGCCAAACGACTGAAGGCCAAGCTACACACCCAGAACTACAGACACGCCGCCGTCTTTCTAGGCAGGAGATTCGTCGGACCGAGGTTCGCCAAAGGCTACCGAGAGGAGGCCGAAGATCCGGAAGAAGCCCAGGCGGGTGATATGGATGACGATCTCGAGGAGGGCAACGCGATCGAGCTACAGAAAGCCGGCGGCTTCGGCACCGGAGCCGGCAGATACGCGGTCAGAGCGGACATCTTGAAGTATCTCAACCAAGAGTCGATCGACATCTTCGGCGATCTCAGCGAAAGCTGGCACAGGTTTTCGAGCTCGACCACAGAGATCCGAAGAGGAAAAGAAAGGCCGAGAGCAGCAGCAACAAAGACGATGGGATGCAAACCGTCGACTTTGAAGGATTGAGGAAAGAGAGATTGATCAAGAGACTGCCCGCGGCAAAAGGGAGGAGCTGTTACTGTTGCCGCCACTCCGACGACAGTAGATCTCTCACCGTTCTTACAACAATCCGAAAGGCAGCAGAAGGAGATCGAAGACTTGCGGATGAAGCTCAAGGCACAAGAATTCGAACTGACAAGACTTCGAGGAGAGGAGCTGCAGCAGGGACGACAGCAACCCATGACCCCCATCGTTGGCTTGGGCATCTACTCGAACAACAACAACAACGGAATGCCGACCCCGGTGACAGAGGGAAACAGGCACGACTCACACAACGATGATGCCAACGACAAGAACGACAGCAACGAAGTCATCTACATCGACGATGACGATAATGATGACAACCACCACGACGAATCCAGGTACTCTCCAAGGTGCAGCGGCAGGAACCACCAACAGCATCTGCAGCAGCACGTAGACGACAGTCCGATCATCGAACGAAGCCGAAGAAGGCGCGAGAGGCTGCAACGCTACAGAAGACCGACGGCACAGGAAAAGGAGAGGGCTATACGCAAAGCACTCAAGAAACCAATGGACGACGACGCGGTGACGATCAGATACAGATCGAAAGCACAAGGAGAAGCGCTCGGGAGAATCATGGACGGTGGGTTCAACGTTCTCACCGTCGTTCTGCCGACAGCCGGAGGCAAGACTCTACTCTTCACCGCACCCGCTTGTCTGGAAGAAGACGTCGGGGTGACCATCGTGGTGGTACCGTTCCGCAAGCTCATCGACGAGACGGTGCGAGAAGCACAAAAGACGGTGGGTGACTGTGAAGAATGGAGTCACAGCACCGTCGATCCAGCAGCTCTCGTGGTCGTCAGCGTGGACAAGATGCACGATCACTTCTGGTCGTACGCACGGCAGATGGCGGAGCAGGGCCGACTGAGACGAGTGGTGGTGGACGAGTGCCACTTGCTGGTGACTTCGCACAGCTGGAGACCGCATCTCGTGGAGCTGGAGAAGCTCAAGTCACTAGGAGTACCGATGGTGATGCTGACGGCCACACTCCCAAGGTACATGGAGGTCGAGCTACGACGAAGTCTAGGTATCGGCATCGGAATGATGTCGCTCATACGAGCATGCACGGTGAGGGAGAACATCACTTACACCGTCAGACAGGACATCGGCAAAGGCAAGCTGGTCGAAGAGACGGCCAGAGTGTGCGAAGAGGTCGCCGACGAGCTACGGAGCACCAGGAAAGAGAAGGCCGTCGTCTACTGCCGAAGCAAGAAAGACTGCGAGGAGATGGCGGAAAAGCTAGGCTGCGGCTTCTTCTACGCCGGACACGTCGACGGCGGGGAAACGCTAGAGCAGTGGAAGGCGAACGGCGGCTTCATCGTGTCGACGACAGCTCTCAGCACCGGACTCAACTACGAGGCCGTCAAGGCGGTCATCCACTCGGGACTGCCATACGGACTGATCGAGTTCGCCCAAGCATCGGGCAGAGCGGGTCGAGATCCCAACGAGAGAGTGGACTCGATCGTACTGCTGGAGCAAGGGTGGGAGGAAGAAGAGCAAGGGACGCGGGAGCGTTACAACGAGGCACTCGGACCGGACGGAGCAGCGATGATGGAGTACATCAAGACGGAGGGTTGTCGAAGGCTGGTGCTAGGCAAGTACTTCGATGCGGCAGAAACGATCCAGGAGTGTCACGACAGCAGCAGCAGCGGCAGCGACAACAACAACAGCGAGACCGAGAGCGAGACGAACTGTAGTAATGGCGGCAGCCGCCAGCATCACGCCCCAAAGCTCCGTGCGACAGGTGTGGTGGTGGAATGGTGGCAGCAGGTACAGAGCTGGTCAGGCAGTCCGAGCTGGAAAAGGAGATGGTCGAAGAGGCTCTAGACGAGATGAAGCTCGGCTGTCCGATGTGTTGGATGAAGTCAGAAGAGAAAGACTCACATCTGGAGCACGGTGGCCGGGAGTGCGAGAGTCGAGAGCTGACGGTGACAGACGAGGCCGACGAAACGACAATTGTCGATGTTGACACATTCCGGAAGCAGATCAAATACGCAAAGGCGAGCAAGGCTTGCAGGAAGTGCGGCATCAACCAGAGGATGTGCAACACCAGGGAAGACGCCAAACGAAAATGCCAGTGGCCCGGCATAGCAGTACCGGTGTTGATGACAGCAGTTCGAGATCCGATCGGGAGGAACATCATCCGAAAAGCCGGCTTCGAACCGAATCGAGTGGTGGAAGAGGAGAAGGAGGGGTGGAAGGCTTACGCAGCGTGGTGCGGCCAGGCCAGAGACAGGCGGATATGGGGAGAGATGATGAGCAATTCGATGTGGGTGGTGAAGGAATTTTTGGTTTACAAGAGTGGGGAGAGGATGAGGCAATTCGATGATGGCGGTGGTGATGAGAGTCAGGAGAAGGAGGACAAGGATGATGATGATACTTCATCATTCGAGGATCTGGACATGGATGAAGACGACTTTATCATGATCGATGCCGGGACCATGGAAGCTACAACAACAACAACAACCGCCACCACGGCTAGAGCGACAGCACCAGCAGCAGCAGCAACAGAAACAGAAGTGGGAGAACGACAAGAGACCCCGGAAGCCCGAGCTACAGCCGTGGAAGAACTGGAACACAGCAGACAGATCCCCCGAGTGTCGAAACGTCCGATGTGCTCGGATATCAGCAGCAGAGAAGGGTTCGAAGCAAAGCTATCGATGTACAGAGGTTGTTGCACGGTTTGCACAGCACGATCGGGCAAGACGGAGCGCAGGCACACGTCATGGAGGACTTGTCCACTGGTCAAGACGTTAGGACTGGTAGAGAAAATGGAAGAGATGGATGGGAAACTGGCCAGGACGAAGATGGAAGGGTCGTCGGGTTGCAACAAATGCTGGAGACCATGCATGCTGTGTGAGCAGTACAAAAGAGACGGCAAAGACATGAGTTTGGCAGAGGGGAGGTACATCAAATGGAAGAAGTTGTGGAACGAAGGGTGGTGTGGACAGAAGGGAGAGATCGGGGGCGATCATCGGGTACGAGAGGAACTGAGATCGGTAGCGTTAGGGTTGTTGTTCAGTTCGAGGGACGAGGTATGGGATTGGATGATGGGTGAGGGCGAGCTGGGAGAGGATGAGAATGGTGATACCGGCACGTTGATAGTGGAATGGTTAAGGAGGAAGAGCAAGGTAGGAATGAGGATAGAGGAAGGATGGATCCAGAGCAGCAAACTGTGTGATCTAATCCGGAATTGGGGCTGAGACAGGCCCTGCAGGTATCTTGAGAGAGAGGAATAATTAAAAGAGAAGAAAAGGTCAAATCTACCCAACCCTGCAGGTATCGCAAGAGAAATGATGATGATAGAAGAAAAGATCAAATGCACCCAACCCTGCAGGTATCGTAAGAGAAATGATGGAAGAAAAAGACAAGATGCCCGGCCAACCCGTAGGGTGGTGTCCCAGGGGAGAAAAAAAGCAGAAGAAGAAAAGGAAAAGAAAAAACAAAAAGACGAAAAACCCGTGCAACCCGTAAGGTGTCCCAAAGGGAGAGAGAGAGAGAGAGAGAGAGAGAGAGAGAGAGGGAGAGAGAGAGAGAGAGAGAGAGAGAGAGAGAGAGAGAGAGAGAGAGAGAGGGAGAAAAGGAAAAGAAGAAAGATCAAAAACCCGATCAACCCGTAGGGTGGCCCGAAGAAGGAGAGAGAGAGAGGAAAAGTGGAAAGAAAGATGAGAAAAACCCGTATAACCCGTATAACCCGTAGGGTGGCCCAAAGAAGGAGAGAGAGAAAAGAGGAAGGAAAGACAAGAGAAACCCGACCAACCCGTAGGGTGGCCCGAAGAAGGAGAGAGAGAGGAAAAGAGGACAGAAAGATAGATGAGAGAAACCCGACCAACCCGTAGGGTGGCCCAAAGAAGGAGAGAGAGAGAAAAAGTAGGGGTAAGTAGAGGGTGGGCGGTGGGCCCGTGGTATGGAAAAGCCGGCGGAGGCAAGAGTAGAATAGGGTAAGCAGAGATAGAAGACAAGGCAAGATGCGTAGCAGCCGTAGGGTGGCCCGAAGAAGGAGAGAGACGAAAAGGGAAAGAAGAGGTAAAAGATTAAAGAGAGACCCAACCCAACCCGTAGGGTGTCCCAAAAGAGAGAACAGTACAAATTAGGACCCCCATTAGGGTAGAGGGTACAAATTAGGACCCCCATTAGGGTAGAGGGTACAAATTAGGACCCCCATTAGGGTAGAGGGTACAAATTAGGACCCCCATTAGGGTAGAGGGTACAAATTAGGACCCCCATTAGGGTAGAGGGTACAAATTAGGACCCCCATTAGGGTAGAGGGTACAAATTAGGACCCCCATTAGGGTAGAGGGTACAAATTAGGACCCCCATTAGGGTAGAGGGTACAAATTAGGACCCCCATTAGGGTAGAGGGTACAAATTAGAAAACCCCAGTCAACCCCAGTCGTTATAGGGTCAACCGCTAGGGGTTAGGGTTAGGGTTAGGGTTAGGGTTAGGGTTAGGGTTAGGGTTAGGTGAGGGTTAGGTTAGGTTAGGTTAGGTTAGGGTTAGGGTTAGGG